ATCTCGTCGTGGTTGGCTGTGAGCCGACGGCTACCGATGAAGGACAAGCCACAAGACGATAGACGCTATCCTTTGCTTCCTGGAGTTGGGCCGTTTGTCCGCAAGGCTAACATTCTGATATTGATATTGAAATGACTAAAATGGGTACAGGGATCATGTCTCTATTCTCTTGATCAGTGACCGTCACTCCCTGCTCATACCAGCCTGTGCGATCTCTTCACTAACCACAACTCTTTTGCCACCCGGTATCTGCAATTGAGAAACGCATCAGATGATTTGATCATTGCTACTTGTCTGCAACAAATATGGGGGCCTGTGGTCTTGCTTTTGCGGGGAAATCGACCTCACTCCTGCATGGAAGTATTGTTCGTCAAATAGCAGGTCGCGAAAGCCGTGACTTATCTCCCCGAATTCGTGGTCGGGTTTCAGAGTAACGATGTTCTCAACCCAGCGCCTGCACACTGTTATTGTGATATACTTATGGTGCGTAGGGCTCAAGTGAAATTCTGCTCATGGCAGCCGAGGAGGCCCCGGCGCTACCGGAGATGGTCTGCCATGTACTCGACTAGAACGTGGGAATTCTAGTTCAAGTACACCCTATTAAGTCTTAGTCTAGATATCGCATCTCCCCCGTCCCTTGGATTCAGTCAGCAAGAACAGAGTATCGGAGATGTACTGCAAAAGGGCCAGGACAACGCAAGAAAAGGTCGGTGAGGAAGGCTGTCTTTGCTTGACTGGAATCCTGAGCTCAACTACTCGCCTTGTCCTGAATCTATTAGAGTTCGCATACTGGGCGGTGATGAACTAACACATGGTACGCGTCCAACAGGAACCAGAGACAATTAAATGGAAGATATGGGGAGTTGATTGGAATGGATGTTGGATCTACCAATCAGTGATAAATCACGCGTGGCCGGGCGCCTTCCAGCTGCCGGCAGGACCGAAAAAGCCACTAAGGTAGTGGCCGGGTCTAAACTGTTCGCCTTTCTCCAAGGCAAATGAGAAACAAAGTAATATGACTATTATTTTTCTTTCTCTTGTTTCCCTTCCACCCCTCCCCCCATTTTGCCCCCCAAGAGGACAAGGCAAACGGAACTGAACTATGGAAGACAGGATCGGCGCACTGAGAAGAATATCAAGACTGTACCACTGTGGTGAGTCACCCATGGCGCCATGCAGTCCAATTGTACAGAGTAGGTAAACGGTAGACCCCGGAATGCGGGGGAGGATGCAGCGGACCAGCACAGTTGATGCCGACGATCTTTCAGGGACTACTCCTTCGCTTCTATTAGTAGCGCTGGAGTAACTTGTAACTTGCAGTAGTTTAAAACACTCGGACTCGAGTCCTAAAATGATCACTGATAAATAATAATGACAATGTATTAAGGAAAAGAAGAGATATTGTCAACGGGAATTGCGTATTTCTATGCATCTTCTCTCTCTAGTTGTGCTTCGTTCGCCCTTCTAAACCCTTTCACGCTTCTAAATCCTCTCACCGTACCTTGAGTTTCACACCAGTTGTTTCGACTTTTTCTCTCATCTTCCTCCCTCATCTTCTTATAATTGATTACTCTCTCCACCAACGGAATCATACCACCCTCCTGCTTTGCGGCTTCATCTTTTTCATCTGCAGGACTATTGTGCCATGATCCCCTTTCTATTTTGATCTATATCGTTACCTATATTGTTTTCTTCTCTTACTATCCGCTTTCGCATTCCCCAGTTTCTCCGTACTTTCGACGACGGACTTGATCCTGGTAGTTTCTACACCACACCCGCGCCAAAAAGTCGTCCCGTCTGTACAGATGGCCCTCTCTGGCTGATTAAATCTAGCATGTCTCAGCCGCATGGTTCCTTTCGCTTGCTCAAGGTCTGATTGATTTAATCAGAGCTCGTTCTTGCCATGTTTCACACCTTTGAGGGTTTCGAAAACCCTGGTGCCTCAATCCCGGCTAAGGGTCGGGAGCGCCAGCAGTCCGTTGGGCGGAGAGTCACCACCCTTCGAGCCTGCACCTCATGCCGGCATCGGAAGATCAAATGCGATGGTGAGAAACCATGCGAGGCGTGTAGATGGTACAAGAAGGCCGATCAGTGCCATTATTCAGACCCCCGTCCTTCCCGAAGGTACGTTCTTTTCTCTGTTTATCTTTGAGCTCTGTCCCGAGCTTTTTATCTTTTCCACAGAGTTGTCGGAACAAGTGAGCTGAACGCGATAGGCATGTGGAAAAACTGTCGACCACCCTAGATGAGTATCGGAGCGTTCTGGAGAAGTTATTTCCCAGCACCTCCCCAGAGGCCCTTGTCAGTCTACCCCGTGAGAAGCTTCTGGAGCTCTCGGGTAAGGGCCCGTCGCTGGCGCAGGCGCAGGCGCAACATCCGGCCTCTCCTGCCACCTCTGCGTCAGTTGAAGCGCACCTTTCGCCCATATCCAACGAAGATGGCAACTTGGAATCATTGCAGACGATGCCAGAAGATCCAAGCGACAGCCGAAATCAGAGCACCAGCGATATAACGAATGGAATTTCAGACGATGTAAATGCTCTATCCCTCTCAGCTAAACAGCCTTCCTCATACCTAGGCGTGTCATCTATACACGCTGTCTTGAAAGTCATCGTCTGGCTTGATCCAGGATCTCTTTCCTATTTCACTCGGACGCCAGCGAGCGCTGCTCCCCGAGATTCAATGCATGATTACTCAACAGCAGCCGAACATCAGAACTGGCACATTCAATCCTCTCAGCAGCATCCGGTTACACCACCCCAGGCGCATATGCAAGCGACCGATATGCAACTGCTCGACGCATACTTCACCTGGTTCCAGCCGTTTGTGCCTATGCTCGACGAACAGGCTTTTCGCGAGACATACCTTTCCGGACACCGCAGAGACGACCGCTGGCTCGGACTTGTAAACATTGTCTTTGCCTTGGGAAGCATAGCAGCATGCCCGTCCGACGACATATCTCATAAGATTTATTACCAGCGCTCTAAAAGTTATCTAAGCCTGGATTCATTAGGATCCTCGCACCTGGAAACTATCCAGACTTTGGGGTTGATCGGCGGTTATTATCTACACTATGTCAGTGAGCCAAATCTGGCTTACTCACTCATGGGAGCTGCGCTCCGCATGGCGGCCGCCCTGGGTTTGCACAAGGAGTTCTCCTACAGTCAGGATGCGTCCAACAAACAGAAAATCCCAGCCATGGACCTGAAACGCCGAACATGGTGGTCGTTGTTCTGTATGGATACTTGGGGCGGAATGACTCTGGGGCGACCCAGCATGGGTCGTCTTGGTCCCACCATTACAGTGAAGCTACCGAATCACAGAGAAACCGTACGTTTGCTGCCTCTGAAGTATCCCTCGATTCTAACCACCAATAGGGAAACGTCCTCGATATCCTTCCCCTGCTTGAAAACATCCGGTTCTGCAAGATTGCTACACAGATACAAGAGGTTTTGGCTGTCGCACCGTTGACGAAACATGCCGAGATGGCCCAACTGGACAGTCAGCTGTTGGAATGGTACGAAAATCTGCCCTCCATCCTCAAAGACCATGAGCCATGCTCCGAATCGATTTCGAATGCGCGAACCATTATGCGATGGCGCTATTATAACCAGCGCATGCTCCTGTACCGGCCGACCCTGTTGAGCTATGCTATGCGGCGAGTCCCATACATTGCGCTGAGGTCGGAGGAAAGGACCGCTATTGAGAAATGCAGAGAAATGGCCGACACCACCATTCAAGATATCTCCTCTACGGCCCAGTCGCATCAAATGTCCGGCTGGAACGCTACCTGGCTCATCTACCAAGCAACAATGGTTCCTCTTCTGGGTCTGTTCCTCAACGACGCCACAGCGAGTGATCCCAGAGCGTCTGTTCAGTCGTGTCAGTCGCAGGTTGAGACGGCGATGATGGTATTAGCACGGATGCAGCTCTGGAGTCCCACGGCGAAGCGGACGCTGGAAGCCGTCTCAAGGATACTCGAAGCCAGCAAACGAGGCTCTGACATGGAAGGCACAGCAAGCGGTCACGCCAGTGAAAGCTGCGCCCAGGGGCGCGAAGGCAACATGTCGGGAATGATGCCTGGAGTAATCTCAGCACTGACGGAACACGGCCGAGGTGTTGCGATTGCGAATGATGGTGGAATGGTAGATCCGATGGCACCGCCATTCATGGACGAAACGACCGGCCAGCAACTTTGGGATTTTCTCAGCTGGAGCGATTCAACCATCTTGTCTGGATTCTCAGAGATTGAAAACCCGAACGACATGAAGTGCGGCAGCAATGCCCCTGGCTTCTATGGCAGTCCTATGACCGATTCAACATATTATATGCATCCATCTGTGCCCTTTTACTCGCTTGCTCAACCATAGGGACGAGTCTTATATCATTCTGGGGTTTCTTGATTGTTCTTTATTTACTTTAATGTACTCTTCTCTTGATATCCAATCTTTTGTATAAACGATCTGGCACTTTCGTTATATGTGTACCTCGGCTTGTTGGACGTGCGGGAATATTCTGGCGACATGTGGGAACCATGAAACGACGTACACGAGCTGGTCAAGCGCATAGGTATTGATTGATGATTTGCTATGGACATATGCAAATACCATTGAATTATCTCGCTTGCTGTGTATTTCTTAACTACTCCGTTCATTTCCTGCTATGTTGTCCAGACAATATATGAATGTATATGATTGGCCGCTGCTTTAGCATCACGCTGAGTCAGCCATCCACAGTGCAGATCGCCAGCAAAACATCAACCCGATTAATCCACTTCTTCAAGGTCATGTAGAGACCAAACCAGAATTAGCATTAATTGACCATGGTTGGATTATAAGGCTACCTCTAGCATTAGTGGACGCATGAAACTCGTCCATGAAATAAATTGCTAAAGACTCAACACCCTGGCGTCTCATAGCTGCTGCGCCTACACGTCTATCCAGACCATTCAATCTATCATCCAAATCGGGACACCCTGGCAGGGCCCCTCCAGAGCCACCATGACAAGCTTCTTCAACTCCCCCGCAAAAGTCATCGGCGCGTCGATCGCCCTGCGCGCTGTGCTACTAGTCTACGGCGCCTGGCAAGACGCCCACTCGCCCATCAAATACACCGACATCGACTACCTCGTCTTCACCGACGCAGCGCGGTACATCTCGCGCGGCGCATCGCCCTACGCGCGCGACACGTACCGCTACACACCGCTGCTCGCCTGGCTTCTCCTCCCGACGACATGGGACTCCGCCCCGGGCTTCTTCTCCTTCGGGAAGGCGCTGTTTGCGCTGGCGGATGTTGTGGCCGGGTGGCTGATCGCCAGGGTGCTGGTCTCGGCGTATGGGATGGGTCAGGAGCGGGCGCTGAAGTACGCGAGCGTCTGGTTGCTGAACCCCATGGTTGCGAATATCAGCACCCGCGGCAGCTCGGAGGGGTTGCTGGGGGTTCTGGTTGTGGGGTTGTTGTGGGCGGTGCTGAGTCGCAGGGTGAGTCTTGCGGGTGTGATTTTGGGTCTGGGCGTGCATTTTAAGATTTATCCGTTTATTTATGGGCCGGCGGTGATTTGGTGGTTGGATGCTGAGAGGGATGGTTCCCCCCTTTCCTCCCCTCATGGTAAAGCTGCTCGGGAGAAAGACCAGCACGAGAACCAGGACATCCTGTCCAGGGCAGTCAACTTCCTCACTCCCGCACGCATCCACCTCACGCTCGTCGCGCTGGCTACCTTCTCCGCCCTCAACGTCTCAATGTACATCCTCTACGGCCTCCCCTTCGCCCACAACACCTACCTCCACCATCTCACCCGCATCGACCACCGCCACAACTTCTCCCCTACAGCACCCTCCTCTACCTCTCCGCCGCGGGCGGCGCCCGCACTGCCTTTGAGTCGCTTGCGTTCATCCCGCAGCTTCTCCTGGCGGTGGTTGTCATCCCGCTGGTGCTTGGGAAGAAGAGTCTGGCGGGGACGATGCTCGCGCAGACGTTTGCGTTTGTGACGTTTAATAAGGTTTGTACGAGTCAGGTATTGCCGCCTCCTTTTCATATCCCAATCTTCTGCTGCAGGCAAATGCTGATGGTGTCCGTAGTATTTCCTCTGGTACCTCATCTTCCTCCCGTTCTACCTCCCATCTTCATCTTTGATGAAGAATCCGAGGAAGGGGGTAATGGTTGGGCTGTTGTGGGTTGTTGCTCAGGTGCGTCCCCTCACTCTTCACCCCCTACGGATATGAACGCTGATGCTACGAATATAGGCTCTCTGGCTGCAACAAGGGTATAACCTCGAGTTCCTGGGTCTGTCGAGCTTCGTCCCGGGGTTGTTCCTGGCGAGTTTGTTTTTCTTTGCGGTCAATGTTTGGATTCTGGGGATTATTGTGGAAGATGTGGGTGGCGCAGCTTGAATGCCTTTATTCTATGACACGGTGTCGGCATGTATATTAGTGGGTAAGGTACAGATGACATTGTATTTACACCTTGAGGCACAGGGTTTACATTCATTCCATTGATTCATTAAGCTTATTTCCGCCATCCATCAGAAGAACGCAAGGGTATTGTACTCTGAACAAAATTTTCTAATCGCATGGCTAACAGGCATCAGGTAAGGGTAGATCGAATCATGTTGTCTTCGACTCCTCTGGGAGTCTAGCAGCCTGGCGTCGCATGAAATCGTCGAGCCAGAATCAAAGGTCAAGGCTTCCCTGCATCAGCGATGATCCTGTACGCGCAGGCATGTATACTCAAGGGCCGCGCGCGCGGCAGGACGGCCCCGACGATCTGCGAGTTTGGCCCGTACTGCGGGTAGATGCCGTCTCGAAGCTCGACGAATCGTGCCTGAGGCCGGAACTCATTCAACGCATACAGAATCCGGTCGCTCCAGAGGCCGGTACATAAATTCCCCGAAAGCTGAAAGTACGGATTCAGCAGGGGACAGGCCGAGTCGAGGTCGATGAACCGGATGCGAATCTGATTCAGTGACGGATGGACTCCGAGACTCTGGACCGCTCCCACGACCAGCTTCTCGAAGGAGCGGATGAAGTTCATATTCCCGATGCCGGAAAAGTCCTCAAAGAATGGAAAGACCGAGCCCGCCTTCTTTTCACGACAGCATGTCTTGACTGCCAGATCTAGGTACCGGAGATTTGACGTTTTTGGCCAAGGCGGCGACGTGTTGCTGGTTGCCTGGAAAAAACATGCGCAGACCTTGCCCGTAAAGGTCAATGACATGAGTTTGGGGGCGAGTTCTCCCAACAACCGACACAGGTGTGGCGGTTGCGCCCCATCGCTGAACCAGGAAGCGTGCGTGTTTTCTTTGTTCGAAAAGCCTTCCAGGCTGATGTTGAGGTGAAGCAGGGATGGCGGCGGATTGACCAGAACCTTGGCAATGGTGTCGTAGCCTTCGATCTTCGGTTTCGCGTACGCACAATGCCACTCTTGCAAACCCGGCAACGCTTGAGACAGGTTACGCCAGTGCTGGTAATCTCGCATGATATTCCACGCTCCTCGCATAACAAAAATCTGTATGTTCGGCAACACCGGAAGGCGCTCCTTTCCAGCCAGTCCATACGGATCGTTCCTAAAATGACGGATCATAGGCGGTTTCTTGCAATGGCCCCCTTCAAGGGTGAGAATCCGCGCCTCGGGAAAGCACGCCTTTACATGGTGGAAAATGTCCTCCAGGGTGGCATTGTGACTGGACAGGTAGAACGTGTGGCCTCGCGGATGAAAGGTATCAGGATTCTCCCACGTCATTGTGGCATGCAGAAGAGCCGTCACATCCATCACGGCTATGTGCTCGTCATGGAATCGCCGGCGCGGCTGATAGACCGTGACACTCCGGGCTGCCCGATTGCCCCAGACCGGCACCCAGACCTCGACCTGACGGACATACTTGGCCAGATGGGGATGTGCACTGAACCAACCTGCGCTCTCCGCCAATTCATCCGTGGTGCCCTTGATCTTGACTGTCCCGCCTGGTTAGTAGCCAAAAAGAGAGCAGCAGAAGAGCACAACTGACTATGTCTGTAGATTCGATCTTGCACAAGAACCCTCCATACTGGCGATATAAGGGCAAGATCGGAGAGCACCTTTCTCCTGGGATGTCGTAGACACCTGCTCCAATTACGGGCCGACTTCCCAGGAGCCCCCATTGTAAGCGCCGAAACACGTTCCCCGAACAGATGGTCAAGAATGGCCTCGTGGACTTCGGCCGGGAGATCATGGAAGCGCACCCCGGACTGATACGGCTGGGATCCAATCGACTTTACCTGTAATTCCGCCGCCGTAGGAGTTGTAGTCTGGCAGTCCGGCTGACCAGGTTCGGTGGTGGAAGGAATCGGGTCATCGTGGATCTCAAATCCGGCGCTGGCACTTCGACTGGCTTCCTTGGAGTATGGAAGGGTAGGGATCACTGGAATTCTCTCCAGGGAGTTGACGGAGATAGGACGAGGAGGAGGGATGGTCGAGATCATGTGGGGCGATGATGGGGAGGAGAATAACTCAGAGGACATTTGGACTAGGACGAAGGAAGCGCAAAGAAGTCACACAACGCCAGAGGGGTAAAGCGAGAGTCGTAAATCGTGACGATGGTGAAGGTCTACAGTCTCGCAGAGATCAGTAAATCTATCAGCGAACGTCGACAATGTGCCGGCTGTCAAACATGAGGTTGTGCGGAGAAGATAGAAGGCTTCGAAGGAAGCAACAACCGGATATGAATGGACCAGAAGGAGGGGATACAGCAAGTGATAAACTCAGGTAGCATCAAGAGCAGCCAATGTATGGCATGGCAGCGATAATGCTGCGAGAGAGTATTCCTTTTGCACCAGTCATGCAGAATAAGAAAGAGGGGAAGCGATAATGAAGCAGTCAGGTCGTGGTCGTTGGGCAGCGTCGGAGAGAATAGGCGTGTATTATTATTTGAGGATGTAGTCAAGGAAGAGGTGAGTTAAGAGAAGGGAGGCAGAATGGTAGAAAGATAAGAAGAGACGGCAAAGGGAATCAAGGGACGCAACCAGGCGCTGGGAGAAAAAGAAAGGTGGAAGAAAAAATTGAGACAGAAACAGGTAATAATAAGAATTAATACTTGCAGCGCGAAAAGCTGATCAATCCCGGGATGGGAGGGAGATCAATCAGTAGGGGGAGATACGTAGTTAGAGATACATAGTGAGAGGGTACATAATAGATGGGGGTGTGACCGGCAGAATTCTCCAAGGCTGTCATGTCAGTATTCAAGGCGGACAGGGTAGATAAACAAATCATTATTATTATTTAGATAGATCACCTGCTGTAAAGGAAGCTAATTTTCCTGTAACAATGTAATTAGCTTGCTCATGTTGAGATGCAATGAACAATAATAATAATGAAGCAGTACTAGCACAATGATGTGGAGCATGCTATTTTTACTTGTAGAAAGCATCACCAGATACTTGGAAAAGCCCATCTAAACCAGCGCCTGAAACCTTCAACTATGCTACACAACTTGCTGGTGAGAATTATCCTGGTTAATATATCTCTTCATCATATCACCCATACATCCTGAGCTGGATTGATGAAGATTCAGTCAATTATATCGATATTTCGATGATTCAACTTCATTCTTCTATTGTTTGTTCCACCGCCCAAATGGGTCAGCCTCAGATCATCCAGGATCCATCGTCCCACTAGTCACATCTGCCTGTGCGCCCTGCCAAAGGAGCTGGAGAACCTCTCAACTCAAGTACGGTGGCTAGAGAGTACTCTGCAGTGTCTTCGATCCGTAGAAACTTCCATCAATCTTAACTTAGCCTCTCTTCATTTGAGTGATCAAGAAATGAGAGTCCTCCACTCCGTTCACAACTTGTATTCCTAAAATTTGTCAAGGGAGCCACTATCCTTGTGGGTAGACCCGCAGGTTCTAGCTGAGTCTGGTCTAGACTCAGTGATAGGAATAACCACCCGCAACTACTAAGAGACCTTCATCTGCTCTGTACTCTCAAGATCTCATATATATTTTCCAACAAATTACGACGCCGTCATCGCCGGCGACGAAATCTAAATCGAGGCTCATCATCACTATCCGAATCACGTTCTTCTCGGAGCCGTTTCTGACTTCGAGATGCTGGGGTTGTCTCGACCCTAGACACAGACACAGAAACAGACTGGGACTGGGACTGGGCACGAGATGACGCATCACGGCTTAGAGAGCGCTCGCGCTGGCTCTCTGATGGTCTAGGATCCGACGTTGCATGGCTAGTGACCCAGTAATGATCGCCGATGCCAAAGTCCTTCCGTGTCACCTCCTCCAAGGGGACAATAAGTGTCTGAATGCGATGCCGAGGTTGACCCGGCTCACCTTTGCGGCGAAACTTTTTGAAATTCTTGCGCCCATTCCATCGCTCATCCCATCGACTGTCCTCTGCGACACCGGGACGAGGCTTGATTTCCATCTCTTCCACAATGGCTAGGTTTTTGAGTTTCTCAACATCCGTATCTCTGAGAGAGTCTTGAAGCGATGCCTCTTCCTCTTGACGGCGCTTGCGCTGGGCGTCCTCTTCCGCTTCCCGATGCTGCCGCGCCGCCTCGAGCACGTCCAACTTTTGTCGTTTGGGTCGGCGAGGTTCTTCTGATTTAGGAAGGCTTTGTGAGTCTCCAAGGCTGCGCTGCACGGTCTCAGCTCGCCGACGTTTCATTGCTGTAGCACCGGGCAAGAGGCTTGAAACTAAATCTTCTTCATTGTCGAGAATACTGGGCTGTTGCGAACGGATTTCGGATGAAGGCGGTATGTCCTGAACCGGTTGCGAATCCACCAAATCAGCTCGTTCGTTTTGCGTGTAGGTGGGAATCGAGGATATATCAAATTCATCATCAAAGGATTTCACTTTGCTGCTAATGGGCCGAACCCTCGAAGACTTGACCTTCTTTCTAGCTGGCTCACTTTGCTCCTCGACCGCTTGCGAATCACCAATCACCTCGACGTGTTCATTGGGAGTCGCGGGAGGTTGTGATACTGGCGTTCGCCCAACCTCAGGGCTCGACTCCGTTTCGGGCAAAGGCTGGCACAGACAGGACGCATCATTGGCCAGAATGGCGTCAAGGAATTCGTTCTGCTCAATGACTCGCTGATCTGTCATTAGAGCAACTTGGTTGCTCAGTTCAATAGACCAGTTCTCCCATTCGCCCTTGGAACGAAATCGGACAAGGACTACCCCTCCGGGGCCATCCCTCTCCCCACTAAGGCCTTTCTGCCCAGCTGCATTCTTCATAAACTGGACAATCTCCTCAGCAGTGGTTACCCCATTTTCCAGCGGGTATAGCAGGGCTTTTCCGTGCCCGTTGCTGATCGGATCCTGCAAGTTGCTGAATTGCGAGGCATCCCAGAAAACGAAAGTATAGTCCTCGAAGATGTTGATTCTGTCAGCCCTGGGTGCAAATGCCTCTGCGGGCCGAGGGACGGCTTCTTTTCCCGGAGGTGGGAGATGCTCTGTCGGGTCCGGCCACGCAGCGTCGAAATCGGTTTCCAGGGGCGATAGCGACTCCAGATTCTCCAAATCATTCGGGGTTGCCGCATAAACTAGCGCATCGATGTATGAGTCCTGTACTATGTATTTCCCGTTCACCAGCGCCTGTAGTCCCTTGGCTGTATTGCGCTTACTTTGGACAACGTGCGTGGTATGACCGATTACATAGGGAATAATCGTTTTGATGTCCAGATCTTCGAGACGCGACCGGACCCGCGCCAGGGGATCTTTCGCTTTGAGTTCTTTCGAGGAGAAGGAGAAAGTGAGGACCGTAGGCTGCCACTTGACCCTGAGAACAATCCGCAAATAAGCTGCTGTTCGTTCATAGCAGCGGGAGTGCTTACCGCAGTGCATGCTGGTATCTTCCTAGTTTGATGAAATGTTCGTCCCCAGTCAATTTCTTATTCCCACCTTTTATTGACTCCCCATCGACTGTGGTCCCACATTTGGAGTTCTGGTCGTGAATGGCGATTTCTGATTTCGTGTAAATATGCGACTGCACCGAATTAGCAGAGAGGCGGAGATTGGGATCAGGGGATATCGTACTCCATCGCCAGGTTTGACCGGTGACACCTCAATCACCATGTGTTTTCGGGATATCGAAGCATGTTGAATGGCATGACGGACTGCGAAAATGCGGGTTAGTACCTGTTGCTGTACTGCGTATAGAACTTCCAGAAGAGTGGCCGTACCCCCATCTTGCTTTATCCGACCGAAGAGATACTTCTTCCCAGGCCGCAGCCACACGCGCTTCCCTAAGTAAGAGTAAGTCAAACCCAGAACCAAATTCGGCAATAAAAAGTAGGAATACCCTCTAAGAGATCGCCTTCTGAATCTAAAATCCACATGAGGGGCAGCAGATGCAGGCAGGACGCAGGGAGATAGCTGACCGCTCTGACAGGACAGTCCTGATGACGCCGAGAACCACGTCAAACAACACGGGCTGAAACGCGAGATCACGTGCCCAGGCGTCTCAATAGCTGCCTGGTTAGGAAATCTGCGCGACCACCATCTTCACATCAGCGTCAGAGAGGTCACTGGGATAGATATGGCATCAAAAGACGAGGAGTCTGATGGAAATGGCCAGGCACCGTCGAAAGAGGCGTCTGACAAAGACGAAACCTTGAAGTATCACTTGTTAGGACCATCTCTGACGAAGGCGGGCCAGGATGCCGTCGACCAGCGAAAGGTATAGACTATGCAGTTCTCCAAATTGAAATAGGCACAAGCTAAAGATATAAAGGTTTCTGAGATTATATATGATGCATCTAAGGGCTCCAAATTCTTCCACCACGAACAGACCCGGGATAGGATTTTAACAGCCAAAATCGAGCGCATATTGAAAGAAAAGGCTCGCCTAGAGAAACTGGACCTGTCGCATGACCTGAGAAAGGCCGACGAGCTGATTGCGGAATTGGAACTGACGAGAGATCTGTCTCAATATGTGGTACACGTTGATTGCGATGCATTCTTCGCAGCCGTTGAAGAGCTTGACCGGCCAGAGCTCAAAACTGTACCCATGGCTGTCGGAAAGGGAGTCCTAACAACGTGTAACTACGAGGCTCGAAAGTACGGATGCCGCAGTGGAATGGCATCCTTTGTGGCCAAGAAGCTCTGTCCGCAGTTGATTTGCCTTCCTCAGAACTATGAGAAATACACCGCCAAAGCGCAGGAGATTCGTGCAATTTTCGCGCAGTACGATCCTCTCTTCGAGAGCGCGAGTATTGACGAGGCATATCTCAATATTACTTCCTACTGCACAGAAAACAATATCGACCCTGAAGAGGCTGTTAGCCGTATGCGGGCGGAGATCTTGGAAACCACGAAGATCTCAGTCTCTGCAGGTATCGCGGCCAACGCGAAGATCGCAAAGATCTGTTCCAACCGCAACAAGCCAAACGGACAGTTTCGTGTCCCTAATGAGAGAGAAGCTGTTATGGAGTTCATGAGAACTCTCCCGGTCCGGAAAGTGAACGGTGTTGGTCGTGTGTTTGAACGTGAACTCGATGCAATTGGCATAAAGACATGCGGTGATATCTACCCTCAGCGTGCACTTTTAACCCGATTGTTTGGGGAAAAAGCATTCCATTTCCTGATTCAGTGCTTTCTCGGCTTGGGCAGAACGCAGGTCCAGCCCGTGGAGAACTATGAACGAAAGAGTGTCGGCACAGAGCGCACGTTCAATGAAATCGGCGACAAACAATTACTCCGAGAGAAACTCTGGGATACGGCGCAGGAACTTGAGAAGGACTTGGCTCGTACAGAGTGCAAAGGTCGTACGTTAGTTCTCAAGGTCAAGCTGGCCACATTTGAGGTGCTTTCCAGACAATGTCAGCCGCCCAGAGCAGTTTCTCTCGCCAAAGATCTTTACGCATTCTCACTTCCTATGCTAGCGAAGCTGGAAAAGGAGATCCCCAACATGAAACTGCGACTACTTGGCCTCCGCTGTACCAACTTGGTTAGCACGAAGAAAGTGGATGTTAACTTCTTTGGCGCGGCATCGCAGTCGAGGTCTGACGCTGGCAGAAAGCCTGATGCAATGACAGAACAGCAAATCGGTGCCGAGGAAGCTTTCGAGGCTGCTGCACGCCAGGAAAGGCAAGACGACATCAACGAGCTGGAGCAGCTCAGCCAGGAAATTTCCGACACGGAGCAAACGAACAAATCAGGCGACACCGCCATACTTCCTAAGTCAGCTAAGGCAGAAAGTCAACCGCAATTCTGGGATTGCCCAATCTGTTCAAAACCTCAGGTCGCGGAGGACAAAGCATTCAATGATCACGTTGATTATTGCCTCTCAAAAGAAACCATCAAGGAAGCCGTCCAGTGTACCACCGAAGAATCTCCAGTAGTCATAGCGAACGCACCGAAGGTAATCGGACGAAAACGAAAGGCGACAAAAGAGTCGTCTCACGAACCTGACGACCCACGGCAAAGGCGTCTTTTCTTTACATGACACCTCCAGAGCCGTGCAAGAAAAACCCTTTCCATATGGCCGCCATAAAGCATCTGCCCATAATAGTGTTATGCAAGACCAAAACCTATCAAACCGATCATTCAAGGTTGTCGCTGCGGCCAATCCGAGTCACATCAGTAGACACCGATCGGTTCGATGGCGCCGTTGAACTTCGCTGACGAACCAACCCCTTACTTCTGTTCGTGTCACAGATATGCGAGACTATTGCATAAGGAGACCAGCGCCACGCAGGGAGGAGATTTGATTTTGCAGCTATTGTTTCTTCAGTCTGGGTGCGGAATGATCCCGTCATCTCGTCGAACCATAACATTGTGGCTGTAGTCTGCTCTTGCATGCAGCAGCTTTCCTAGACATTTACCATGTCATCTTTCTATAACGAGGGGTGTAAATCTCCTACGGTGATGATTTCAGAGGGTGAAATCTTTGAAGCAGTTGATCTTAAAGCAAACTGTGGCATCAACAAATTCTTCTGTCATATAGATTATATAGTTATAACTTATCTAACACGATCCTTAGCTAACTGGGGTTCTTCACATGCGATTCTTAGACCCTAGCACCAATACCCCTCGTGTTTGTTCAAAACAAGTCAATCGACATTCTTTATGAGGTCATTCAGCAGGTCTGACCCAGTAACTGTGTTGGTGGCCATCGATCAGCCCATGCAAGAACAGTAACCGGAGCGCGAACAACATGATCACGATAACACCAATTCCCCGAAAAGGCGCACCATCACACGGGATCCCCAAGCGGCTGACAGATATCTGGATAGATTTAGTCAGACCATCGTGATTTTTGATCTGAATATCCGGGGATATTAAAACTTGCTTGCCAGGAATGCGCCGAGTTTCCCCTGGAGCAACAGTTGCGGTGAAAGCACGAGACGCACTAGACTGTTTTGGGACTGACGTGCTAGTCTAGACTAAGAATGATTGTTATTATTATCGTCACCCTTGCCTCTCCAATATTTATCTATCCCCTCAATCTATACTAATTTTTTCCCCTCTGCTTATCGGTATTGGGACCCTCGCATCGTACCGCAGACTACTCACGCCGCTGAGGTCGCTCTATCTGCTGGCCGAGTGCCACCATGCTTGCAGATCCTCGTGGAGTGTCGCAATGTCATAAGTCGCCCTCCTCTTTTCCGCCCCTCAAGTCCCGCAACTATGACCTCCGATAAACAAAACAATGGCCCTCTCGCCAAACCTTTCACGCCAACGCTCAGTGCTGCTTTCAATCGAACCAGCAAATCTCCCTTGACGCCCAAGCTCGCTAATCCCGGTGGTTATCGCACTCCCAAGAGACTTGCCCCCTCCGAACACCCCTCCTCGACTCCCGATGCCGAGACCGCCTCCTTCCTCAGTGCGAACATAACCCCTCGATCAGGTTCACGCAATAGCAGACGTGATGGATTTCCGTCCCCGAGCAATGCACCGTCCAGCGTACAGTCATCGCCGCAAGTACAGTATTCGCATGCAGGTGTCGCCCATGTTGCGAGCTCAGGGGGATGCAGAACGGAGCGGAGTCCCGCCCGCTCGAACGGGAAGTTGGAACCGTCCAGAGGGAATCGAGCAAAGACCCTGACGACAGAACGTCCAAATACTCCACGGCCGAATTCTTATTCCGACTCTTCCACTTCACGAATGTTTTTTCATGCCTATGATGCGCGGTCTCCGAGTTCTTCCGAGGTGGACATCCGATCCAAACAACTAAGCAAACCATCCTCGCCTGCTACGTTTGTATATGCCAACGGAGAGCACGAGGAGCAGACTCAAGGCGAGGAGGCAAATATCGCGGCTCCGACGGTCAAGCGGCGATCGATAGGCTCGTCTCGTCCTGCGTTGGCACCAAAAGCTCTCCCAGCTGCTTCGCCCCGGTTACGGCCAGCTAAGCTCGCTGACTCCGCGGCGAGACTTTCGGACGCTACTTCACAAGTCAGCTCACAGCGTGATGACATTTCCGAGGTTAGCTCCCAAGCTCATAGCTCATTCTCGGGCGCTTTCCCCGCAAGACCACCTATTCCGGCCGTCAGGCACATCAAATCATCAAGTCTCGATTCTGCCAGCAGCGGTGTCCATCCCAAAGAGGGCCTGAAGCCAAGCCCGATTATCGTATCAACGGTCGAATCGCCGGTAGAAGCAGAATGTGCTGCATCCGAGTCGATGCCGGGGCTCAGGCCTCGAATTCTCAGCAGTGGATCTACGACTTCGGTGGACACACATCTTTCATCCGCTGCACAGAGTCCGGTGAAGTCGGATACCGGACAGGCAAACAACGACGTCGTTCTCAATGCGCGAATTGAGAGGAAGATCCTTGACTTGGAGATCAGCAACTCATCTTTACTTGCGATCAATCGTACCCTAGAGCGTGAGATGCGCAAGCAGAATGCAGAGTTGCGAAGATATCGCCGTCTGAGTCGCTCCGGCCGTTTGTCCGTGGCGCCATCTACACGATCCTTCTCCGGAACTTCGTTAGGGATAACTAACGAATTGGACGAGGAAGCAAGCGAAATCTCGTCTATTCGCTCTCCGGAGGAACTATCGGATTATAGTGATGAGGATTCCACCATGGACGAGGGTGTTGTCAGCCCCGATTCGCTTGCCGATCACGATGCGAGACATCGGGTCAAAGATGAGAAGCGGTTCTTCATCGACCTTGCGAAGCATCAGGAATTGCTGGCTGACAGTCAGAAAATAAATCAGAGCCTCAAACGATGTCTCGGGTGGACAGAGGAGCTAATAAAAGAAGGCAAGAAGGCTCTCGAATATAGCGTGCATGTCAACGACGTACAGCTTGGCGGACGAGTCCTCTCACCGGACGAGCTTCATGAGGAGGCAGAAAGAGCCCGTGCACTGTTGAGTCCTGTTGCTGAGCCTCCTGATCCTTTGTCGGCATCTCAGGAGTTGGAATCTCTAATGGAGATGCTCGACAATGAGGGCTACTGAGCATGGTTTCCTCATTGTACAACATACTTGACGGGCAGGCCCGTTCGTTCTCTTCCCGTTGTTCGGTCACTTTGGAGCTCCTTTTTTGTTCACACTTATATTCTATCCGATTCCCATATCTACTGCATTTCTGGCGTACTAAGGTCATTTCCTATTCTTTATCACGGCGCTGGCTGCTTTGGCCCTTCGGCCGCCTCGGCCTTCTACTTTCATCATTAACTTTTCTTTTTCTTAAGCGAAGATACATGGTCACGCTGTTTACCTGCTGCCTGCACTCTCCGGTATATTGTTAGATACCCGATGCGCGATATGTTTGTTGTCTCTTGGATATGTCCACTGATGGAGCATATTGTGGTATAGAGCAAGCTAACCGAGAAGATATACTCATGTGTTTGCATTGCTTCTCTTCCTCTCTCTGCCATATACATTTGGTTTCTTATATGAGCAAAAACTCGCCCTAACATGGCGGCATGCTTAGGCTTTGGCATCTTGCAAGATGTTGATAGATATACAATTAGTGCATGCCTCACAAGCAACAAGCAACGTTTGATATACCAAACATTGGTCGATAGACGGAGCGCGTCGTAGTATGTCGCAGCGTGTTGGCGTCTTTCTCCGCAAGCCAGGCTCTTGAATAACGGCAAAGCAGTCGGTTCCTTTCCCATAAATGAAAGCTAGATCTTCTTTCTCGACAAGCAGCCATAGCCATCAGAACTCACGAGCAACTAGCTTTGCAAGATACACCTTGCACTCACGGCTCATCCGCTCGTCCGCCCCATCTTCAGATCGAGCCTCTTGTCCCGACACGGGGATCTCGATCGCTGGGAAGCCCCCAACGTCCACAAGATACTCATACGCGCGCTTCACACCTTTCCTCCACATTGACACTGGTATATACTCTGTCGCAACCAGGAGCACAACCGGTAGAGCGTCGTGCATGCCCTGGATTCCGCTTTCCTCAATGGGATACAAGGCATATTGAACAGAAATACCGTACAGAGACAAGAAATACAGAACGCTGTGGCGAAGTCTGTGTGCAAGCCTGGATAGCCTGCGTTGCAATGGGTCAAAGCCGTCTATGGGCGTGGTGAAGTTGACTTGTAGACGGGAGGGCAGCGCCTTTTTGCCCTCTGTCTCTTCTGCGATCTCTGTCGCTGCTTCTGTTTCTGTTTCTGTGTCTGAGATTTCCTCTGTGGATGGTGGGCTGGGGGAGTCCAGCGCCTCGTGGAACGCCGCATTGAGATCGCAAGGGTGCTTGCCCATGTAGCTGTCTAGGGACGCGCTTTCATCATCGATCATCATCTCGTCGAAGGAGTATTCGGCGATGCGAGACTCGAACTCCATCTTGTATGTTGAACGAGTGACTAATTAACGCTTGTGATGTAGTAGTGTGCCTGGGTTTGGAAGTGGTATGAGAAGTAGTAGGGTGGAGAAGTAAGGGGAACAGAAGTCCTTCACGTAGCTATTCTGAGGTCATAGTGAGCAGCATAGAGATCCGACAATATCGATCCATAGATTCCCCAATCAATGCCTGGCTGGTACCTGAATAGGAGTTCATCCATGGTACACTCCTATCATTGGTTTCATTCATCATGCACTGACAGTGTTTAGTAAGTATTCAAATCAACAGCTACACAGGCCGTCCATCCCCAACCTGATGCCCACCCGTATAATTCCCAAAACAAGCAACCTGATACATCGCCTCCTCCTTCAACTTGGCCACACCCCCCAGAAAATCCCTCAGAGCACAGAACCCATTCTCCGCGCGCTCACAGCCCACCAAACCCTGCATCGGCACCGGCGCCCCATTCAGCATAAACCGGATATAGTCCGTACCCCTCACGGCCGGATTCCTATACAGCGTCGCATCCAACTCTTCGAATGATGCCTTCGGCTCATCCGGACACGTCCAGATTTCAGAGACGAACCGCGCCCCAAACGGCACGATCTCATTGAGTCTGAATGTGCGTTCCGGCGCATGCTCAAGTGTATCCGGTAGACCCTGTTCTCCATACTTGAAGTACTCGAGTCCCAGCGCCGCAAGGACAGCGACGATGACGTCGTCGTGCGACATGTCCATGTACAGGGGCTGGTGGAGGGGGAATTGCGCTGCGTTATTGTCGAAGGTATAGTTCACGCTAGTATCGCTGGTTGGAATAAGGCGCCCGGAGAGTCTGGACGCGAGCTCGAGGATGTACCCGACCCCCTGGGCGCGGCCGCTGGGGGCGCCGAGGCCGTAGTTTCCGTAGAATTGGAGGTCGAGGGTGTAGGCGTAGTCGTGCCATTCTTGTTCGGTGAAGAGGGAGCAGAAGCGGGAGGAGCCCAGGGCGGCGGTTTCGTAGGGGCAGAGGTTCATCATGGCGGTGATGTCGAAAGGGGTGAGGTTGAAGTCTGGGGGCAGGAAGTTGCCTAGACGGGATAGAGCGGGTTTGGTGAATCTGGGGATGAATTTCGTGGCGGAGGTGGTGCTGGACTGGTTTAGTTGGGTTCTGGAAATGGCAGTTGGGGGAGTTGGTAGGTTTACCCTTCTGATTTATCGCCTGGACAGGAATGGTCTGAGGCAAGGGTGTTGTTGAGACCGTTTCCTTCCGGGATGATGACGAGGTCGTACTCGGAGTAGGAGCTGTTTGCGCCGGTGTTGCCAAAGAAGCCGCCTGTATCAGTCAGTATGGGTCGCCCAGTTGGACAGAAACACGCTGGGGGGGCACTCACTTAGCCACCATCGAGCACTTTCCAAGATCCTAGCCTGCGACGTCGTCCTGAAAATCGGTTTCGGTCTTGCAGTCCCGTTGGGATATAAATTCAGGGAAGAATCCCAGGCCGCGACACCAGGCCCGGCGCGATAAAGCAGCCTCCCGTATTTCGCCCAGATACTGGCCCCAGAGGTCGCCTCCGTCGCGGCACCGGTGACCTGCAAGGTATCTTCGCCGAGCATGTACTCCCACTCATTGAGAAAAGCCAGCGGCCCTTTGCCAACTTTGCCGTCGTGCAGTTTGCTATAGTTCTTCACCTTTTGCGCAAACGCTTCCATGCCCCCGCCATCTAGAAGGGAAGAAACGGGGTACCGCTGGGCATGTCGGTGCAGGACATGAACCTGGGATAGCTCGCAGCCTCGGGGAACGCCGTTTGATACGTTGAACCCGGGCGCATCCTTGTATGGACTGAGGTTTCCCCAGCTAGTCGTGATATCAAATCCCGACGCGAATGTGGCGCCCGTCGGAGCAGATACATGCGCAGGGCAGCTGGTAGTTGGCGCAGAGGAAACGCCTCCCACGGCTGCCAGAAAGGCGACTGCCGAAACAGGGGAAAGAAGGAATTGATGCATGGAACCAGTTTAGTAGCAATAGCAGACTGCTCAGTACTGCCCTATCATGATTGAAAATCCGGCAGATGTGCGTGTTTATATGCTGCGTCGGCCCCATGGCGGGACGAGTAGGAAATCTGCGGGGTTGTGCTTTTGTCGGTCAAGACCAGTGTGCAGTCAACAGGGTATGGAAATACAGTAGATCAGAGATCGCCTGGTAATCAGTATTTCGGCCTTTGAATGGAGTAACAGGGATCTACTCCAAGCTGAGGGGTCACGCCAGTCGGAGGACACGCATCTCGCCCTACGCTCAAGTGGCGCCGACGAAGCTTCGTTTAGTGAGTAGCGTGCTGCCAGCCGCCAGTCATGTTGAAGTCATCAAGAGACAAGGATCGGATGTGAGTCTTGGGGACTACCTATTTGCCGAGAGATCCGGATGTTGATCATTCGTAACGGATAGTCCTTGGCTTATTTGGGTAGTTACTCGCGTGCGCACCCTGTTCATTCTCCGCATCTGGAGGCTGGCAAGTGGCATGATTCCTGCTTGAGAACAGCGTCTCATGCCGAAATACAACGTCGCCTAGAAGGCTTCTGTTTGATCAGAATCAGGCTTCGAATTATTAGCAGCTGGCTGTGATCTTCTGTGGAATGCTGACAGACGGAGGCCAAGAAGAGCCGAAGAACGCAGGGGACAGGGGTCTCAGCTGTGGAAAAGCCACACAGCATTGGCAAGATTTGATATTATTGGGGCCTTTCTTACTATAGCCGAGTCGAAGATCGTACGGGATTCTGTTTCCGGTCAACATATAGCAATATCTACTTCAGGAGATGTAGACGACAACTAATAGCTGGTATCACGAGGCTCTATGGGCTGTATATAATTGATGGATCTAGCGGCCGGCAGATATTAATGAAACAATTCGCCGTCAACACCCAATCTATCATTAAAATTTAATATAATGTACGTGAAATATGTAAAGTCCCGAGCGGGTCATGAAGGCGTAAAAGGCACGTATCCAAGCACCCCGAAGGACAGAATCGAATAGAGGAGAGTAAATAGACAGCGGTAACCCAGGAGCTCAGCAGAACGGGCCTCATGGCGGATATAAACAGGACTAGGTATCTATGCGGTGGTTTCCTCTTCGTGGTGGTGATGCTCATTCTTCGACTTTTCCTTCTTCTTTTTCTTCTCGTCTTTGCCCTTCTTCGACATGGCTTCGGCCATGAGCTGCTCAAAGGCCATGTAGTCTCCTTCTTCCTCGGGATCACGCTCTGCCTATAGTTTCACTTAGCGACCTGTGACATGGTTACGGCCGAACGGGAAGAGAACTTACCTTTGCATAGATATTGCCGGCAATAACCAAGGCGTGCGCGCGCTCAAGACGCTTCTCTAATTTGATGCGCTTGTCACCCAGGACTTGATCACAGACGTCGCGCAGCACGCTCTGAATCTCAAACTTGCTGCCTCGCCATGCGGCCGCCAGAATCTTGCCGGTGACCTTCTTTTCGTACTCCGCCTTCTTTTCGTCGGTCCAGTCCTCTCCGCCCTTCTCTTCCAGCTTGGCCATCTCCTCCATGGTCATCTGCGCATCGATAGCTGTAGAGATTGTAGTCCAGGTCTCCTTGGCCAGAGTACCCTTGTCCTTGAGCCGAGAGAAGAAACCGGAGATACCAAGGAACTTTTGAGACTTGATGAACGAGGTAGCTTTTGATGTGTAGGTAGCACCAATGGCATGCAGAATCTCCAGACCGAACGATTCCATCTTCAGGTTTTCCACCTCAAGGCGAATCTTCTCCTCAAAGGCACGGGTTACGTCGGGACCCTTGTCGGTTTCCGTCCAGACGCTCAGCTTGTCGACCAACTTGGTTGCCAGAGTGTTGACCCGCTCCTCACGAGCCTTCTTTCGCTCCAGTTCGTAAGCAGCCAGGCGCTCTTGCTGTTCCCGAGACAGGCCCTTCTTTTTCTCCTTCTTGCGCAGTTCCTTCTCCTCCTGAGACAGACCGGCTGCCTCCATCCGAGCCTCCTCTTCCGACTTGTCCATGATAGCCTGTTGTCCCAAGTAGCGACGGGGTGTACTCGATCCGGAGGTTGGCGCCGGCTTCTCTGATGGTTCGGGGGCTGCGGCTGCAGCTGGCGCTGGTCCTGGGGCTGGGGCAGGGGCTGCGGTGCCAGCGGCATGGCTGGCTTCCCCTGTCGCGGCGGCAGCCTTGACCTCCTCGTCGTGAATATGGAGTTTCTCTTCCGCCGCTTCCGCCAGTTCTTCCTCCTCCATTTCCTGCATGGTGATGTCCATCGTCGCGGTCAGGTCCTTCATCAGAGAGATTTCACCAATCAGATCGACAAACGCGCTGCCACCGAAGATCATGCTGAAGAATTCGGCCGGGTCCTCTATATCGGCTATCAGTATGGTTCGACAGCTCGATCACAGCTGAACAACTCACCGAAACCGCCGCCCGGAACTGATTCTTCCTTTCCGTATTTATCATAACGCTTTCGTAGCTCCTCATTGCTGAGAACTTGGTAGGCTTCTCCAATCTGATCGTACCGAGAGAAATTAGCACTTATTACACTTCCATATATTGAAGTATACACACCGCCTGAAACCTCGCATGCGCACTCTCATCGCCGGGGTTCTTGTCTAGTCGAGAAGTCAGAATTAATAGCAAGAATCCGAGCAGCCATAGGAGTAATCGCACCAGGATGGGTCACAATGGCCAGTTTCCGATAAGCCTTCTTAATCTCGAGTTCTGTGGCCGTGGGTGGCACACCCAAAGCATCGTAGTAGGTAGTGTCTGCAACCATGCTGACTTGGAGTCAATCAAGGCAGAAATGTGATATGATCGTCCGCAAGATCGCAAATGATGAGAAGTTCCAGAGAAAAAATCAGGACGGAAGCAGATCGTAACCTGCCAGACTAGTCGGCTGACCGAGGACAATAATAATTTTTATCTGCCTGATGATGCTCTCCGACAGCAGTTTCGTCATGGCGGGGGGAAACATCTGTCGGCGTATTATATGTACGGTCCTGTCACAATTACCACTAGCCACAGGTGAATAATGGGAAAACAATACTAAACTGGACCTCGAGGGGGGTAATACAGGCGTAATGATAGGAGCCTGTTATGCACGGACGCCAAGACTCTCTCTTTTCCCTCGAATTTCCCCTTGACAACCTCAGGCCCCCAGGCCCTCCAGGCCCTCAGCCACTCCTTGTGCACATTATACGCACCCAGACTCTTTGTTCCCCTTTTCGATATACGGAGTAATAATCTCCCATCTTTTCTTCTTCTCTGTTTTCTTCGCTCCTGGGTTTCACTCTCTCCTCCACCTTCCTTCTCAGTGAGATCGTTTCTTCTTTCCTCGCTTCTCCGGTTGTACATCTTAATTGTGTCAATAGCTCTTCTTGATTCGCTTGTTGGGGTCCCCACATTCCCACTATTTTTTTTTTCCCTCTCTCGCCAACATCCGTCGTTCCGTCCTCTCCTTTTCCGTGTCCTCTTCTTCCCTACAAATACCTCACCATGGGCGTTGCAGCAAATGCTTTTTACTACATCTTCCATCCCTCAGAATTGAGGTCGATACTTCAATGGTTGGTCCTGGCCTTATAGCTATGAGCACTCCTCCTTGCCCTTAGTGTCTATGTGCCATTACTTACGGACACCCTTTCGTCCTTGCTGATAGGAAGATATGGCACAATCCTGTTCATGAACGTGATGAATCCAACGAGTCAGAAACAGCGAAGACATGCTTCAAGTTCCTGGACCTGACGAGCCGGAGCTTCAGCGCGGTGATCAAGGAGCTTCACCCTGAGCTCTTGCTTCCCATGTGCATCTTCTACCTGACACTCCGTGGGCTGGACACCATCGAGGATGACACCTCGATTCCTTTGGAGACTAAGGAACCCCTTCTTCGTGGATTCAAAGACATCCTCGAGCAGGATGGCTGGACCTTCACTGGTAACCGGCCTGAAGAGAAGGACCGTGAACTGCTGGTTCAGTTCCACAATGTCATCACCGAGTTCAAGAAATTGAAGCCTGCCTACAAGGCCGTGATCAAGGATATCACGGACAAGATGGGCAATGGTATGGCTGATTATTGTCGTAAAGCTGCGCTGGACGATGCAAGCGTCAAGACGGTCGAGGAATACGACTTGTATTGCTGGTATGTTGCTGGCCTGGTCGGAGAAGGGTCGACTCGCCTCTTTGTTGAGGCCGAGTTCGGTAACCCCGCCTTGCTCAAGCGTACCGAGTTGTATAGATCCATGGGTCTTTTCTTGCAGAAAACCAACATCATTCGCGATGTCCGTGAGGATTTCGACGACGGTCGACAGTTCTGGCCCAAAGAAATTTGGTCCAAGCACGTCACCGACTTTGAGGATCTCTTCAAGCCGGAGAATCGTGAGGCTGCACTGAACTGCAGCTCCGAGATGGTCCTCAACGCATTGGGACATGCGGAGGAGTGTCTCTTCTACCTTGCTGGTCTGCGCGAGCAGAGTGTCTTCAACTTCTGCGCCATCCCTCAGTCCATGGCCATTGCTACCCTTTCGCTTTGCTTCCGCAACCCGGCGATTTTTGAACGTAACATCAAAATCAAGAAGGGCGAGGCTTGCCAGTTGATGATGGAGTCGACGCAGAATCTGCGGATCCTCTACGAGGCCTTCCGTAGATATGCTCGTCAGATTCACAAGAAGAACACCCCGAAGGATCCCAATTTCCTCGAGATTGGCATTGCCTGTGCGAAGGTGGGTATCCCCAATTCATCACCGTTTGTCCAAATGCTAACAGTCGCAGATTGAAAAATTCATTGAGAACATCTTCCCATCGCAATCGGCCGAGGAGGCCAACCGGCGTGTCTTGGGCCAAAAGTCTGAAGCCGAACAGGAGAAGGCCAGACTGGAGGCCGAAACCCGCAAAGACGTCCTCTTTATGATGGCTCTGATGGGCGTGATTGTGGTTTTCGTTTCTATTGTAATGGTACGGCTTGTCACTCCTTGCCATTGCCATCAATTGCTAACAACCATCAGATTGGATTCGCTTGGTACTTTGGTGCGCGCTTCGATCTTGCGTGGCAGGAACTCCGCAAGGGAAATTTCCGCCCACCCAAGCATCTGCGTGACCGAGAGTTATAGCCTTGTATTACTACTACGGAGTTACGACCTTCACTTAAGCTGTTTTGATATCCAGATTCTTACTGACCCTGCAGATGACTTACGTTTCTGTTTACTTACCACGTCAGTTCTTGCAGAGATACTTTACCTAATACCACCCTTTAATTTCTTCATCTTTCCAACATGTTTACCTACGGCTGCTCTCGCCTGTTGGTCTACTCGACCTTCCCTAGCACGGATGTCAAATTGCAATCCAGCCCTTTCATGACTGTGGTTGTGCCGAAGAAGTGCTGATATTGAGTGGAGATTCATCTCTTTGACCAGTGACGTACTAGATGTGTGTCTTGCAACGTTCAGTTTTGCTGAACGCTGAGATGGCAAACATCCATTGAGGATCTGGGACATTCTTGTATTTATCTAGTTTAGCATTCTGAATGTACGCTTCGATAGGTTGATACTTGTGCTCGTCTGTGGTCTCTGGAGAAAAGTCGTAGTCTGGGCGGGAAGGCGCTCTAGTCTTCACCGTAACATAGGACCTTTTCCATTGCTTCCTGCGATATGAAAGAGGATATTTGTCAGGGATTTGTAATGGGCACTGCTCGTTGCCGATGCTTCTGATTCGCAGCGACTTCTCCCATCCCCACCTCGGAGAGATATACAGCGAGGGAAGAAAAGTTCTATCTACGGAATATATCAACTGCTTCTGGATACACATTCATTAGATTCCTTGACATCAATGAAAAGGCTTCGAATCATACAGAGCCCATCCTTTCTCCACCTGAGCTCGGTACGACGTGTCCACAGATCAATTCTTCCTGTAGCAACCCGCCATCAACCATTCTCAATAATGAGCCAGAAGAAGCATCAAGCATCCCCGGACCCCACCGGTCAAGCAGACGGAAACAATGAACCTTTACCCCCGCTCTCAGCCAAAGACTTTCGAACCTACAACCGAATGGCGGAACAAATGGACCAATTCGTACGCGCCCTACTCCTCACCTCATCATTCCACCCCACTAACAAAAACCACAGCACAACCACTTCCGGCTAACCTGGAACCAACTGCAAGACGCCTGCACCAGCACAGGCAAAAAGCCCAGCGGGCTCTCCCCGCGCCAACTCATCATGGCCGGGCTCAGCTTCTGCTCGCAGCTCGACTTCCACCACTCCATCGAAGAGCAGCACATCTTCCCTGTGCTCGCGAAACGGATGCCCGAGTTCCGGCGCGAACTGGCGCTCCTCTCGCAGCATAGGCAGATCCATAAGGGTCTGGAGAAGCTGGAGGATTATTTGATGAAGTGCCGCAGCGGCGAGGTGGATCTGCAGCGGGAGGAGGTGAAGCGGCTTATGGATGGGTTTGGGGATGTGCTGTGGAAGCATTTGGATGAGGAGGTGAGGACGCTAGGGGCGGAGAATATGCGGCGGTATTGGAGTTTACAGGAGATGGCGAGGCTTCCTATGTGATTTTTTTCGTTATAGATTTTAAGGCATGTGGATGGTTCTGGGTTCGGTGGCTGGCTTGGGGTAAGTCTTGTCGTTTCTTGATAGACCTTTGAAGCATTAAATCTGACGTAACAGTTCTCATCCTGTGGCTCAACAACTTAATTCGTTAATAGTTGCTATTTTATTTGCATTGTCCATCTCAATGAACGTTTCGGGACATCCCTGATACCTATGTCGGACACATGATGGCCGCTCTGATCATGTCTCAGCTGCAAAGACCGTCTACTGCAAAACCTACCTCTCGAGAGGTACTTCAGTCAAGCACCAAGACGTCATGCCCGTCACGAGAGCCAACTTTAAGCTGGCGAAAAAGTGGAATATCATCAGCCTGGACGAAGGTCTATCCTTGCTCGGGTCAAGGGCTCATTGGTGCCACGCTTCCGGTCGGCCATGCGATATGGACCTTACATTCCTCAGCTAGGGATGCCTGATACAGAGTCCGCAGGACAGTATCAGCCGGGAAAGGCATACTTTCAATGTTTGCAGTTGCGAATACCCCTTGCGGCGGGAGGAATGCGGCCAACCCGCTTTCAGCGGGTTTGGTACCTGATGCTCTCGTCAGTTTACGTGGACTGTCACAAGGCACAGGCACTTGAATGGCGTCATTATTTTCATGTTGGGTGTAAGGATGGGGATATTGATGTCTACTGACTGTGTCCCTCTTATGGTCCACCCGCCTGATCGTGTATGCTATGTCCATAGAGTGGGCAGAGTGCTGACGGGAAACGACGCGACTCGGCATGGATCAAGTCAACAGAATACATTGACTGTTTAGTTTGCAGCGGACATGCAGCGCTGATCCAGTTTGACCGCTTGCTCAGTGACGCACGCGGATAGAGCAGATCTTGATTCTGAAGCCTCCATCCCCTCCTGGTAGTCGATCATACTTGATTCCGTCGGTGACATGATCACTTGGTAGTAGCGTTGGAATGCTTGCGGGTACTCTTCAAGTCAGTTTTGGCAAGGATAATGACAATAACCATGAGGTTACTTTCGACCTGCAGGACAGGCCCAACCGCATGCGACTCTTTTCCTCCAGGGTATTAAAGAGCCAAAAGCCACACCCGCCGACTACGACGGGAAAGCGCATCGTTAGCTCTCTTGACTGACCACCTTACCTCCCTACGAACATGAAGTTCCAAACCAGCATCCTCGCCGCCACCCTGCTGGCCGGCAGTGCCCTATCTGCCCCCAGCAGCCGGTCCCTTGAGCGTATCCGCGCCCGGGCTCTAGCCCGGCAGTCCCACCCCATGGACGGCACGGGAGCCAGCCCAGCTGAAGCGGACCCCAACGCAGAGCACCGAACCACCGCGTCCAAAGTCTCCTACAGCAAGAACTGGTCCGGCGCTGTGCTCGAGCAGCCGCCCCCCTCGGCAACCTACACCGCCGTGTCCGCGACCATCACCGTCCCCGAAGCGACGGCCGTCGCCGGCGTGACAGGCACGCAAGCCAGCTCTGCCTGGGTAGGCATCGACGGCGACACGTACGCGAACGCGATCCTGCAAGCCGGCGTGGACTTCTACGTCGACTCCAACGGGGCGCACAGCTACGACGCGTGGTTCGAGTGGTTTCCTGATACCGCGCACGGATTCGACCTAGCCGTCAACCGCGGGGATGTCGTCGTCGTCAAGGTGGAAAGCACCTCGCCCAGCGAGGGCGTCGCGATCATCGAGAACCAGACGAGCGGGAAGACGGTGTCGACAACGCTGAAGGCGCCCTCGCCGACTGCTACCCTGGCGGGCCAGAATGCGGACTGGATCGTCGAGGACTTCCAGTCTGGGGAGACGATGGTGCCGCTGGCTGATTTTGGTCGCGTGGAGTTTACCGGCTGCGAGGCGAAGGCTCGCGGGAAGTCGTATGGGCTTACCAATGCTACCGTCATTGATATAGAGCAGGATGGGAAGGTTAAGACACACACGACTATTGTGAGCGATAGCGAGCTTGCTGTCGAGTATGTCCGGTAGCCAGTCCCGGCTCGCATCTGCGGTATATGGAGTATGGAGTTTATTGCAGGACGATTCTGGGGAGTTTGGCGCATGTATCGTGTCTTTGTTGCCATCATGCAGTACACCATAACAAATGAATAAATATCCACGTACCTTGAAGCCAAAGTCAAGCAAAGTCCTAGTCCCTGTATACATTGGCCCTAAAGCAGACCGAAACCCAACGTCTCCAGCACCAGCACCAACACCTGCTCGTTTGAGTAAGGTAGTTGATGTGGTTTTGTGGTAGTATGTAGTTGTTGTCGACTGAGAGGATATGAAGTTTAATCTGCTTAGTTGGTTGTCGTATGCTGAGGTGAAGAAGCTACTTTATATCAAGGTTGCCCGTTGAGGAATGACGACAAGCCTGAGTGATAACTAGTAAGGGTTGGCATGATTGATTTGACTCATTTGAGCTGACCATTTCCACAGGGAGAATTGTTAGGCTGCCGCTACTGCCTATTAATGCGCGGCCGATAGATACAGACGTGGGATATAGTCATTTAGAATGATCTCGCTTACATCTACCCAACCAACAGGCCCGAGCAGTAAACCTCAAATCGTCTCTCCGTCCTGCCCGTAGGGCAGAAGTTACAAAACATACCGAAAGCGAGGATTCTACCTCCATCAGCAACTGCACCGCAGCACACAAGCAATATAACATAACATACCTCGAAATCCGTCAAATCCGCCAGAACCTGCTCATCTGCGCCGCCGTCTGGCCCAGGGACGGCCTCGGCATCTCGCCGCTTATTCCGTCTTATCAACAATACCCTCAAGGCCACCGTGCACGCCATCTGGCCCAACACACACGCCAGAATGAGCTTGCATCCGGTCTCATAGACGGGTGCTTCTCTAGCCAGAAAGGCATGGGGACCGACGATGTTTCCCGCGCAGTACGCGAGGAAAACGAGGGCGGTTGCGGTAACTCGTTTGGTGTAGCCGCCTGTATTGCTCGAGGGCATTTGGAGGCAGAGGACGAGGGATGTGACGTAGGATCCAATCTACTAGGTTAGTATCCTCCGGGCCAAAAAGAGGGTCGTTGACGTACGATGTAGTAGCCGAAGAGGACTCCGTAGCGATTGGTTCGGGGCAGCTGCCAGAGTAGACAGACGCCTGTCACGGTGGGTAGGAGGTAGATGACCATGATGATTGTGCGGATGTCCTTGAATCGCGAGGAGAGGTAGGTTCCTGAGAGGATGAAGAAGACCTGGAAGGCTCCTTGTGGGATGCCTAGGGCTGTTGCCAGGAGAGGACTGGAGACCAGGCCTTTGATGATAAGTTTGCCGAACTGTAGATCATGAGTAGAGGTCTTAGGATGCAGGGATGAAGACGTACATTAGCCACACCTCCGTTACATGTCTCATTAAGCAAGACGAAAAGGAACGCGAGCCAGACTTGGGGGTCGATGAGGGCCTCTCGGATCTGATACCACTTTATCGAGCGGTTGAGAATGCCCTGGGAAGATTAGTAATGGACTCTGTGCATCGGCCACAAGCACATACTGTTTGATTCTGCTTTCCTCTTCCGATAAGCAGTATTTTTTCCTCGATCGTGAACCGCTTCGCGGAGAGAATGCTGTTGGGAAGGAAAAGCAATAGAATCCCTCCCCAGAGCACCGTCACGCCGCCACAGATGAGGAACACTGCTCTCCAGACCGGAAACCCATTTAGCTGGCCAATAGCGAAGCTTATGAGGCCCCCGAGCTTGAGACTGTCAGATATGTTATAGAAGATCCAGGGAGAGCTGCCCACCATTGATCCGATGCCGTTGCAGCAGTAGAAACATCCAGCTCGGAAGGGCTGTTCCTGCCGCAGATACCACATGGCAACAATCATCATGAAGCAAGGGGTAATCGGGGCTAAGACGTTAGCTATTGCAGGCCGGGTTTATGGAATTGTAATACCTTCAAAGCAACCGAGGAGGAAGCGGCAGATCGCCATGCCGGTGAAATTGTGGCAGGCGGCCGTTATCATGAGAATGGCTCCCCAGGCGATACTAGCAAATGTCAGTGCACCAGTTACATAATTGAAATGAAGGATCCAAGCCTACACAAAGCATGAGATGACAGTTCCGACAGGTAGTCGCTGGGCAATCAAATTCGCAGGATACTCCCAGAAGAGGTAACCTGTATCATCAGCCTGAGGGCGGGTGCTGAGGGAGAGGAAGAATACCAAAGTAAAAAATACTGGCGAGCCAGCCATACTCATCACTGTTGATGTGGGCATCTTGAAAAAGATCAAAGACTGCACTGTAGCCGAGAGCCTATACCAGTTAGTAAGTAGTCTCAGTAGTCTCATTCGGATGGTGCACGGACAACTCACCTGCTTATCGATATATTGTAAAGCATATGTACCACAGAGAAGAGGCAGAAGAATCAAATCAACTCGCCTTCTAATCCTCCGAGATTTGGCTGGGTCATCGAGCATCTCCTGAAGCCGGGAGTGTGAAATGCCATGCTCCCGCAGAAAAAGTTCAGCCTCGTCCAGCGAAGAAATGTGACCATTCTCAATGTCATCCTCCTTGCCGGAGATAGTTTCGAGGACGGTGTCGGTCTTGCCCTCGTCAGTTTTCTTCTCCTCGAGCATCATTTTGATGATATCCGATATACTCTGACACGCGTGCTGAGTCTCGGTAGCTGTCCGCTGTGTGTTCCTTCGTACTTATATCAAGTAACCCCGCTTCGGAGTACAGGGGTTGACTGCATGATAACGCCTGTGTCTACTCCGAAAGCTCCAGGAGTCCCCTGCCAGAAGGATGCAGTGGTAACTCTATCAGCTTCAGCATATTGATACTCCAAATGGAAATCTAGTCGACCATAGGCCGCCTGATACCGATATGGCAGCAATCACCAATGAGCATGATTAAAAAAGACTTGCTCGTAGAGACAAAGACGGAGGTTGTCCGCAACTTTATCTATGGCATCAAAGTCTTGAAAGGAAGGAATGATAACCCCACTGATCGGCCTCGTATCATGACCGCTGTTGGAGACGCGAGTTGATAATGCTGTCAAAGATAAGCCGTGTGGGGTAGTTCCACAGTGGAGGCATCTTCTGGTGAGGAGTCCAGCATCGTGGGCCTCACTATCAGCATCAAAGCGGGGAAGTGGAGAGGGACAGGGTGACAGGGATATCGTAGCAGTTGCGCTGCTGAGTTGATAAGAAGTGATATTGAAGGGGTCATCTGCCTCTGAATTCTGAAGGCGGACTGCCGACAACATGTTTCCTTCTCATCGACTCATATTCCTAGCTGCATTTCCTATCATCCTGCTCTTCATCCTACAGCAGGGGTATGTACCTTTCTCAATACAGGGCCAAGTTCTGTCATGGCTGCCGGACGATGTACTGGATAAACTGATTACTCGACCAACCGTCCACCTCCGCCAAGGTATCGTCGTGGGAACTAGATTGTCCGATTCCCTGCCACGACCAGTAGATGCATTCCGAGGAATTCCTTATGCTCTACCTCCCACTGGAGACAGGAGATTCCGCAGAGCCGTAGCAGTGGGCTCTTCGAATGATACCATTGACGCGAGTCGGTTCGGCCCACGGTAAGGATTTATCATTATTGAAGCCAGTAGGATGCTAATCAAGCAGATGCCCTGGTAAACAACTATTGAACGTTTCTGGCGATGTTACTAGTTCGGAGGATTGCCTGACGGTGAACGTGTTTCGTCCTCATGGCGTAAAATGCAAACTGCCCGTTGCAGTGTACGTGCATGGTGGAGCATATAACCGTGGTACAGGTGAGTAACCCGCAAACAACATGGGCAAGTCTGACTAGAACAGCTTCAATGCATAACACTGCATCCATGGTGGGATGGTCCAAGAAGCCATTCGTCGCAGTAAGCTTCAACTATCGGTGAGTCGAAGTGGGTCGACCCAAGGGACTCAAGCTGAGGGAATCGTACTAGTATCGGCGCGCTGGGATTCCTTCCATCGACTGTGTCAGCTCAAGATGGAATACTCAATCTCGGATTGCATGACCAGATCCTTGCTTTCAAGTGGGTGCAGGAGAATATCGAAGCGTTTGGAGGGGATCCCTCGCAAGTGACGCTCATCGGCCTGTCTGCAGGAGCACACTCAGTACGTTGCCTCAGGAGATATTTCGAAGATCAACACTTACATCAATCCTAGATCGCGCACCATATCATGAACGACGACCTCGGCACCTCCCTCTTTCACCGAGCCGTCCTCGAGTCGGGCGCAGCAACCTCCCGCGCTGTGCACCCATACAACGCGCAACTACACGAGACCCAATTCCAAGGATTTATCACAGAAGCTGGCTGCACCGATAGACCACAATCGGAGATAATGAACTGCCTGCGCAGTCAACCCTCATCAACCGTCATCAACGCCTCCTTCACCATCTTCGACCGATACAACCCCTCCGTCCGCTGGGCCTTCCAACCCGTCATCGACGGGGACCTGATCAAGCGCCGCCCAATCGACGCCTGGCGCTCGGGGAAATGGAACAAAATGCCCATCCTGACCGGCTTCAACACAAACGAAGGCACATACTACGTCCCGTCCGCAATGTCGCAGTCCTCCGAATTCACAAACTTCTTCCACACCTTGCTCCCTGCCTACTCGGACAATGATATAAAGACCATCGACGAGCTCTACCCAGACCCCGCGGTGGATCCCTCCTCCCCATATCTCGAAACTAGAAACATACCCGTCGGTCCGCAGTATAAGCGCGTCGAAGCTGCGTATGGTCATTACGCGTATGCCTGTCCGGTGAGGCAGACCGCGACTCTCGCCTCGGCGGGGCAGGAGGAGCCTGTGTTTCTGTATCGGTGGGCGCTGAATAAGACTGTTCAGGGGGCGCGAACCACGGTGATCAGATGGCGTATGAGACGTTCAATCCGGAGGTGCGAGAGATTTCGAGGAGTCAGGAGGAGATCGCTGGGATGTTTCATGCGTACATCACTTCGTTTATTGTGACTGGGAATCCGAATGCGGTGGGGGGACGGTATGAGAATCGCACAGTGTGGGCGCCTTATGATGCCTCATTGGCATCTGGACGAAAGATTATGGTCTTTGGAGAAGGAAGTGATGAACGTGCCGGTGGGAGTGCCACAGGTGTTGCAGCGCAGTTGGTGGAGGATGAATGGAGCCGAAGAGAGTGTGAGTTTTGGTGGACAAAGGCGGGTATTTCAGACTTGAAATAAAGGTGATGTAAAGGAGACGGTTGAAGATTTGAGAAGTAATGAAAAGAAGATGGCGCAGTTTTCTGCTATCCGAAGTGACTGCGACTCCAGAGGCAGACTATTCCCACTTGACCTCGTCTAAACAATAAGCTTGGTTACGGTTACAGGTTGAACTGCCACGACCGGTCTTAGACAGCTCGCTATATATTGACCGGAAATATGTTTATTGTCTACGAAGCCAGATATATGCTCTGCGGCTACCACGCGAGACGTCTTCTAGAAACCTGGTAGTCATCGCCCGCTCTGATTGCCATGTTTCACGAATGTATAGATCACTGTATACCTTCAACCTTACTTGCGCTCTTTTCAACTTAACGACGTGGGTTCTGTATACCCCAATGTAATCATTAAGGTAGTAGCGTAGTAGCGAGGTCACCATCACCTCACCCTAAGAGAGTGACCACTTCGACTGGGTAGGCCACATACACATGCAATCCATAACATGTTGCGATTTTGGAGCATCTCTGGTTAGTACTAATTCCCAGACACTTGGATCAGCCCAGGAACCCGATGCAGCGAGTCATAGATAGCGCAATCTCTGCCGTTGTTGGAACACAATGCAGGCACGCTCCTATAAAGGGAATTGCCTTACTCGTGGATAGGGATATGTAGTGACGGAAACGACTCATGGGCAGTCTTAGTCACTATTTTCTAAAGGCATTGTCGAAGCCCTATCGACACCCAAGTGAGCGAGACACTGCCAACTTGACAATGAAGCGTTTCCGGGGCGATACACATACTACGAAGCACGCGTAGATGAAGACACGTCCAATCCTTTCAGTCACGCAGTCCAATATTTTCATCAGCAAATGACACGGCGTGTCATATGCAGGGGACGAAAGGATTGACAAGGCCAATGAAACTCAAAATGCGTTGGCGTGTAGCCAAAATCGCCGAGGTACTTCACCACATGTTCGCTGCCAACTCATCGGGTCGCCACGTCGGAGGATGGTCCAGCTTCTATTTCCTTGGCTGTCGACATGGAAAGAGGGCTTGACTTTCGGCCCCTAATAGATGAAAGATAAGTCCAATCGGATGAGGAGGATTTGTTGGAAGTATCGGTGTTTATGGAGGCTTTGGCAAGTCGGGATATGACATGCATGAAGGATTAGCGTGCAACCCGATGGTCCGAAAAGGGCAAAAGGACGATCAGCAGAAATCACTGTTAATTTGCATGAAACCAACCAACAGTTGGCTTATTGGGATAAAAATATACCTAATACTACTCAATATAGTAGTTTAGTTGGTTTTCTGCCAGGTAAATGGCACAAGTTCGGATATTAATAGGATTGTCCTTGCATCCCGGACCAATGAGGCTGCTGTGACATGATTAGCCTGTTGGAACCAGAGTACACAGCCTGGATGATGAGTCCACGATGGCGGTGAGGCCCATGCGAGTAATGGGTCTTGTGTAGCCCAGATAGTAAGAAAAGAGTAAGGAGCAAACATCTGATGGAGGGTGATTCGGATCGATCCCATATTAAGGAATATGGCTATTTTTGAGCTACAGAAGATAAAGCTCCCACACCATACCTTTGTGAATGAACGGTTTGGTTATTTAAATGAGTCCCAGGCAGCCAGGCCAACTACTCTCGCTTGTACTTGTACTTCAGGACAGTGACTGAAGGCTAAGAATATTCACGGTCAAGAGTGATTGTTCCCACCGCCCTCTCGACAAGTAAACACACACCTGACGTAGGGAACTTTCTCTTCTCTCATCCACTATGTCCTCGTTAACCAGCACTGTGGCAATGGAGGAAGCACAGCGGATCACCGCAGAAGAGAAAATTCGCCATATTCTCAAGGTGTATGCCTTGGGACAGCCTCTCTTTCCTCGCGACCTTCTTCAAGACCTTAGCCGTCAGATCGACCAGGGACGTGATGAGGTGCACATTGCAGATTTGGATGGCGTTCCTCAGAAGCACAGCCTCAAGGTTCCAACCTGGTGCGCAGATTGGGCGTAAGGATCTGTTTGCACTCCTAAGGTAAAGCAATACTGACAGAGTCCAGGAACTCGTACCGCATCTCCTACTGTAGCATTCAAGCTATGACCACCGTCAACCCTTTCATGCCAGATGAGATCCTTCGTGACCAGCCTCCCGTTGCGATCTGCTACACCAGAAACGACAAGAAACCCGAGAATCCGCTGCATGAAGTACGCAAGGCATTCGACAACCAGCGCGAGGTGTGGCAGACTAGCGAGGCCTGCGAGGCTCTGCAGAAGCAACTCGCCACTATGAGTCTTTCGCGTCCGATCAACAAGATTGTCTGCTTCGGACTGGGAACTTTGGGCCGCTTGAACTCCCGCAGCGCTGCACGCTCTCACACCCAGCACGCTGCCGTTGAAACGATGGTGCAAGCACTGAAGGCAAGACAAGTCAACAGGAACGAGGAAATCAGATGTTTTGCGCAGGATCCTGCATACGACGAGGTCGACATCGCACTGCTTAGAAGCATCGACATCACCCCGCTGGACGATCCAAAGGGGTTTCTTGCAGTCGACGAATCCACTCTCGTCTTTTGCGTCAGCCCCAACGTGCCGGTGAAGCAGATCATTGCCGATGTTCAGTGGCCCGCGGCGATGATTTGGAACACCGTCAGACCTTCCGAGCCAGACGTCGCAAAGTGGGAGCAGCGTGTAAGGAATGGTCAGGTAACCTGGGTTTGGTATGTCGAATAGCACTTTCTGAACGCACAAAGACTGACAGCTCAAGCCCCTACACCACTGATCCGGACTCCTCGCGCGTACGCAAGATGGTCAGTCATTATGTGCATGCTCCGGTGGTTGATATGGACGATTGTCTCGGGGATCTGACAATCTACATGAGATGAGAGTATTGCTGGATACATCATGAGCTGGAACAGGATTTTTGGCTGAGGAATCATTGTACCAGAGCTGCGGCTTTTAGTCAAAGAATATAACCTTATGGATAAGATACCCAGCCAGACTGAGTGACATCAGGCATACTAAGATCTAGGCTTGTAATGGAATTTAAGCAACGAAATCCTCGCTATTTTACCTATCCCAGGCCCGCGCTGGAAATGACTACTATTACATTATTAATGTCTAGCTGTCCTTGGATGCAGTTCTTACATGAGAAATCGGGGATTTCCTGGTCGGAGTATGCCAAGGTCTTGCTGGTCAGATCAACGCTCCATCACACCAGCTCACATGTAGCTATGAGCGTCTCTTTCAATGTGTGAGATACTCTTGTTACTCTCCGGGGCGCCACTATGGTACAACAAACCAACAAGCTACCCTTGCAGGTGCCATCAAGAATATTCCAAATGTGGAGCACCATCAGATCTGCGGCATCCTTGCTACGTCTGGAACATGGCGGCACCTGGAATAGATGGCTAAATCTGGGCCCCAAGGGTGGTCTATAAGAACCTACTCGTCAGTCCTCAAGTTGCTTGTCGAGTGGCCTTCTTGCTGTTCGTCAATGTGTGATAACGCAAATAATTTTGATGAAATGTTTCGTAATCCATTCACTTCAATGGCCCACCTCCTATGTGTTCCATCGTTATTGTGGGCTATGGAACATATCATACATATCATCATATGTCACTTCGCGGCTAATCACCGGGTTCCTATCAAGGTTGTGGTTCAGCTGGCGCGCTAATATTTACAGTGTAAGACAAATTTCCCTACCCTCTTACCTATTATTAGCACATGGACGCAAATACATAAGTGCTTGCGGGCCGTAATGCAAATCCTGTCTCTAAGTTACTCCGTGGTGCAGCGATTTCAGCCTTGCGGCGAAATACTTCCAGGTATGATTGGATATAAACCATGAGGTTTCGGATCATCACATCCGCTAATGAAGATATTTGCATACTATCAATCAAAGAAATGTGACCCCGTAGAAAACATGCTTGTGCGAGCAAATCTGTAAGCACTCGCAGGTGTAGTGCACCATCTGACTGTGTCCTCGGAGGATCCTGGTTACAGCACTCGGTCTATAATGAAGGTGATTTAAGTGGCGTGAACTGCCCCCATGAACAGATAAGCATACTACCTTATTGTTTCGGGTATCCCCAGGAGAATAAGTAGCTATGGACATGTCACAGAGAATGCTTGGCATTCAGCAGCTTTACTGCCCAAGTGATGGAACGGCAGAGGTAGAGTAAGTAATAATACTTCTCCTTTCTACCGGCGCGATAAAGCTGACAATTCTCGCCACAAAGTATTGTTGCGGTCCACGGGCTAAACGGCCATGCCGTCGAAACGTGGACAGCTCGACCAGAGAACATATGCTGGCTAAGTCACCCAAACTTCTTGCCAAAATATGTTCCGAAGACACGGGTCCTGTCCTGGGGCTATAACGCGAACGTGTCGTCCATCACGGGCCCAACAAGTGCAAACGGAATTCTGGGACATGCTCAGACTCTTGTATCTAACCTAGACGCTGATCGAGAGGTGGGTTCCTTATTCTTTCGGCTAGGGTCGTTTGCTTGACTTTTGACTAATGGTACACCGTCGCTAGTTGAAGGAGGCAACTTCGAGGCCCATAATTTTCATATGCCACTCCCTTGGGGAATTATAGTCAAGAGAGTACGCTGAACTAGTCATACCCCGAATGACTGTCCCTCGCTTACGACCAACAAACTGAGTTGCAGGCCCTATCTTATTCCGCCAGCCGAAAGAGCCCCAGGTCCGCTCACATTCAATCGATTTATACCGGCACTTACGGGATTCTCTTTTTCGGAACACCACACCACGGGCCAAGCAAGGCAACTGAGCCCAGCCGACAAAACCAACTCGGAAGCTGAATGGAAGAATGCGGTCGAGTATGGGCTTCTCTTGAACAGGCAATTCCAGCCTTTGGCCTGGCCAAAACAGCTAACAATCTTGTTGTTAGTATCGTTGCCGTCCACGGATTAAACGAAGACCCAATAACCGCGTGGAGTGCTCCCAAGACTGGGACGCTCTGGCTAAAAGACTTGATCCCGAAGCACATACCCCAAGCACGAGTTCTGTCCTTCGGATACGAATCCTCCCCCAGCCTTTTTGACGGGCACGGCTTTGTAGACAAAATCCGAAGCCTTGCAACGACCTTAGTTGCGGACCTTGAAGCAGACAGAAGCTTGGGGGACTGTCGAACCCGGCCGATAATCTTCGTCTGCCATGGACTAGGAGGTGTAATTGTCAAGAAAGCACTTGCCCACTCTGCAAGTTCAACGTCTCCCCTGGTCGCTCATCTGAATGAGATTTTTATTTCGACGTTTGCAATCTTGTTCTTTGGAACGCCGCATATCAATATTAACTTGGCCAACTGGCTTGTTCTAGAATCCTCAGGGGTCGGAGATGGCCGCGCTCAACGACCTGGGGGTTCACAATCGTCACCCCCGAAGAAGCTCCAGAGCCTGGAATCCATTACTGATCAATTTGCCCCTTTGATGAAAAAGTTCTATACTACCATTTTCTGGGAAGGTATGCCGACCGATTTTGGAGGCTATCATGATTTCCTTGTTGAACCGGCCGCCGCCGCTCCGGCTATCTACGAGAGCCCAAAATGTGCAATTGTCGGCGCAACTCACTCAAGAATGGCGAAGTTGTTAGAATGGAGTCCATCTTACTCTACGGTGCTTGCGACGCTGAAGAGGTACTGCTTGAAGGCACCCGGCGTGATTAATGATCGCTGGAAGAAGGCCAGGGATGCACGGGCTCGAGCTAGGCTTAACGAAGCCCATGAAATGGCTGGTTTTCGCTTCAGCCTGCCAGACAAGCTCGCAGACCATGTTATAAAGGACATTTTCAAGCAGGAAGCGCGAAATTAGCACCTTTATACGCCCTTGCTTCCTTCTGTAAACTACATCAGGAGGAAAGAGATCAGGGACCAGATTCGACAGCACTTCTTCTGCCAGAAACCGAGTTCATCAGACAGAGCCAGAGGCGCCTTATTGTACATGGCATAGCAGGCTCGGGGAAAAGTCAGTTGTGCACAAATTTCGCTTCTGACAACCGTGAAAGGTAGGTGACTGTCCCATAAATCCGTAAAAGTAACCCGCGGCTCGGAACACTTCGACTATATTTTCGGAATGTGGAAACTTGGTCAAGTATACGAAAAGAAGAACCAAGTTCGGGAGGCCTTGGACGCCTATCGGGGTCGCCTTTGAGCACACCGAGACTCGTCTGACCAGGGATCATCCGCTTGCTAAACAGATTGAACTCCGTATAGACCAGCTGAACAGCTCAATATCCACAAATCCCGAGACTACAAACATCGAGGAAGATCACACCGCTCCAGAGTTGCCCGTTGAAAAGAATTTGCCGTCTACTCAAACTTGGTAAGGGTCTTGCCTGAATGGATGGTAGGAAATGCCGGGGGGAGACCAGTAATCTAGCCTCAGCAATTTCTAAATGTATTGATTTGTTCCTGATCAACTGAGTTTACGCTATATTTCAGAAATGTCTTGCAAGCATTGCTGGATGTTTCATGGATAAATACCTTAGGGTTATGCACACAACATAAGCTTACTAAGCAACGCTTATCCAATCCGCTTCATCCCTCGTCCGACCAGCATCATCCACTTTGTTCTTCCGTCAAATCATTCAACAGGACTACAGGATCCAAACATTCATCGATCGATCAACATGATTGTGCTTCTATATCGAAATTAGCTACTACATCTCTGTTATACTTTAGCATCATGACTCCCGCCGATGAATTATTTCTCCATCCACCGGATCCTCGTCATTTCCGGATCCGACGAAAACCAGTCTCCAATCCCCATCTCCATCAAAGCTATAGGAATAATGGTGACAGATGTTCATCACAACCGCTCAGTCCGACCATCAGGGATGTAACGACGGTCTCTTCGTTGGATATTCCGCTTCCAATGTCTCCGCGCCCACCATTGAGGTCCAAAGCATCCGTTAACACGATTGCTGACCCCTATTCTGGTCGCTGCGAGAGGAACTTCAATAGCAATGATTGGCCTTCCGCCTCAGTCCAGCGCGCTGCTACGGACATGATTCCTCCATCGGAATCCAGGACTGCTCAGTCGTCCGCTTCAGTAACTGTGCAAAAAGCCTTTGGTGAAGCCCGACATTTTCTGGGTGGACTCATCAGCCGTCCTGCAGAGTCCAATAAGCATTTTACCATATTACGCCACTCACACGGCGTGGTCTTCTATCGCGGCAGCACTACATCTGTCACGATCTCTATCTTCTCTGATGCCCCTTTACCTCCCGACCGTTCCTTGTGGCTCCAGAACAAGGGCTGGACAGGAAAAACGGGGATGCGCGCCAAGGCTCTATTCCGACTGACGGATGACTGGCTGGACATCACACCCACTCTGGCCTTGCGCTCCGACCAAGTAGAGTCAAACGACGAGCGGGCATGGCAGCGTGACATTGCCAAGCTTCTGAAAAAGGCTCCGTCGCGTGTGCGCGACACACATCGCCTGCGCGAGACGGCCGTCGCACGGATTCCTGCTGCGGCCGGCGACGGGTACTTTCAGGTTGTACTTTGTCAGGGGCCGAAAAAGAAGGTTCTTTGTACGAGTCCAGTGTTTCGCATTCTTTCCACCTCTCTTGAACCGAGCTCGATTCGTGGCGCTAGTTTGGCTACCCTCCCGTTGGAGGTGGGTGCGATGGTGCTGGGGCTATACGCGCAGACAGCGGCGCAAACCGTCATTAACCCGGCCACATCGCTCGTACAATCGAAGATTCAACCTCTTAGGCCCTCCTGGGTCACACAGACTGCCGCTGAGACAGCCTACGGGATTGGAATGTCCATGCGATCAAGCGATGACAACAGTAATCAGGGCCCTGCGGCACCGATGGCCTGCGGTCAACAGGAAGCGATCTCTTTAGAGACAGGACCGAGTCCGCCATATCCCATAAGCTTCAAGGCGCGAGCTGAAGCTATTCAAGGAGAAGGGGTCTATGACATGCAACGGATGCGACTCAGTAAGGTTCCCGATCTGATTTTGGACCGGTTACATGGTTTTTTCTTCGGCTGGGCACGACTTCTATCCGGCAAAGAGAATAGCGGATGCTCGGATTCTCAATGGTATCCGGCCATCCTTGCCATCCGCAATCTGGATCCGTCCCAGCAGGCGCGTGTCAACATGTCCCAGGTGATGAAACGAGTCACCACCCTTCGCTTCCTGGAGGAGGTCCAGCTAGCGCCTCAATCCCGCGTCGAGGTACGTGTACTTGGTTTTCTTCGACCTGATGTGCCGCCACCTCGCGGAACGAGTGAGGAGGAATTGCTGGAAGCCCAAAATGCCGCTGCTGAAGCGGCCATGTTGGCGGATGCGTGCGACGCGGCATGCGCCCAGAATGTGCTGGATTATCCCGCTTGGGGACCGGACAGTCAAAGAGAAGCCGGAGTTATTGACCGCACCAAAGAGGGGGTTGAAAGCATGCGGGCCCGTGGCCAGAAGATCGTTGAACGTGTCCCACTGCATTGGCTCGGAGTGAGATCTCCTACAGCAGAGATGCGAGACCGACAGATTACCATGAATGGATTCTACGTAGTCCGCTGAGGATTTATGCTATTTCGATAGAATCGTGGATAACATTTTCTTGGTGCTAAGATTGATAGCGGGAACTATATTTCCATCGCACCATGTTCTCAGAAAGTTCCATCAAAACTCCATCCGACCTGTCTCACTCACTCAGTGCTGCTCGCCTTCCACTTGCGGATCATGGCCATCAACTGTTCGTTCTGGCGCAAATCCGCTAACTTGGTTCTCTGCAAAGTACACCGGGCGATGTCTTCCTTCAAGCGCCGATACACTGGCTTCTTGTCTTCCTCGACTTCATCCCCAAATAGAAGAGCAAAAGAGGCAAGATTGCGTTCTTCCACATCGACAAATGTACTCCTCCACGAGATCGGAGACTGTTATGTCACCCTCCGCCTGCGATTGTACACCCGCAGCAATATTGCCACCTATTGCGGCAAAGGGCCTACAGCTGCGCAGGTGCGACTGTAGCGTGAGCCAGTGCTTGCCCTCCGTACTGCCCCGCCAACCCTTATTCTTCGCAGAAAGGTCCCGGTTTATTGCTTCCACATGAGGGTAGTGCAGGTAAGCGAGTGCCCAGCACCTGTGTTGGTGGAGGTAGGATTTTGGGAGATACCATCTCCATTTATTGAAGAGGGAGTGGAGGGCGGATGGGTCAAAGGTCCAGCCCTTACTGAGGGACGTGATGGCGACGTCTTCGTCGGGAATAAGGTGAACCTGCGACGGAAAAGACCGTATCCAGCGAGTGTGCTGCCGAGTTGATTCCTCAAATAGCCGCAGGAGGACCTTGTGCAAGTATTCTCCGCGGTGTTGTTCAGGAAGGTAGTCGAAGGCGGTTTCCAGGAAGCATCGGAACAGAGGGCGGTCGGATAGGGGGCTACGTCCGCGAGAGGTCTCTCACTTTTTTCGGCGGCAAGCCAGTCGGCCTCCGGTATGGCTTCTCGTTCGCTCGGGCCAGGAGCGGCGTTCGCCATGGACGGCATTGCAGTAAATACCGAAGCGAAGTCTGCCGCGCGGCCGAACAGTCGCAGAACTGCCATGACAAACTCGCTACGGACATCAACGTGGTAGTTTGAATCGAAGGTATTTTGAAGTATGCCAAGACATGTGGATATATCGATAGAGGTTGCGTCGGCGAGGAGCTGGGCGAGCATTTTGACTGTCGTGATCTTGACGTAGGGCTGAGTCTTCGTCGATGGATCATGACAATCAGACAGTCCGGGCTGAGGTTTGCCGGCGTTGCAGACGAAGTCGGCAAACGTGTTGAACAATCTGAGCGGCGTGGTGCGGCAAGAGTCACGCCCCCTGCTTCAATAGTTTCATTTGCCGATGGTACGAGGATGCGTCTGGAAAAGACTTGAGGGCTTGAAGCACAACATCAATAGCCAGCTGCGGCTGGTCTGTCTTCTGCAGAAGCTTGATCAAGCTCATTGTGACCGATAAGATGGTGGAATAGCTCGGTTGCTTTTTCTCCGAACTCTCTGTGAGCATCTTAGCGACGAGACGACAACATCACAGAGCAGTTGCGCGGGAACGAACTTCACGCATTCCTCAAGAGATTTTGCCGCATCATGGATGGCATCCCTTTTTGCAACGGCAGTCAGAAGCTCGTCCGCAAGGAAAATGGCCGGGTATCGAGGCGAGGAGACATTTTGCGGCCAGGGACGGCGTAGGATTCGCGTCGTCTGCGGGTTGAGAGTATCGAGGTATAGAAGCGCAGAAAGCACGACTGCTTCACGCTCTGGCGTAGGCATAGAGCGTTCGGTGTGATACCAAACCCACAATGGACTCTCCTCAGGCTGAATCTTGCTCTTGATAGTTCGATTTGCGGCATACATGCGACATATGAGGATCGTCCGTTCAACCTTCCGCTCTTCTGGCTCAGTTTCTGTGCTTGGCGTGTTCTCAGAAGCATGGACAGAGCGAGGATCCCATTCAACCACATGATATAAATCGAAACACTGTTCAAAGTATGTGGTCACCCAAAACTTTCTCGGAGGCACCGGGGGCTGAATCATGTTGAACGCATCTCGTAGGCCGTCTCCACGGGCCAAATCAGCAAGCCAATCCTTGAAAATCTCCAACTGGTCGGAATAGGGGTGCAGGGCAGCAGAGAGTCTTTCCCAGATCTGGTGATTGTTGGATTTGCTCTGCGAGTATATGATTAATTGAGGTGTTGATTTGGGTTGGATGGAGATGAGGCGAGACGTCTTATATCCGGTCTATGTCTTTGTTCGCTCGAGGACAGGATTCGGCAGTGTTCAATAGATCAGTAAGCAAGGTAGGATTTATTGATAATCGAATATGGATAATGAGTTTTGTCTGCGGCCGTTGGCCAGTGGGTTCGAGGCTCGAATGTCTTTGTTCGAAGGATTCGTAGTATCAAAGGAGGGTGCCACAGTCAACATACAAAGGCTTGCCCACTCCTTTCGAGGGACTTGCGCATCAGTTGGAAGCATCCATCTATGTTACTGTCAGTAGCAACCCGCTGTGTGGGAGTGAATAGTTCTTGGTCAATTAAAGCAGCATATCTTAGCATGATCAGAGACACTGCTAGTATTGGCTGCGCTGTACTATAGTATCTCTAGGTACGGATAGGGTTAACTTATCCGTGCCTATCCATCTTAACCATAATAGTAGAGCTCTGCAAGATAACTAACTCTAGAATAAGACAATAGCTTGCTTGCAATCAATCAAGCCAACCCCTCTTTATACCTCTTAATATCCGGCCAGATGGCCTCCCACCTCTCCAAACTTTCCCTCCTCCACACCTCCTCACGGGAATAATACTCCCTAAACTGCGGTACACCATCATCCAACCTCACAAAATCCCTCTTACTCCTCGTGTAGATATGCGCATCCGGCCCCACCCTCCACGCCTCATCCAGCGTTCCCACCCGCACAAACCGACAAATTGGCCCCGCCCCGCCATAGTTCGACCACACCGCTACACGACACTTAGGGCACCGCGCGACATTCTGTCCTTTGCCTGATTCAGATGGCGTGAGGACCATTTCTGGTTCAACTGCCTGGGCTTGGGCTTCATGTGCGACTCGCGGGCCGGCTGGTTTCGCGGGGCTTTCCGCAGACGCGGGGACGGTTGGTTCTGCGGAGGGGAGGAGGGTAACAAGGGTAGACTCGATGAATGCGTTTAGGGCGAATGCGGTGCCGGTCTCGCGTTGGCAGGAGGTGCAGTGGCAGCAGTGGACGATGAGAGGTTGGGTTTCGAGACGGTAGCGGATGAGGCCGCAGGCGCAGCCGCCTTCCATGGGGTATATTGCCATTCTGCTGTTGGGTGGAGGAAGGTAACGAGGGGAACGGTTATGATAAATAAATCTGTAGGAAAGGGAAATTAACCGTATATACATATCTGGATCAATTATGCAGCTGCGGGGGTCTCGTATTTGCTGAGGTAATCAGTCGCAGGTTGATTGTATAGATTTCGTAGAGAAATTGATCAACACGAGGTTGGCTATTGAGGAATGAGGATAGACTAGAACGCTGTATCTCTGCATGACCGTGCCATCAAGCTAGGGTTTGCTGCCTATCGCCATCCTGTATACGAAGGGAGCTGATGCAATATGTCTATGTTCTCAGGCGAGACATGGATCGTAAGCTTTGCATGATTTAAGACTCGCTGATTGAAAGTAAAGACGGAACAGCACGAATAGTTTGATCTATGATGAAGTCTCAAATAACGGACGCGGAAGTAGAACCATCCATCCGTCTGAAGTTGTAGTATTCAAACGCAACTTTGAAGACCATGATACCTTCATCCTTCGTTTATTACGAGCCGGTCTGCATGTATAGGTCCACGTATATATGTGTAGCACCGTCGATAATACTTGTCGCATGCTCCATTTCTATAACCAGTTGCAGACACAATGCCGCCGTCCTCATCCCACACGTCCAATTTTTTATAGATGCAGTTCGATTGCTTCATAGGAACCTTCTCGATCCCGTCACCATAATAGTACGTCCAAGGTGCTGTAGCTTCATGACTCTGGGCATCTAACGTACCCAATTCGATGTAGCCAGTGGTGTGGTTTTTACCGCAGATTAATATTTTCAAACCGGTAGTAACCACGCGCCGTCTGGTATGTTAACTGGCTATATGCCGACCCTATTTACAAGTATGATGCCATGCCGCCGCAAACATCAACAGTTTCGTAATTAGTTCCGAACCCTCTGATTTCGGGAATGATCCGGTAGTAGAAGTTCGCCGCATGCTCTGTTTCTGCAAAGCCAATGAAATCATTCATCTTGTGGCTGGCGTTATCTGCGTAGACAGCCCACGTAGCAGCCGCTGCAAGGGCCATAGACTTTTGATGGGCCTGGGTGAGCTTCGACCTCTCTCTAGTAGTGAACGAGATTTTGAAACCCGGCTTATCGAATCGTTTATGCAGATTGGAGCCCAGAGAAGCATTTGCGTCAGAACTCCCTCCTGGAAAGGGCAGTTGGAGAACGGTCTCGCCGTTGTCATGTGGTTGGCGATGATATCGTGCTTGGGGGAGTTGTCAAGGGTGAAGCCAGCAACCTGGAGACGGTGGACAAGGGAAGGCTCTCCCTGGCGCCTAGTCAGGGTGGCATCATCCGAGTGGAATGAAAGTGGTGCGAGACTGTCGTAGGAGATATCACCGCTGCTAGACAGCATGGTCTCCCACAGGCGCACATAGTCCTGGGAACCATCGACTTGACGTTTGGTCGGCAGACCTTCCGGGATAGCCCCCGAGTAGTGCGCAGCAGCATAATAGACCAAGGTTAGACCGGCTTGGATAATGTACGATAGATCAGCACATCTACTGCCGTCGACATATTCACAGACGGATCGAGCAAGGCCCGAGCCCATTGTGATATAGACGAGCCTAGAACTTCTTAGCTTTCCAGACATCAGAGTTGCGAAAAGGTAGCCTCTGTCTTACGTGATCTTGCTGGTGCCAATAGTCCGAATTGTTCGCCTGACTATCTCACAGAACCTATAGTCCCTCTGCTCCAGAATCGCCAGAGGCTCATCAGCTGGGTTGAGAGACCGGATCTCAAGACTCGTATCTGAAGGAAGCTCAGCGAGATCCACAATGGCAGTGAGTGGGGGGGGGGGGGGGTGGGGTGTGTCTCAGTTACCGTTCGTTGAAGGGGTCGGTTAAGTACCTAGCATGGCCCTATCTGTTCTCATCCTACTATCATCAATTCCGAGGCAGCGACCATTTTGTGAAAATCTGTTTTCTTCCTTTATCCCATTGACCACAATCTAGTATATGGTCAGACTCAATCAGATGGATGCTGATAAACAACCTTCTACATCAATTCCTTACTCTTCCTCCTCAGCAGTCCCTTCACGGCGGATCAGGACTCTTAAGAGCATTGTACAGAACCGATGGAGGTAAGCACAGTCCTATATACAGTGAACTAGGAGATGAGGAGCTGAAATTTTAGTATAATTTTGATCGTGCTGTTCACTACGCTTGTACGATGGGTGTGGAGTTATATGGGGTGGCCTAATGGAGGAGACTTGGCCCTGTCACTTAATACTGCCTTGTTGCTTGTTTATTATGTCATATCACAACATGTTGATGGACCCTAAGGAAATGATGGGTTGTGTCTCAAAAAAATTTTCTTTACCCACTTGGATTATCTACTGCCTAATCCGTACAATCTATGTCTTGCCCTCTAACTATATAAGGAGACATTTAGGATATCACTGCTCGTGCTGCTGTTATTATTAGACCTGGTTGGCTGAGGTGAGTACTGCATGGCAGGCCAAAGGGCGCGGGGGAAAGGGTTGCTTAAATATAATAAAGGTTAAGGACGATAGGAGTTAAGCTTCTCTAGCTGTTTAGAAAAGGGCAGTGAGAGATAGATTTGTGGGTGGTGTGAATATAAGTGGTTCAAAAGTGATGGGAGAGAAGTATGAGGGCGCCATGGTCATTATGGTCTTTATAGAATCGGAGCGAACAAGATGGTCGTGAGGGGAGCCGAAAAATGAGGTATGGTTGAGCGATGGACCAGCCCTCAGGTGGGCGGCAGCATGATGGCTGAACATCAGGGACCAGGAACACAAGCAACAGGGGAAAACCAAACAGCGTTAGGCTGTGGTGTTAAATCCTGCTAGGCATGTGATTATTGCATATAAGCCAAGGACGCCGCGTGTTAGTTGGACTCACAAAATGGCGTCAAGTGTAGCTGTTTTTAGCTGCTGGCTAACTGTTTCATTGTTAAATGTAGTATTTAAGGCTTCTTATAGACCTATACTTTATTAATAAAAGAAAAATATTTCTTAAGAAATAAGTAAGTAATAAGACTGGAGATACTCCGTACTAGCATCTATAACAATAATCTTTATCTTAATTAGTCTAAAAATAGCACTAATAGACTATACTATATTTAACAGTGAAATAGTAAGCCAGCAGCCAAAAATGGCTACACTTAATGCTATTTTGCAAGTCTAACTAACACCCAATGGCCTTAGTGTTACATATAATAATCACACACCTAATAGATTTACCACCACAGCTAATGCTATTTAGTTTTCCCCTATTACTTATATTCCTAGTCCCTGGCATTTAACCATCATGCTACTGCCTGCCTGAGGGCTAGTTTATTACTTCCGGAAACTCAGGATAACGCTGATTTAAAGATTCGGAAGGAAATGTGCCTCCTCTGTGGCACAACTACAAATAGAGAGCGCTTGTGGCCAAAGATCGAATCTGCGCAAGCTAACTCCAGGTTGAGGCCGCGATTGAGGATGAACCAAATACGAATTCCATGAAATTCAATGGGAGCTTATAATAGATGAAGAAACATTAGTGTCTATTGCATGGTATATTAAAGTTTGAGTAGAGGAATTAAAGTGATAAAGACCTCTGTCATAGGCTCACGATTGGCTTGTAGCTGTTGGCTTTTTATCTTTCCTAGATTTCCGTCTTTCAATCACGGTCTATGGTGGATTAATTATCTAGTGGGCTTATTATCTCAGTCTTTATATCACCTAAGGTTTTGTGTCTAATAATTATAATATCTGGAACGGGCATCCTCTGGCTCACAATTAGTAACGTCTTGAGCCTTCTCTACAGATCCGCCTGTGGTTAAGGTTGAGGAGGAGCTGAGGCTTAGAGTCTATATACCTCCAGTGTTGAAGGGATTAGGGCGAGGTGCTACTGGAAAGCCCATATTCTGACAACCCGAGCAGAACGGCGGGGTGCGTAGGCATTGTGATTATGCAAGTTGTACCTCCAAGAGCTGCCGCAGGGTATACTTTTTCCCGTGCTAGAATTTCCCGTGCGGGAGGCTGTAGCGCAGTTATCAAAGCTGAGATTACCAGCTAAGTAACCACTAAACCCAGACCAACCAGTACATGAAAATGCAGAGACCCTCATCTGCTTGGATCTAGAAAGAAGGTCTGTAATCCAGAAAGAGCCAGTTTGACTACTGACAGCTGTTTGTTTCTCAGTTGTAGGTATTTCCCGAAACTAGCCAAAGCGTGGATAGGAAATCTCGCTTCTTTTACTTCGCTTTTGGACTGCGTGTTCCCTGTTCTATTGTTTATCTTCGGCATTTGGCTGCTGCTCTCTCCACCGTTGATATGCAATCGGGCATAGGCTATCATCGAGCCGGCTTCTTGACGCGAACATCAAGAAGGCTTGGTGTCATCATACGACATATTTGTCTCAAAAGCTCATGCAGTGTCCATCCATCCACTCCTGAGGAACGAACCGTTCACCGTTCCTCACTACAATTTAGAGCGATATCCTCCCGAACCTGACCCATGTCTAAATGTTCCAGCCAGCTACTGTACCAGTCCAGAAACTCGACGATAGAGTCAAATCTTGGCTTCTGCCCGTAAACCGTCATGGGGTTATCCACAATTGTGGCATGGGAAACGACCACTCGCCACGCCCAGTCCTTGTGGCTCTGATCAGAGTCTTCCACATCCCGTCGACAGTAAAGATACATGCTGTACCATGTATCGTGCCCGCTCATTTTATGCTTGACACCAATTCCGGTTTGGAAGCCGACTCGCACTTCCAAATCATCATGCGTATAGGCTTCCAGGAAGGCTTCTTTGCAAAGATAATAGCGATGCAGATCTCTTATCAGATCTTCTCGGTCCTTGGAGATATCAGACGTCTCTTCAGAATAAGCTCCAGGCGGTTCAAAAGGGGCCATGCCTGCGTAGCGAAAGTCCGGATCCTCGACCCTACTGGCGTACTTGAGAAAGAGAGCCAAATCATGGCAGGGTGGGACTTCGAAATCGTCGTCCTCTTCATTTCGAAAGGCCACCTCATTACACACAGTTTGAACGGTGTCCAAAAACATCCGGCACCACTCATCTGTCAACAAGTTTGGCGGGCTGACTCCATCCATATGCTGATGGTATAGCGTTCTGACATCAGCTAATCGGGTGACATTTCCCTCCTCCAAAGACTGACGGACAGTTTCTGCTGGAGCGGTCGCCATCCAAGGATCCTTGCACTTGACTCCTAGACCAGGCCAGTAGACGCGCATCTCCTCCAGTTTCTCCTCCTCGGTGGAGAGATTCATTGCTTCAATCTCGTCCATTCGGTCCTGAAGAAATTGCCGATTGGAGGCCTCCATCTTGGTGCGGAATCGTTCCACCGCCAGGCGCATATTTTCGTCCGCATCTCCGGATGGCTGTGCGGTACTCTCCATCCCTAGTGGTAGAGAAGGGCCAAACGTAGGTATCGATGGTAGTAAAGCAGGGTAAGACGATCAAAGGTTCGGCGAGTCAGAATCGGGAATTGGCTTCTCAAAATTCTGAACTGTAATTACGGTAATTTTGGTGATCTATCAGAAATCTACCAGAGATGGTGGGGTTTCCCTAACCGAACTCAATTTAGCGCAATCGGAGTAGGGGCTGGGAAAGAAAGCGTGTGTCTTAAGGGGTACAGTGGGGTGCAAAAAGTATTCGAGACAAAAGGTAAAGTAGGTCAGTTAGGCACAAATATGGGGTTTAGTCTTACCGCAACTGAAACACTAGGCGCTTGGATCGTAGTTTCTTTAGGTTTAGACAAGGACCAAAGTTCTCTGACGCCACGGATTTCAGGGGCCATATATGCCGTTAACCATGGAATTTTCAGCACAAGCCATGTAAATATAGCTCTCAGTACCGCGCACACGTTTAAGAGTCTGATGGTGCCTTTCCTCTATGTAAGATCACCTTTATTCCAAGCTTCTTCTGACTGCTGGTTTTATCCAAAATCCCTAATCTTAAGTTGACTGTTTTAAGAGAGCAACTTTTATTTATTAGATCACAGCCTACAAGAATGTCTTCTGAAGAAAGTATTGCGCCGCATGTTGCCTCTGCTGATGCAGCTATCTGTGTCTCTACCGCTTTAGTCACACCACAAGCGAAGTCGTGTGCGATAACTGGTAGCACAGGTGCTGAGGGACCACCGCCTCTGGCATTCCACCTGGAGATTTGCCAGTAATGACTCTGGAGCTGCAGCCAGGTGTTTCCCCAGTGTTCCTGGTGGCATGGCTGTCGGAGCACTTCCTGTCAGTCCCATAAACCTACCTTGACTGGGATCCGAACCGCAAGAACCAAGATGCCACCGACGCTACACCGATACTGGCAGTGGAAGCTCACTCAAATGGTTATGCTCGGGCCGTTGGGCCAGGAGAAGTCGTTTGCTGTCTGGACGCAAGCTCATCCGTTTACAAGCCGGCAGATGATCGTTCTTCTTGATGGCCCAAGTGATGAGTGCCTAAGTCTGGCTATGCTTGAGAGCAGACCACCAGGAAGAAGGGGCCCTGTATACTTACTTTATTGCCTCACGAGGGTACTATGTCTCGGAACTCCGTGGTATTGGAGCTCAATAGCAATCTTAGACGAAGGTATCACAAAGTGAGCTCCTGTCCATTTCTCGTGTGTAACTGGCAACGGCAAAGGAGCAGCTCAGGCGATGTTCGAATGGCGTTGGAGTTCTGGGCAAGAGATTAAGAACTGAATCAGTTCTCGTTTGGTTTGAAGTCGGTGCGGATGTCTCAGGTCTTGAACAAGAGAGTAATGAATCGAGCGCACTGCATGCATGCGTGGATACACCCAGGGTGGCAGGGTGATTGTCGCCATTGTGGCGCATAATTTGTTGATGAGCATGACCAAGCCATTTCGATCTGCGTTACTGGCCCCTGATATAGAGAAATAGTGATCTGGTCTGGGATTTGTATATCAAATGTCTGACTGGTCGACTGGGTTCTGATTCTAGGGAAGTCCGCAACAGATACAACAATTCCTAGTTGAATTGGACCAAGCATGGACATAAGGAACCTAGACAAGGCCTTTAAGATATCGCACGAGGCTTCTTCCCAATTACTTTGGACCTACTTGAAAATGCATTCGCCGCCACCACTGTACCATCCTCGTCCTCTACATGTGTCCAGGCCCCATTAGTGCATGGGATCAAGCCGGGACGCGGTATATCAGGCATTTTTCTCCAAAAGTCATGAATCCAATCGTGCCTCATGAAAGCCCACAGTCCAGTGATGTCCAGACGTAAAAATCCTTGATAATTTTCATGGTCGGGACTCCTTTTTCCGCCTTCACGAAACCTCCGATCAATAAGAATCACGTAGCCGGCGTCTATTCCAAACAAGAAGCTACCATCCTCGGAAGGTTCCGGGGTATTGAGGATGGACCGGAGGGCTTTATCATCAATCATCAGACAAAACTCCGACCGTGGAGTGCCGTCCTGGTCATGGCAAGTCATCCAATCATCAAACAGGCGCCGGACCTGGTGGACAGAAGCACCCTCAAGAAGCTCTTGATCCTCGATGACTACATTCCTGTAACCCTCACAAATAAGCCGGATGGGTTCTGGATGGCTGAATGTCCGGCGGTATTGGAGGAAACAATGAACACAGGCATCGAGCTTTCGCATCACTTCCTTCCAATCAGCTTCAGAGACAGTCTCATAACAAGTCCGGTAGATGAAATAGCCCCATGGCCACATCAACTCATAATACTCCGCGAAGAACCTCGCCATCATGTCAGCATTCCACCATGGATAGCTCCGAAAGCGGCGGTCCCGCTCTTGCCAGGGCTCGTCCGGGGGAAAGTCTGCAGAGGTCCATGGTTCTGGCCATGACTTATGGTGGAAGAAGTCATTGAATGAGTCAGGCGAGGAGGGCGGGGAAGAGATTTCTCCCATGCTTGTAGATTGGATGAATTGAATGTAAGCCACAGATCCAAGGTAGTTGACGGTGGTAGAGGTTATGTCATGAGATCTCTGGAGTGAGATGTTTGTTGGTGGGGCCTTTTGTCCTAGAGGAAGTCGAAGGCGAAGTTGTCATTCAGCCTCATGCTCTTGGTGCTGCGCCGAATAAGTACGAGAGCGCCTCGCACGGACTCGCACTAAAATCTCACTTTTGTTCAAGGACCTTTAAAAGCTTCCGAACCACCATGGATCCTGGACGGCCAGCCCCAGTTTAAGGAACCACAAAGTACAGTGAGCATGTTTTAAGGCGGCGTCTCCGTCTGTCCGAGTCCTATTTATTCATCAAGCTTCAGACGGAAACATACTCCAGAGAGTCAAGTAGGCGAAACAAACAGGGTAGTGTGATGGGATCGGCTAATCTCTCATGGACGCCGCCAGCATGGGACGAACTCAACTTAACACGCGATTGCGATCTATTCGGTCAATTCTTCTCTGGTATTTCGAGGAACGGTCTCCTTAATGCGCCGCTTGGGATTACCGTGCAGTTTTTCCTCTCTGCTTTTCCTCCACACATCTCCCCTGAACCGACAGTGCCGCAGATTGTAGAACTATGGCAAGCTATCGCGGCGAACTACACAAGTGGAGGAGTCGGTGCTGGGGAAATGTTTAATAGCGTGTATGAAGCTGCGCAAGGGGCTTGCCACGATGCATACTGCGGCGCTGTTGGGTTCCAGGGCAATGCGGATCTTGTAGGGAATGGGGTGAGTCTTCTGTTTCCCGCAGGGGTCGCTTACGGATTCTTGCTAAGCATGATATACTGTCTAAAGGTTATGATTGCCTATTTGATTGAAGCAGCTTTAGTATCACTGTTTCTGGTCGCAATAGGTTTGCACCACCTGAGAAGCCGCCTGTACCAGGAAAGACCTGTTCCGAAGCAAACAGTGGGCTATATCTCTGCAGCAGCCCGAGTCCTTGACGCTTTCCGTGGCAGCATCACAAACTTTTGGAGCAGTGCTGCAGTACTGAGCTTGGCCATGCTGATAGTCTCTCTGCGTATAACGGCACGGGCTACAATCTACGTTGAGAGGGCTGTTCAGGCTTGGAGGAGCGGCTCAGCTGTTAGTGCATATGACACTCAGCTCGCCACCATCGTCTCATGTTTCTCGCTTTTTCCCGTCCTCATACTTGGCCTCCTGATGAAAAATCGTGGCCGCCGCCGGTGGCTAGCGGGCATCGTCCACATCGTCTTGTATGTGCTAGTCCTCGTTCAAATCCGACTGGCCATATCCCGCACTAGTGTTGCATCAAAAATAAAGAGCTCCCTAGGCGCAGCTTGTAATCCAATGACTGTGGATAAGATGTTCCGCAAGTATGGCTCGCCTGTGTTTTATGTACTTATTGCTGTTCCTGTCGGTCTAGCTGTGTTGTTGGCTGCCGCTGCTGTTTTGTTTCGTGTTGGCCGAAGCGAGTCAGAAAACCAGGCAGAACGAACGAAAACCTGGCGCCTGGTTACAAATTTGCTACGCCTGTACGGAGTCTCTCTGATAGCATTTACCTCCCTTGCCTGCTTTGTGCTTATGTGGGCATCGATTGGACTGCTGCTGTCTATGAGAAACCTCATCATAGAGAATGTTGGACACAATGACCCAGCATTAGAATGGACCTTTGGCCAATTCCTGGCATTAGCGACTTGGATTCCCGTTCTCGTGGAGTGGGTGTATATCCTGATATGTAAGTTTATACTCTATATTCTAGGGTACAAGGCACGCTAACGCAAACAATTTAGTCGGTTTACAGAGAGGACTAGAGGGCCATGTCCCAAAGGACTACGTTGTTATGCATACAAGCCATACTGCACAGTCTCCGGCTTCACAAGAACTGATTCAGGACGTGCAACAGCAAACAGAGGCGACAAAATAGTGCATATAGTTTGGTGCCCACTTAAACAAGTATGCTATGTCTCTGTCAGCACGGGAAAGCACCTTCAATCGGAAATTATGGGGGTGGGTGTATCTTGCATAGTATATAGTCCATGGGGCTTGCAAATTGGGCGGCAACTGCAAGCAAGTGAAACGAAACCAGATCGTCTAGAATGCCATTTCCCCATTAAGGGGATTCTAAACGAATTGATACACAACATCATAATTGAGCAGACATCGTAGAGGCCTGAGATATTTTGGGGATTTTAGGTCGATCCTGTTCATATATACATTGGGTCTTTCAAGGATTTACAGGTGACTCAATCGCACTGGGAGTGGGGGAGTTCGACAATAGCGGTTTAACCTTATACAGTTCAATCTCCACAAGGTGCCTCGTGCAGGTCAGGGTTCTTAGGTTCGGTCACCTGCTGAGTATTGAGTCTGGAAGGGAACGTGGCGCGGTGACGGAAGATGGCTGCGGACCAGGCCTTGGACGAGGGTCTATTGGTGAGGATAGGCCTAGAGCGAACGGATATGCAATACGATATGCATAACCATGCACGAGCTATTAGGCGTATAGTTAGTTCCACTTCAATTAGATAGAGAGCAATAAGGGGGAGATTATTTACAAACAGAGTTTGCACACGATTATAAGGGTCGGAACGCAACAGGATAGGCGGACACCTGGAGGCAGGCAGAGATAGAGATGCAGAGGAAGCAGCTAGCCATTGAAGTCTAGCTGAGTAATCTACGGAGGGATGCGGACATGAAGGGCGTTCCAGTATTATTTTGGGCTAAATTGTGGGCTAAATTGTAGGCTGATTTATATAGCAACACGCCGTTTGCTATGTATCTACTGCTTCATGCGTGCTGGCGTCAGACCACTCTTGCTTGCTTCCGACGGAGGAAGCACCCCGCATAGCTATTATGCTACTAGTTAGGCTGTACCAGGTTAAACAGGTTAACGGAGTGTTGATTGATTGGCGAGGGGTTTTGATATTCTAGACACGAGTGCGAGCCGGCCGGCATTAGGCACTGCTAACTGAAAAGCAAATGGGAGGTCTAATATGCTGTTTTCGGTGTTTGAGATAAAGGCTTATATAGAACAAATATACCCTAAATCCAAAGTCAGACGTTCCAACGAATAGAACCGTTCCCAGTGACCTCTCCTGTGGCTGTGCCTGTGAATTCGACCGCGGCGTTCCCACTCACCCTTGCAGAGCCACCGCCGTTGACATAAACATGGGCATTTCCGCTGGCCCAGACCGTGCTATCACCATAGACGACCGTATTGCTATTGCCGGAGAGGATGACATGGCCGCCGCCATGGATCATCACACTCGCGTTACCACTTACCTTTACATAGCCTCCGCAAACCACGGCAGAGTCGTTCCCGTAGATAGACGATTTCTGAGAGGGCTTCTTCCACTTCTCAGGACCTATCTTCTTCTCCCTCTTCTCCTTCTCATGGCCCTTTGTAGGCTCTTTAGGCATTGTGGAGTGTTGCTTCACGACGGCAACCGATGGGTAGATCCGCGCTAGCGTCTCCTTGTCGCCGTTGGAGAGCACAATATTCTCAGGGACTTCCCTCAGCCCGCTTTGCGTGTCTCCCCTCGCGATAGCGTAGTGCATAATCGACTCTGGATCGTACGCCCTGTCCCATCTGGCATTGATGGCGCTATGCGTATCATCGTCGTAGTTGCGGCGCACCACATCCAAATCCCATCGATTCCTGTCCATAAGCTGGCCGTAGTTCCACTTGGCCTTGCACTGCGGGTGCTTATGCTCGTGTACCAGGCCCAATGCGTGCCCGAACTCGTGGAGGACGTCGGCTTGCACCTTGTCCCGAGCGGCGTCCTGCGTCGGCAATCTAGGGTGCATATTGAGCCACATGGTGGGCTGGCCAGGGTAGGCCTCGGCTTGACGTCCGATATAGGCTTTGGAATGGTCTGTGAATAGAATACGAATGTCGGAAGGGCTTGTGTCCCGTTCTGATAGGAACTTGAAGCGGAGGCGCATGGGGATCGAGTTATAATGCGTTCTGACCAAGGATTTGACCGTACTCTGTTCAAATTCGCCCCCGTTCAGGAAACACACGATGAGAACATGTTTGTTAGGCGGCCAGAACCCGGCTGCTGGCCCCGCACCCATCTCTTAGCTGTTTGGAGATGATATCGTCGAGTTCACACGGATAGCGTGTAGTGCTGAGAAGGCGAGCTGAACGGACCCAGCCAAACTTTCTTTGTCAGTGGTAGAAGGCAAAAATGAATACATGCTGAGTTGGTACCTTAACACCTGAATCGCGGGTGGGCAGCAAAACCCCTGATGGGAGAGGGATGTCTTGACTCACAGACTAATATATCAGAACATGCTAAAATTGTACAGACTAGTTTGCATTCAGGACGAATGAGGTTCAAACGGAATCAATTCAGGAGGATATTATGATCGTTTGTTTGAAAACCCTGTGGGAGAGGCCAGGTTGAAATAGCCCTAACGTCAGCTTGTTGATTCAGCGATACTTGGTGGTTATAACACCGGGACCGCAAGTTGTCCCAAGTTTACATAGAAATACCACGGGAATGTGGTCTCGAATGTGACCAATCAGTTATTAGTGGTAAGTAACCAGCCCCCTTATTCTTATAGCATTGATCATTGACGAAACTCGTGAGGGGGTTCGTCGAGTAAGGGGCCGATGAGCTCAATTCGCCCCGTTGAGCAGAGTCATATTGGAGAGAACATGAAAGTAACATGGAGAATCTTCTGTTCCCTCTCAGTGCTTTTTCCCCTGGCATGCGTGGGCCACATGCACCTAAACGGTGCTTTTCGCCCTGAGCAGTGCCACTATTCAGCACACAGTCACCAATCATTGCAGCCAAGAACACTATTTATTGAGCCAGCCTTGGCAATGCAACTAGTTGAGTAGCTATGATACGAAGATTATATCTGTTGCGGAAGTTGGGCGTTGGCTCATGCAGGCCAAAGGCTATGGTACTGTATGTGTTAACAAGGCGCTGTGAAAGCAAGTAACACAAGGCAACCACTAGCATCCCATTTCTGTTCCCGCAAGGACAGATGACACAACAGATAGATGCTTATTGGCTATTTACTAGTGAGCTGAATCTCCAGCCCACGGTGGTGATCAAGCCAGTGCTCTCTGATGGCAGTGTAAGACACTATCAGCCAATGACCTGATTTCCATTAACACCGATTGGGCTTTTTTGGGCGGTGCAATCACATTGAGGTGCTTTTCACAACACAAGTGTATGATTGGTCTAAAAATCTGGTCTACAGTCTCGTGGCTGTGGTTCAGCGAATAAAATATAATTAATAGGTGATAAAGAGTGTGTACTCAAGTCAAGACTTCTTTCTTTACCCTGTGAAAAGCCAACACAACAAAGCCAAGATGTACATACATGCCTTCTGATCCAGACAGGCCCACCAATTTACCTGCGCTGATCTGCACGGAGTTGGTCAAGTGATTCACTGTTACAGATCAGGCTTGTCTACCAAGTTATCGACCCTGCACTAGAGGAATCTACATAAACCTGGCACAAAGCAAAGGATGCACTAAATCAAAGATCGACTTACTATTCACGCGTCCTTGAGAGAAGAAATACGGACTAAGGAACTCATTTAAGGAAACAGAGAATGACTAATTCATAATTATGTCTACTTACGGAGGATCTACTTATACTGGAGAAGGAGGATCCGCTTCTTCTGGAGGATCCACTTCTGGAGGATCTTCTGGAGTTAGTAACTTCCATGACCCTATCCTGCTTATATAACTTGGACTAATTGAAGCCCATTTGCTCGGAATAGGCGAATACCTATGGAGGGGGATATTATGTAAGTGACCGCCATGACCTGTTTGTGTGATCTGCGTGAATTAAAGCTTGTTTACTGGGAATAGCCATCTTCCGGATCTGGAGGGAATACTGGGTCATATATTGATGACTCCACTCTTCTTGTGCCAAATGGAGATGGAGTAAGTTACTCACGACCTGTCATGTTCGGGGCGACCTGGGTTGATTGAAGCGTGCTTGCTGGGTATAGACTGGATCCGACGGATCTACTACTGGACCTGGATACACTTCCGCTACTACTGGAGGAACTTATGGAGGATCCACTTATGGAGGAAATTCTACTACTCGCCAGTAGCAATGACCGGCTGGCCTCTGCGGCAGCTTCTGTCCTCAGTCTTGGTTTTCCAACTGGGTTTCCCAAGATTAAGACAGACAAACGCTTGCATTATATGACCTAAATTTCTTTCTTGATATTCTCTCCTGTCGACCTTCCAGCTGTTAGGCACGACTGGATGGTCGTTGCTATGTTAGAAGAATCCTGGGTTATACCTGCCTGTGCTTCTCTGTCTTCCACAAAACAGTGGCATGGGTGCCTGCCCACGCATTTCCGTAGCCACATAGCCAGAATTAGCTGTGGAGCTCCCAGCAGCTAGGCGATAGAATACGCATATCTCTCATTGCCAGATTTGGCATGAGACAGCTGTTCTAGAACGTAACCATCCTGATGAGGTGTTTCACGTAATCGGATACCTCTTATCTGGCTTTTTCTCTCGATGAAGACCTCACGTGCTTGATTTCCTCTCCAGGGGAATCTCGCAAGATTTCATTCCTCTTGTTGAACATCTTCTGAGCCAATCTTCCCATATCAGATCCCTCCATATGGGGACATGACTAAAACGATGATGGTGACTCGACCCTGCTTGCAACCACTGAACCCAAAATAGACTTGCCACAATGTTCGACCAAGCGCGACTGATCTAGCCATACCGTTAGGCCGGGTCCATGGCTTTAGTTAACTCTTACAGGCAGTGGGCTGATGCGCCAAGTAGGGACTGTTTCGAAATGAGCTTGCTTGTTGAGCATCTCAACACCATTGGGCCCAGTTGATGGCTCGGCGCGAAGCCGGCGCCTTACCTATGCAGCAGCAACACTACCTGCTCAAGCCCTGGAGTTCGAAGAAGATTCTCTAAGTACTCCAGCCAGAATGATCCGATGGGTCCCGAATCAGATTTCTGGACCTGGTCACTTTACGATTAGCAGCGCATACTCTCTTGGAAAATGCCATCATGCAAGTCTGATCCCACCATGGCCAAGTCGTACCGGATTGACAGCCAGTGACTAAAGTCCAACGCTGTTGGACACGTGCTTTTGGTCTTTCTTGGTGTCTTTGGGCTGCTGAGCCTGTTTTTCAATCACTGTATGTTTCATAACATACAGAGCAATCATTATCCACGATGATTTGGTGCTGACAGACCACAGACCAAATTGCAACCCAAGAGGCGTTTCAGCGTACCCCGACAATGCGCAAGGTGACGATGATGTATACGGGAACCATTCGACCTACATGAGACATCCGAACGGGAAAGATATGAATCCTGATACGCCGCTGCATCTGCAGGTTTCCCCTTGGTGATCTTCTGGTTCACTTTCCGGGAACCCCAAAACAGAATTTGACGCGAACCCTGACGCCGTATCTTGGGGTAGCGGAATCGCATAGTAGGCACTGGGAGGTGCCGCTGGAGGAGACGAGGTATATAGAGGAGACGAAAAGCTTCTGGGCGGACTTGCGTTTTGGCTCGTTCGGTCGGATAACCCTCTATTCCTGAACCGATCGGTGTCAGATGCCGCGAAAGATAATTAGTTGTATAGCACTGCGTATACTGTATATATACTCTTGATAGAAGCGTTTACGGCATACTTTTGTACATATATTGAGGATCGCCCATTGGCGGCAAGAATACTACAGCGCTTATGCAAACGCTGAGATTAGCTATTTAGAATAAACAAGCATTTTCCGAAGAACTTACGGGTCTACTAACGTGTCTCGTGGAAAGGCAATCAACCCCCTTGGATAATATCTCTCCAATTTTCTAGCCGTCAGACCCTACCTTGCTATTCCTGGTTTAGGATCAAGTCATCCATAATCATATATGTAGGGAGTACATGTTACTTGCCAGACAAGGAAGTATCATCGCGTCGCCTAAATGCACCCTGAATTAATCGTCATAGAAAAGGGATCAGACATGTTAGTAGCTCCCAGTTTTACAGTATTACACTTCCGGAACAGCCAGACCTCGTCATGCAGAACACTGAAGAACCGAGTGCAATACCAAATTACGAATCGAGACCCCAATCACCTTCCACTGAGCCCATGCACGTACACGGAACGCATACCGCAGGATATGCCGGCGGCCGGCCGTTGCAGGGGTATACACAGACTCACTTACCCTCGTAGAGTCATAAATCACTCAGAGTCAGGCGGCAGACCGATCGGGAGGGACGGCAAGAGACATTCAGACATACCTCTGGTCAGCCAGATCGTAAGGAACTAGAGAGTTGGGGTTACGGTTTGTCATATATGAGGTTGAGAACGTTGATATTCCTGGGTCAATAGTACATAAGAATCTAATTACACTTGTAGTGCAGATCACTCAACAATCACCATCATCTTCTCCCACCACGTATTCCTAGCCCTGGGCGGCTTCTCGGCCGCAATAATCTCCGCCAACCCCGTCTGCATATCCACCTCCTCACTGCGCCACGCCCACGGATCCTCCCGGAAGATCAACCTGTGACCAAGATACAACACCAGGAAAGCCGGAATACCAATATACGCCGTGAAGAAGTCACTCACAGACCACTCGGACGGGAAGAAGACGGTAAACCCATTAATCAGCGCGAGGAAGGTGGCACCAACAAGCCCCACGATCATCCCGTAGGGCTGCAGCTTGGAGGTATACGGCTTCTCGATGCCCTGGACCTTGCAGGCCTTGTCGAACCGGAAGTACACAATGCTGCAGCAGATCCAGGAGATGAAGCCGGAGGTATTGGTGAAGTTGATGAGCCAGTTGAAGACGGTGTTGGAGCCGCTGCCGACGGCGAGGTAGGCCAGCAAGGAGAACAGCGCGGAGACGCCGACGGCCATGTAGGGGACGCCCCAGCGGTTGCAGGCCTTGAAGACGCTGGGGGCGTTGCCGGAGACGGCGAGGGAGTATAGCGAGCGGGAGGACATGTACAAGAAAGAATTGCCGGCGGACCAGGCCGACGTCAGAATGGCGGCGTTGACGATGCTGTCGAGGACGGGGATGCCGGCGTTGTGGATGGCCACGACCCAGGGGGAGGAGGAGGCGTCGCCGTTGCCGGAGGTGATTTGCTTGGCTTTGGAGGAGCAGATGACGCCGATGGCGAGGGCGCCGAAGATGTAGAAGAAGACAAGCCGGTAGATGTAGCGGCGGGCGGCGGTGGGGACGTTGCGGCGGGGGACTCCATCTCGCCGCCGGAGATGATGATCAGTTCTGGGGCGAAGATGAAGGCGATGGCGCTCTTGACGATGCACTGTAGCAGGCCGACGAAGCGGCCAGCGTCACCGTGCACCAAATACTCGTTCATGGGGCCGGGGTCCTTCCAGTAGTGGAAGCCGAGGCGTTGGCGATTGGGCCCGCCGCCCCAGAAGAGGATGAAGGAGAGGATCAGCAGGCCGATCAGAGTGATGATCTTGATGCCGGCGAACCAGAACTCGGTTTCGCCGTAGGCCTTGACCGGCATGAAGTTGAGCAGCACAATGATGACCAGCATGATGGAGATCCACACGGCGATGTGCACGCCGGGGTGCCAGTAATCGATGACCATGGACGCGGCGACAATCTCGTACGGCACCAGAATCCCCAGCGAATACCAGTATAGATACCCCATGGCGAAACCCATGCTGCGCGACACATAGCGGAACCCGTGGTAACTCATGGTCCCTCCATGCACGGGCAGATAGGCGCCAATCTCTGCCATCCCCGTCACCAGCGCATATACCAGGACGGAAATGAAGATGTACCCGAGCAGCAGCGACAGAGGACCACCGATGGCGAGCGCCTGTCCCGATCCGACAAACAGACCCGTTCCGATGGTACCACCCAGCGCCATCAGCTGTACATGCCGGTTTTTCAATCCGCGCTCGGTGATTTTGTAGCGTTCGTCCAGGAGGTCGCGCTCGACCATGGCCTGGATGGTGCCATGCTTGACGTTGGCCTCGGCGTCGTGGTCATGGTAGTGGGCCGCAGCGGCAGTGGGTTTTTCTTCCGCCATTTTTCCTTGATCCTTGCTTTCTTGGTGTACAAGGAAGGGAAGATGGAAAGAAAAGAAACTGACTGGGGGAGGATAGACCGGGGGACGGGGGAGGTTAAGTAGGAATTTTCTGGCGACCCGAGGTCGGTTATCGAGCTATCATGGTAATAAGTCCGTGCAACGGCCTCCCATGAGACACGAGACACGAGATCATCCCGATAGATAAATCTCCCTCTCTCTCTCTCTCTTTTTTTCTTTCGTTCTTTCTCACCGGCTCCCCCGCACCCGGAACGGTGACACGCAGGATTCAAGGACGGCCCGTTATTGGTGCATACAGCTGATAAGGACATGGATGCGGGGAGTGGAAGACAAGTTAATTGGCTGGAAGGAGAAAACACGAGGCATTTAAAGCCACACTAGGCTGGAAGTAGATTAGTGTTTGGCTGTAGGGGGCAATTTATCTTTGTGGCTGATTCCTTGATTAGCGAGCGCACATTAACAGATAATATTAGCTAGGAGAAGAATATCAGATAGAATAGGGGACTGTAGATGGTTCTGCAGTGCATGCAGTTGACGTACAGGACATTGCAGATAATGTAGATCTGTATGTCAATCTGCATAGACCCTATTCAGTAAATAGAAACTACCAGATCATATGATCTGGGGAAAGACCCATCTCCCCAGATTTTACCTAATAGAAACACCATTGTACGGAGCACAGTGGAGAGCATCAGCATCAGCTCTCCACTCACTTGAAATCTAGAAATCATATCATCTTTACAATTTACATGCACACACTCAGCTACTTGACTCTTAACCTTTTGTCAAAGTTTTCCTCTCAGCCATGAACCATGAAATCCAGCTGTCATCAGCCTTGTTCCCTTGAATAAGCCACACGCCGCATCTAACCGGACCGGCACCGGGCCGGAAATCTGTGGCTGCAAGGCTGTCTCATCATTGGGACCGCTTATATTCCTTCAATATGATGCTTATCTTTGGAGAATATGACTAGGCCTTACCGTTATTACCTCATCTGAGATATGCCATCTGATAACATATCGACGTTAGAGAGATCGTGCGATATTACAGCCGTACTGCAGAGTGGTACAGAGTTCAGTGGCTTGTCTGGAATAGTCGCCACAGTTACGGACACAAACTCCGAGGATAACCTTGTCTTAGCAGTGAGGAAATGGCGGTTGAGGTGTGTGGATACTATACGGAGTAGAGGCTGCGATCAATTCCTTGTACGATGAACGGGTACATTACTGGCAATCGACCTATGTAGCCATAGTCATGTCGTCTGCTATGCTCACAAATGTCTCGAATAAGTTATGCTCTAATTCGCTCTGGCCCAATTACTGGGCCAGATCTGATGGATGTGATGTATTATGTAGTTGATAGCAACTCAGGCCAGTAAAAAGGCAAGCACTATCTCCGATACCTATAATACTGGTTCTCTATCGTTGCCTGGGTTGGCTTCGGTAGAATAATGCACCTTCACTCTTGGTGATAACGGCCTCTAAATCTGACATACTAGTCAACGGCGCCCCTAAACCCACCCCTGCTTTGCCTTGATAGCCGCCACATGATCCTTCACAATACACTTGAACTCATCCGTGCCATAATAAATCGTATTGCCATCATTCGGCGACTGTCCCGTGCTCAGGGTATCCCCGTACTGCCAGTACAAATCCCCTGACACCCCGTCGTATTCAACGAGGTCTTCTGCCAGGGCGTCTCGAGCGCGCAGTGGTTGGAGGTAACGCCGTACTCCTCAAACAGACAGGGCTTGCCGGCGGCCTTGCATGCGGCGCCGTGCGATTGCACCCAGCCATTGCCCCATTCGTGGGTGGTCCCCCAGCTGTCCGGGTACAGGTGGAAGGTTCCAAAGTCGATGGTGGGCAGGGCGAGGTTGCGCGTGAAGTTGCTGCCTTCGACGTAGGTGTAGGGGTAGCTGCCGTCGGAGAGGAGGTCGAGGCCGAAGCCCTCTAAGCCTTTGTCAGTGTTTGTCCTTTTGTCCAACGGAGTGTGGAGATGGTTATATGGTAAACGAGAGGAGACAAACCATCGCCAATGCAGACCATATGCCGCTTATCTAACTTCTTGATGTACTCGCTCGTCGACTTGATCCACTCGTACAACACCTCGGTATCACACCCCTTGCACCGAGGCTCATTGGCCAGCTCCCACGCAAACACCGCAGGGGAGTTCGTATACCGCGACACCACAGCCTTGACATACTGCCTATACGCCTTCTGGATGTTCTCGTTGGAGTAAAACGCATTATGGTCCGTCTCGCCATACGCCTTGACATACGCGTTCATCCCGCCATAGTCATCCCAGTTATTCACAAAGTTGATAATGAGCTTGATGCCGCGCTTCTCCGCCGAGTGGACCACATAATCCAGCCTCTGCAGTCCGTCCGCGCCCGTGTTGATGGTTGATTTCCCGTTCGCGTGCAGCTGGTAGTATACTGTCCCCTGGCCGGGGACGGTGTTGACGTCGTTGAAGCCCCAGACGCGCAGGATCTTGAGCCCGGATTCTTTCATGTGGTCGAAGACGAGGTCGACGTCCACGTTGTTGGTCAGGAACCCGATCCAGTACGAGTTGGAGCCGGCGAAGTAGCCTGTTTTGCCGTCGATGGTGAACTGGAGGTCTGATGTGCTGGCGAATTTCTTTGCGCTGAGGGCGGCCAGGGCCGTCTGCCCCATGAGGAGGCTAGCCACGGTGAGGAGGGAGAACTTCATCTTGTGGTTTGTGCTTGTGGTTGATCAGGACATCAGACGCGTGGAGAAGTCAAGTTAAATAGTTGATGGCTAGGCTCAGGGCCAGGCTCTGCGACGGCCCGATTCCCGTCTCCCCGTGTTCGATTCGGCATATTTCTCAAGATTAATTGACTTTGCTAGAAGTTGAATGGAACGGAGCTTTCCAATAGATCATCGTAAGCTGTGTCCGTGATGGATGCGGAATGGTGGACGCCACTCTTGCATGTATGGATTGGTGGACTTTCGGCATTGATAATCCTTCAATCGGCAAGACTAGCTCTTCTCCAGATTATTTATCCATATTAATGGAGTCCATTTGTTTGATGATATGGAGATTCCCCGCAAGGATCGACAGGCACCAAGACTCTTCAGCCACGCGGAGTTATGCCCCCCCGTGTCAAGAAGGGAATGGCCGTCTCCCAGCAAATTCCGAGGCCTGATGTCAGAGAGATACAGTAACTAGAACTTGATTGTGCGTAAATCATAATGAATAACAGTAATTCAGGCAAAATGTTAAATCAACAGAAACAGCAATTTCACGACATAAACCATTTCCAGACCCGATGCTGACCTCGTAAACAACAGGGACCTCACTCAAAGAGGACGCCAGGTACAGTCAACCTTATTGCAGCACTGGTCCCCATTCTTCCAAATACAATTATTCGCATTCGCCTTGATATCACACGGCACCTCGGTCAACTCATATGGCACACACATCTGCGGATCCTGCGAGTAAAAGGTCATAGCGGGGATCTCCGCCGGACAAGCAGGCCCAATACCCGCAGCAAATCCACCCAGACAGTACTTGCCACAGGGCCACTTGCTTAGCACGAACTGGCCCGCATTGGCAAAGGTCGGAGTCCGCCCGATATGCGCCCCGTTCTGCGCATTGTTGAGCCACTGCCCCGCGTTCGCGCCCGTCGCGACATCCCCGTACAGATCCTTGATGTAGGTCTTGTCGGAGGGGTTTATGGCGTGGCCGGGGGTGCATTTCTCGTCGCTGCAGAGCTGGAACTTGCCGTAGCGCTGAACCATGCTGTCTGGGGCGGCGTAGTAGACTCCGTCGTTGCGGAGGCCGAGCCGGTTGCCATTCTCGGCGGTGAGGGTGTAGCATTTTCCTTGAATCCCATTAGCATACCGTTTGCCTAGTGGTAGTAAAAAGGTAGGGGCCATGGACTCACCACTCTCCAGTCCAGACGTGCAAATCGCCTTCGTCCTAGTCTGGCAGGATCCATCCTCCGCCTGGAGCATCCCCTCAGGGCAAACACACTGCCCGTTGACAAGCAGCTTGCCATTCTTGCATACCTGCTTGCACTGCTGTCCATCAAAGGAATACCCCGTCGGGCAGCAGTGGTAGCCTGCCTGGGCCGAGCCTGCGAGCTCATGGCCCTCGGCGCAGCAGTCGAATGCCGTCCCGGGGCTACCGAGCAGTTGCTGGCCGGCCATGCAGCAGGCGAAGTGCTTCTTGTCGGCGCTGAGGGTGGGGCTGGTGCCTGGGGCAGCGCAGGTCTTGGTCACAACGCAGTGCATGCCTGGGTCGCAGTCTGGATCGTTGTATTCGATTTTCTGGCCGGTGATGCGTGCGTCAGGGCTCACCTCGAAGGTGAGGACGTTTTGGCGGTACATCTTGGCTTGGAGGGGAGGGGCCTGCAGGAGCAGGGTAACCAGAGTGAGAGCGAGGGTCTTCATGATGAGAGGTTGCTAGACTAAAGCTGGAACAGGATGTATTGTGTTTTGGTCTGTGATGAGTGAGAGGGTTCTGGCCGTGGGGTTTTGCTCCCTTTTTATGTCTTTCGAGCACTGCTCTTTGTGTACTTGCAGCTGCTAGGAGCCATGATGCCTTGATACCTCGAAGCGCCGTTACCTAATGGCAACTCGTCTCCTGAGGACTTGTGACATCTTAGCCAGCCACTCCTCAGCCCTTCCTGACGCCCATCAGCTACGATGATCCGGCCATGATAGGCTCAGGGGGCAATTCGATCATGGTGTTCAGTGATCAGCTGGTCGACCATCCAGGACAGAGGTAGCTGATCTCCTGTCAAATCCACATCTAACTGGTCAGGAGTAGAACTGACGGAGCGGGAGCTCCGCAGAGGACTTAACACTGCATGAATGGCATGCAGTGTGACCGGTTGACGGATCACATACAGTTTCAATCCGGGCTGGTCCGTCTTGTGCAATTTGCCTTTGTGGAGGTATCTGATGTCACAACAAGCTTGCATCATGATGTTTGGCACTTGAGGTATCAATTGCTCTTGATTAGTATATGGTGTGATGCTAGACATAGGACATGCATCCTTATTCACTCAGCGTACAGTATCAGAGGGATACAAACAATCCTTCAATACCCTGGCTTCTGATGTCTCAACGAGTGTGACGATGGCTAGCCTCACAGCTGTCAGCTCTCAGCCAGCCACTTCTTGCATATCTCTGCCTTGTCTCTGTCCTCCCATGGATCCAATCAGCACCAATTGCCAGGACGAGTGCAAGGCTGCAAGCTCCAGCTACGGTCATCTTCCATTTCCCGCAGGTGTCTCAGTCAGGATCGGTCATTCTGCAGATGCCACCTCGTATTTATCCTAGCGCATGGAGCAGGTGTTCGACTTCGAGACTCAGCTTATTCCTGTGTGCCTGCGTATCTGCATTCAATCCTTGGAAGTTGTGAACATCGTGCTTGGCAAGAGGAGGTTGATCTGCTGCAATCAATGGTTGCCTTGGGTGGATCTTTGTCGTTCCAATTTCCATGTCCATGTCAAGACTTCAGCTCCGGATGCGGGGAAAGTGTCTCTGCAGGTCATCGGAGACATGGCTAGATTGACAGGTCACCGAGTGTCGGCGACCAGATGATCGGCATTGGCAGCTTGATAAAAGTACGGCGAACCTCGGCGGGATTGGTTCCTTTCATCCTGGAGAACTATAGTTGAGTTAATATAGACCAGGTAGATGGCAGCTAGCAAACATTAATACAGTGGTTTGTACTCTGTTCAAAAGGAACCATCTTCTTTTTCTATTGTTGCTGCATGTATTATCTACTGTCCCTGCCGTCATGATATTCAATAGCATGTATTCAGATATCAACTCGTCACGTAGAGTGGATATCAAATGCCATACTCCGGTATATATAATTCGAAAACGCAGTACTGTTGGTGCGCCCATATCTGTCCACATATAGTCTCTAGATCGATATAGAAGTTACAACTATACTAGGTACTACTATATGATATTCCACTATATTAGTGTTTGCTACAACTACATAACCTACATTAGTTTAGCTATAGTTCGCCCAAGAGGGCCAGAACTTACAGTAGTCAATAAGTCAAGGTGACGGCAAGTGGAGCATCAACCAATGTTATTATATGAAGTACCTGAAGGTCCTAATGAGCTGAAGTCAGAGCATAACTTCTCAGGATGGGAGATACTCTTCCGTAGAGGGGTGTTAATATGTATGAGGTTTTCTGCGAGCAATGCCGTTAACATACTCTCTGATCTTAGTGTGACGGAGAATGTTGAGCCGGTTAGAATGATTTATAAAGGTGGTTACTTTGACCTTCTGTATTCTGCATTCTTGTAAGGAAGGTGTGAATCTATTGCACTGCTTTGATTCTACCTTTAACACAACTTCTCGTACAGACTTTAGACGGTCGCTCATGGTTTGCTTCGGACTTACAAAGCTGCTAATAGTCATTGATCACTGTTAATGGGAAGATGGGACTTAGCAAACCGCGCTCGGGAGTTAGTAAACCCCGAGCTACACATTTAGCCAAGATATAAAAAGCGTCATCTCGACAGCCTCCCGACTCTTACCTTCGCAATAGAGTAAAAAGAATAACAATCTCTTCTGATCCCATCATCCATTCATATGATGTCCCCCGGAATCGCCATCATCGGCGCCGGCCCCGGCGGCCTAACTCTAGGCGCCCTCCTCCACAAACACGCCATCCCATTCACCATCTTCGAGCTGCGCCAGCAACCAACAGCCGAAGAACTATCAAAACCATCCGGTATGCTCGATCTCCACGAAGGGTCCGGCCTCGCCGCCATCCGCGAATGCGGGTTATACGACGAATTCCTCAAGCACACCGGCGACTGCGCCGAGACGCAAAGAGTGGCTGATAAAGACGGGAATATCCTCTACAGCGATGACAACGACGGCAATAACCGACCAAGTGATCGCCCTGAAATTGCGCGGCACGCTCTGCTGGCTATTCTGGCCACAAAAGTACCTGAACACTGCATCAAATGGGGGCACAAGCTTCTCTCTGCGAGGATTACCGGCGTCAGCACAGAAACAGAGCTAGATTTCGGGTCCCAGGGGAAGCAGACATTCGACCTCGTCATTGGCGCAGACGGCGCGTGGTCAGCGGTCCGCGCTCTCCTAACGGATATCAAACCGCACTATGCAGGAATCCAAAGTATCACGCTGACGATCGAGAATATCAGCACGCGGTACCCTCGTCTGGCGGCGCTGATTGGGCGAGGGAGTTTCTTGTCGCTTGGGCTGCGGCATGGGGTGATTACGCATCGGGGACCGAGGGACTCAGCGCGCGTGTATGTCTTTCTCACGGCGGATGAGCGGTTTGATGGGGAGGGGATGCGAGTGGGCAGTGTCACGAAGGAGCAGTTACTCAGTGACGAGGCTCTGCTGGGAAGGTTTGGTGACTCAGTGAAGGAGTTGGTTGCTGTTGGTGTTGCGTGCGATGACAGCGTTGAGCGGCTTGATGGGGCGGTTGATGCCAAACCGCTGTATATGCTGTCGATTGGGGCCGCGTGGGCGCACAAGGCTGGTGTGACTATCGTTGGGGACGCGGCCCATCTGATGTGTCCGTGGGCTGGGGAGGGGGTCAACCTTGCGATGTGTGATGCGCTGTTACTGGCGAAGGTCATTGTCGAGGCGTGGGAGGCTGGGCAGGATGTCGGCCAGTTTCAGGCCGCCCTAAACCCGTTACTGAGGCAGTTTGAAGAAGATATGGTGGCGCGCGCGAAGGAGAAGGCAACGGAGACGTTGAGTAATGGACTGATGATGTTTGGGGAAGATGGAGCGAAGGGTATGGCCCAGTTCTTCTTGAGCATGGGACCGGGACAGTGATGGACTGTCATAACTGATAGATCTGAGTATTTTGGACTTATCTGATCAGGGGGAGCAGGGGTATAGCGCTACATAGACTTCATAGATCATCTTAATAAGAGAAATATCGCACGGCCGCTTGGAAAGCGAAAACAGGCGTCATGTTCGTACTATGCCATCATGTGGAGTAGATACATTCTAGCCAGATCATAGCATCCACAGAAGCCCTATTGATGGTTGGCTAGAATAATAGACAGTGTATATCGAAGCTCTCGCAACAACCCCACAAAACCGGACGTTTTCCAACCCATATATCGACCAGTCAATCCGCAAGATACGCAAACGGCAGCAACTCCTCCACACGCACAGCCCTTGGCTCCCCCCGATCAAGCACAATAGCCTTGATCCCGGGATGCAAATCAAGCAGCGTCTGCCGGCATCGTCCACACGGGCTGAGGATGCCTCGGCTCTCGTTCGCAACTGCAACGATATGCGTTAACTGCATGGCCCCGGCCGCTGCAGCAGAACCTAGAACGACGAGCTCGGCGCAGGGCCCGCCGGTAAAGTGAAAGACGTTGACACCGGTGAAGATGCGTCCGTCGATTGATCGCGCGGCGCTGGCGACGCTGTAGGTGTCCGACACAGGGATGCTGGTTATAATTGAGGTGGCGGAGTCGACGAGGGCGGTTTCCTCGGGTGTGAGGGGCATGATTCGTAGGTGGTTGTAGAGGCTGATTAAAGAATGAAAGGTAATAGCGTGTTATGGATTATGTGTACTGATATCAGATGGGGGGAGGGGCTTCTTATAAGTCGTTTGTCGTTGGTGGCGGGCTCCGGATTGGGAAAGCCGGCGCTCCACTAAGCAAATAATCAAATATCATATAGTACTGAGGTTGAATTATATCTATATACATATATAAAAAGAGAGAAGATTATCCTAGTGTATAAAATTATTTTAATATCCTACTATGAGGATTGATTTGTAGTGGGCAATACGTAATAATATATGCGGTGACATACAGTCACTCGACTATATGCGCTCCATGTGGAGGGCTTTTGGACCAGCATTTGTATTTTAGCATCTTCCAGTCACAGAACAGGGGGATGAGCAAGGGTGAATTGAATTGATACAATTGAATACCCATCTACAGATAGTATCTGAAATTCCATTCTAATATCATCAAATTACTGCACGCCGATTAATTGGGAAACTCTGGCCCTTTGGACATCAGATCTTGGCTTTCTCCGATTCGATCAAATCGGAAATACGTAGTATAAATCTCATCTCCTGTGCCAATCGATGTCCGAGAATACTGCCTCGTACTCTTCGTCAATTGCCAATTGGGCGGCTCTCCGAATGCCAGCATAGGGGCAAGGTGGTTCCATGCATGCATGTGCCCAGCGTTCATTTGCTCGAGCTTTTCATTGTAAACGTCAGGGATCTCATCGACACCGATGGTTATGGACTTCCTGGCCAGGGTGAAACAAAGCACCAGAACAAACGCGAATACCTCAGGGCGCAGGAAGTGGATCGCTGCGAAGCAAACTATATGGTCGACGCCCACGGCAAAGCGATCCCGGCTGAGCAGAGCTTGCTCCATGGACTCGATATGAACGGCTTCATACACACCGCTGCTCCGGCAGATATCCCCCATCTGGGTGGATATGCCAAAGCCCAGTAGGCGACTACTTGCACTCGTGGCTTTGGTTTCTGTCAACACACGCCCGAAGAGACCCGTGCCGCAGGCGAGATCGAAGACGGTTCCGCCAAAGTCATACGCCTCTGTCAAGCTTCTAATAGCCGCGGCAATGGTGCTGCTGCTGGCTTGGACGGCGTCGTATTTCGAAGCGAAGTCATCGTACGCGGCGGCAATCTTCTCCTCGGCATTCCGTTGCGCTGCGTTTCGGAGCAAGTGGTTCGCGATGAAAATATTGATGACCGCTGGGTATCCTCCAGGAAGACTGTGTATGATGGGTAGATCCCGGCATGGCCTTTCAGGCATGAAAGCCGCAGGCTGGGGGTTGACCTCAATAGCGAAGACGTCGCCATTCGGCCGGGCACGAAGACTAACCGCGCAGCCCATGTTGTTGCCTTGACATCCACTAACCATGAAAGCGTCGATTGCGATGTTTTGGAGACGTTCAAACAAATCCGGATTTTCTTTCTTGCGTAACAGCTCGGAGCGAGTCTCGTCCTTTCTGACCACCTTGAATGGAGTCAGGGCAAGACAAGCGTCGCCCATTTGAATGACGGTACAGCTATAGTCCTCTCCGTCGAAGTACTCTTGAACGACGACATCATCACTATCGCGCCCGACGGGGTTATACGACTCTGCATAGCCCTTTGTGTCTTTAATGCCCATAGCCTCAGCACGTCTCACACGGTCGTCATACAATGCCCTGTTGATGCGGCGGAGAGCGCCCTCCAGCTCGTTCTGGTTCTGACAGACGGACTGGTAGTCAATCAGTCGGCTGGCACACTCATTCGCCGGTTTGACAAACGGAGGGAAACGATCGGTCTCCGGCCCGGGCGGCGCGCCCCAGTGTCTGGCATTCTTGTAGGGGTCGTTCTTGGCCATCGAGCGTTGCCAGCTGCGTATACCGCAGGAAGGAAGATTCAGCGACTCAAAGTACCGGCTGTCCAGGACGCCCGCGACGGGGTCATCCAGCGTCCCCCACATGAAGTTGAAGTAAAAGTCGAAGCCCTCAGCTGCTAAAGCGTCGATTTCTTCTTTAGCAGTGGCTTTGTGGATGAGGCGGTATTCGAAGGTATGTTCGTTTGTGAAGAGCCCCGGCTGGGCTGGCTTGTCGTCTGCATCCTGTAGTGTGGAATCTAATCCTTCGTATGATGATTGCAGAACACAGATTCTCATCGTGATATTGTATCTTTGGAAGCAACGTTGAGGAAGTTATACAGTATAGATGTTAATTGCTGAGGTGTTCCAAGGGCCTGGAACTCGCGCAGGGGTGACAGGAGTCACAGGATTTATGTATCCATGCCCAAGCTGGTTCGAGGCTGCAAGGAGCAAGCCTCTGCGCCGATCATCAGCTTCTGTGGGCTCTGAGCGACGATCGGAGTTCGTTGTTGCAAGTGCTATATAGAAAATGATGGTTGCAGGGCTGACCCGAACGTGTCTGGGGTTAGTCTTGCTGCACGTTGACAAATAGACGACCTGTACTCGGCCAGCGACGGCCTGCATCTGGCAATTGTGGATGGATCTATAAATTTGTGGCAGTCCGAACGCGGCAGGCTATCGATTTGTATTGTCCAGGCGGTCTATCATGCAAGGAAAGTAGCGGTGTTGTAGAACAGCGCTGCACAAAGATTGCCGACTGCAGGTTAAACTTCGAGATCAGAAAGGGTACTAAAAGTCAACGCATGGACGCTGCCAACTTAAGTTCACCGCCATCAATAAAATCATAAATCCGTCATATTTATAGAGATACTGAAGAGAGAGGATGTAACGGGCTGGGATGTCTGCCGTTTACATAGTTCATTCGTGATGGCAGGCTCCAAAGGGCTGCACTATGGAGAAGTCGTTATGTCTAGGGAGAAGCTTCAACCTGATTCATGTAAAGGAATAGGTGGGAATAAAGGGTTATAGCAAATCCTATCTCGCTTTTCTGTAGCATTGCTCGAGCTTGATCCAGGTGTCTTATTGTGTTAGCTCTGATTACCATGACGACTATGTTTTTTATGGATGATGCGGCCAAGAGAGGCAGTGCGCGGCCAAGTGCCCAGAGTTTTGGTTGATCCGCGTCGTCAGATTGATCGATTAGATAGACGGATTTGCTTCTCAAGATATAAAGTTAGTCAATGTCCGGGTGCCAATGCGAGTACCCATGGGTAGCAGCAAAGAGTCCGACACAGCCACGCTTTATGGGTCAAGGCGAAAGGAATGTATATAGACGGTTTAATTCCCAAGACGCTCTGAGGAACAGTGATTTCCCCTAGCGTATCCACGCAAAGATGAGTCTCAGGCCTCCGTCCTCCGTTCGAGTCGACCTATCCGAAGCAGTAGGCTCAGACACTCAAACCGCGGGAGACAATTGTTTAGACAATTGTTTTGCCTTCTCGCCAGGCCAACTAAATCAGCTCTTCAACCCCAAATCTCTCCCTGCACTTTATGCTCTCGGTGGACTCCACGGCCTTAAGTATGGCCTGCGCACCGATCTGAGCGCTGGCCTGTTAGCCAGCGAGAGGGTCCTTCCTGGCGCCGTCACACTAGAAGAGGCGAGACAGGCAGCGCTATGCAAGACGGAGAGCAAGCGGCCGCTGCAGGCGAACCCTACCCGGCACCGTCCCGACCAGGAAACCTCAGTGCCATTCTCCGATCGAACCCGAGTGTTCGGGCGGAACGTGCTGCCCGAGGCAAAGAGGAAGGGCTTTGGAAGGCTTCTCTGGGACGCGTATAACGATAAGATCATCATCCTTCTGACCGTCGCGGCGGTCGTCTCGCTGGCGCTTGGGATATATGAAGCTGTTAGCGGGCAGTCGCAGGTGGATTGGATCGAGGGCGTGGCGGTCTGCGTCGCTATTGTGATTGTTGTTGCTGCCACTGCAGGGAATGACTGGCAGAAGGAGAGGCAGTTTGCGAGACTTAATAGACTGGTTGGTTGAGGTTCTGCCCTGAGCGAGGAAATGTAACTGACCTGGTGCAGAAAGTCGATCGTCAGGTGAGAGTCATCCGCTCTGGAAGGCCGATGATGCTGCATATCAATGATCTGGTCGTCGGCGATGTCGTCCATATTGGGCCGGGAGATTGTGCCCCTGCTGACGGGGTCGTGATAACGAACCATGGGCTGAAATGCGACGAGTCCATGGCGACGGGAGAGTCGGATCAGATTGAAAAGGTCAGTGCTGGCACAGCTACTGATGACCAGGACCCGTTCATTATATCGGGAAGCAAAGTCCTCGAAGGAATGGGCACATATCTGGTAACCAGCGTGGGCCCGCACTCGACGTATGGCCGGATAATGGTGGCTCTAGGAACAGAGAGTGCTCCAACGCCACTACAGGTGAAATTGGGAAAGCTAGCCAACTGGATAGGTTGGTTTGGGCTGGGGTAGGTATCTCTAGACAAAGGCGTGCAGGATAGTGCCTGACAGCCCAGTGCAGGGCAGCTCTCCTCCTCTTCTTCGTGCTCCTCTTCCGCTTCCTGGCTCGGCTTCCAGATGATGATGCGCCGTCCACTGTAAAAGGACAAGAGTTTATGGATATTCTCATAGTAACAGTAACAGTGATCGTGGTTGCAATTCCTGGTATGCACCGCTTTCCCATCACTTCTCGATACGCTTGTTGATGCCTCACAGAAGGACTACCCCTGGCTGTGACCCTGGCCCTAGCTTTTGCGACAGCCCGTATGCTCAAGGAAAATAACCTTGTGCGGCAGCTACGTGCCTGCGAAACGATGGGAAACGCCACCGTGATCTGCTCGGATAAAACAGGGACTCTGACGCAGAACAGGATGACGGTGGTGGCGGGCTTCTTGAGTACCGGTGAATCGGTCGGCCGGCTGCCCCTGGAGAATGCATCTCAGCCACAGCACGACGCCATCTCGGGTGTGACGCAGAGGTACCCGGGAGCCTTGAAAGCTCTGCTTGTCAAGAGCCTCGTAGTCAACTCGACAGCGTTCGAGGAGCAGCGCGAGAACGAAAAGGTCTTGGTCGGGAATAACACCGAAATTGCGCTCCTTCGATTTGCACAGACAGCGCTTGATGTGCGGGATGTGTCTACGGAGCGAGAAAGAACCAAGATCGAACAGGTCTATCCATTTGACTCGGCTCGGAAGGCGATGGCGGTCGTGTATCGTTTGGGAACAGGGCACCGATTGCTGGTCAAGGGAGCCGCAGAGGTCATCCTCGGTGCCTGCACTGAATCGACACTTCCAGGATTATCGGACGAAACATCATTAGCCAGAGCACAGATGTCGCACGAGGACAGGCGGGCAATACATGACCAAATCAATACCTTTGCCCGAGCCTCGTTGCGGACGATCGCAATTGCATATCGCGAGCTTCCAGGTTGGAACTCTGGGCAGGCTGAAGACAACGAGAAGGGTTCACTTGATTTCGATACCTTGTTCAATAATATGACCTGGATCGGGGCGTTTGGCATCCGCGATCCGCTAAGGCCCGAAGTCCCTGAAGCCATTCGGAAGTGCCATGCGGCGGGCGTCCAGGTCAAGATGGTTACCGGTGAGACGTGACAGGTCCATAGTCAGAAACACGGGAGGTAGTAACTTACGCCACAGGTGACAACATCCACACGGCGTTATCCATCGCCATCTCCTGCGGGATCAAGACGGACGACGGCATCGCAATGGAAGGACCCGACCTCAGGATGTTGACCGAGGAGCAGCTGAATACGACTATTCCTCAACTCCAAGTCCTGGCTCGGTCTTCGCCCAGTGATAAACAGATCCTCGTTGAGCATCTCAAACGGCTTGGTGAGACAGTGGCCGTGACAGGCGATGGGACCAACGACGGGCCAGCTCTCAAGGCCGCCGATGTAGGGTTCTCGATGGGCCTGAGTGGGACTGAAGTCGCGCGTGAAGCAAGTTCTATCATTCTACTCGACGACAACTTTCGATCGATCGTCACGGCCATTGCCTGGGGCCGGTGTGTCAATGATGCCGTGGCCAAGTTTCTGCAGGTTTGCTGCGTCTACTCTCCTAGCAATCCATGTGGTTGACAAAAGACAGTTTCAAATCACAGTCAACATCACCGCCGTCTGTCTGACTGTCGTGACAGCCATCTACAGCAGCTCCAACGAAAGCGTCTTCAAAGCGGTCCAGTTGCTATGGCTGAATCTAATAATGGACACCTTTGCCGCTCTTGCCCTGTAAGACCCCCCTGAATTGTAAGTCACCATGGTGATGGGCGTACTGACATCCTGCCTGGTACCAGAGCAACCGACCCTCCCACTGAGGATATCCTACAGCGACCCCCAAGGCCACGAAGCGCGCCTTTGTTCACCGTGACCATGTGGAAGATGATGCTGGGGCAGTCGATCTACAAGCTCGGTCTCTGTTTCACGCTATACTTTGCAGGCAGGAAGATCCTCAAGTATGATACCGAGATCCACCAGCAGCAGGTCGAACTCGAGACCGTCATCTTCAACACCTTCGTCTGGATGCAGATTTTCAACGAGCTGAACTGCCGTCGACTGGACAACAAGTTCAATATCTTCGAGGGGATCCTGAGAAATAGATGGTTCATGGTGATTAACGCCTTGATGGTAGGTGGGCAAGTGCTCATCATCTTTGTCGGTGGTGCAGCGTTCGGCGTCACCAGGCTGGATGGACCCCAATGGGCTATTTGTATTGGATGCGCCGCCTTCTGTATTCCCTGGGCCGCAGTGCTGAAGCTTGTCCCGGATTGGCATATTGCCAGGCTTATGTCAATGGTTAGTACTGGGGTGGGGTTGTGTTTGCTCCACTTGGACAGATGTGTCGGGCTCTGGTCCGAACCTTCAATGGCTTCTTTCAAAGAGTCCACGTTCGGGATGATGAAGAATGGAACGTCTCCCAGCGGTGACTCGCCTGTAATGATGTGTGATTACTTGTCCCATGCCAATGGCACTAATGCCTTTCTGTAATGAGAAGTAATGCATCGACGCATCAACTGCTGGTCTGAAAGCTACTCTGCAGCGAGCGGATGTAGTCATACTGATTGTATGCCACCCAGTCAGGCGGTCTATTATGCAAGGAAAGTAGCGGTGTTGTAGAGCAGCGCTGCATGAAAGATTGCCGACTGCGAATTACAGCTCGAACACCAGGAAGGCTATTCAATCAACGCATAGAGCCTGCCAACTTATGTTTATCCACAAGCGATAAGCCGCCGTGACAGTCACCGAGCAAAGTTGCCATAATCGGCGCCGGACTCTGCGGTCTCACGCTCGCCTTGGCCCTGCACCGACAATCCATTCCGTGCATTGTTTACGAAGGGCGGTCCGCACCAGAAGATATCGGCGACGCCATCATCCTCTCGCCCAACGCCCTGCGAATCCTAGACGAGCTACACATCTACACTCGCATCAGACCCCTCGGCCACGAAAAGCGAGACAGTCCTCTTCCGAACCGAGGACGACCAGCTAGTGGACTCGTATGAGATCGGCAACGAGGAGAAAATACGGCTATAAGGGTCTACGGATACACCGATACGCGCTCATCAACGAGCTACTGGCGGCAGTTGGCCGAACGGCGCATCCCCATGCACTACGGGAAGAAGTTCGCGCGCATCCGCTCCGAGTCCGAGCACGATGTGACCTGGGAGTGGTCGGATGGAACTATCGCCCGCGCGGGGTCGCTCGTGGGCTGCGATGGGATCTACTCCCGTGTGCGCGCGTATCTCTACCCAGAGCTGAAACCACAGTTCATCGGTATTGTGGCTGTCGCGGCGGCGGTCCCACGTGTGGAGGTCCCCAGAGGGGTATGGGCTGCCTGTGACAATCATGAGCCAGACCCACGGCGGATATATCATCGCGCCGCAGCTGCCTGATGGCTCGGAGCTGATGCTGGGGCGACAGCGCCGGTGGCCGGAATTGAGTCGGGAGGGGTGGGAGGCGCTGGCGGCGGACGAGGACTGGTGTATTGATTTCCTGAGTCAAGGGCACGAGAACTCGCCTCCAACCTCATTCGCCACCAGAGCCCGTAAATTGCAGGAGATCTTGGGAGGAGTGTTGAATCGCTCGCCGGGTGATGTATCGCCAGACGATCACTTCTTCCGTCTGGGAGGTGACTCGATGAGGACGATGAGGGTTGTTGGGTAGGCGAGGGAGGGAGGGGATGGATATCCGGATGGAAGACTCTTTCAACGACTACAGTCTAGTGACGCTGGGTGGAGAGGTCAATTCGTCGTCAGTTAGACGCACAATGCGAGCAGGCGGGGGATGCCTCATATATCTCTAATATCAACGCCAATAGTGTAACCCTTGATGAGTTAACCCACGCTTCATGAGTAGGAATATACACTAAATACAATGATCCGGATTCCCAGCCGGATTGCCCCACCACGTTGGAAACGGGTGCCCCTTCCCACTGGCCCCAAACACCGCAAACGACAGAATAAAAATCACAATCTGCGAGCCCCGTCCAGCGCCGCCCCAATGAGATAGTTATACTCGTTGTAAACGCGCGGCAGCCGCCGCCGAAGCCATACCTGCGAGAACACCCCCACCGCAATGGACGACCAGATCCACGAAGTGATGCCGTAATACGTCTGCCCGGCGAATGAGGCGATGATAGCTGTATTGAGCGGCCAGGACCGCACCCGGGGAAACACCCTGTTAAGACCCCAGTGCATGACGGGCAAGGCAAGGCCGATAAGCAGGCCGAGTGGAACGATGAGATACCTCCCGTTCACGCCGTAGACGTCGCGCGCGAGCGCCCAGGTGATAGCCTGCGAGTTCATACTTTGCACGGCTGACCCGCTCCAGACGCTGTTTCCCGCTGGGTCGAGGAGGATCTCGCGCTGGTTGGAGACGATGGTGGTCATGACGGCGTAGTTGAGGCCAGCGCCTAGTAAAGTGCCGTAGATCTGCGTGGCGAACATGATGCGGTGCGGGACCTTGGTGTACTGGCCGACCTTGAGCCAGTTGGCGAGATTGACAGAAAGCAGGATGACCTGATGAGACCAGCTGGCGAAGTAGAGGTTTGCGAGGGGCGGCCGGGGTGGACTGCGCCAGCGACCATTTTCGAGAGCTGGTTGGTTGCGACGCCGGTGCCGTAGAGGCCGTAGAGGATGCAGGAGAACGGGGCGATGAATGCGCCGAGCAGAAGAGAAACGATGTAGCCCCATGCAGGGAGGGTGGTTTCGCCTTTGATGTTTACGATAAGGCCGGCGAAGAAGGCGAGGACGAATAGGGCGAGGTACCACCACATGGGGACTTCCTTGTACTTGAGCATGGCCTGGAAGTGTGGGTCTGGCTGGGTCCGGCTGCGCGCCTGTTTCCAGGCGGTGTACATGTCCTTGCCATAGAAGATTAGGACGTGGGTGATTAGGGCGCCGATGGCGAGATTTTGTGTGAGGTAGCCCCAGACAGTGCTGGAGGTGAGATGCGGGATGCCGACTTGCTTCAGCTTGTCGTAGTCGATTGTGCCTTGATTCGAGAGGATGGACGTAGTGGAGAATTGTTTGCCGTTGCTGTTGAATAGAGACGTCGACATGAATGGGAAGGACTTTGCGCTCCATGTATTCCCGTAGTAGAGGGCCAGCATCACCGGATAAAAGATCACATAGCCGATCCAGCTGTTGAGCTGCTGTTTTAATGGCAACGACAGAAAGCTGCTCTGGATATACTGCCAATCAAAGCCGAAATTCAACAGGCCCAGGCCTTCGTTAGACGAGGCTCCCCCAAACACTTTCGAAAAGATCTTCCGGGTATGCTGAGGAGCGTCCATTGACGCCAGGCAGAAGATCGAGAAGCCCCCGAGCCAGGTCATAATATACGCAGGGAAGATCTCCCAAATGGCAGCAAGTCCTAGAGCCCAGCCAAACTTGATCAACCGGCCCCGGTTCGCACGCTGGTCGAAATGGAGATTCTGGTACAGCACTACCTGCGGAAGGGTCGACCAGTAGACCATTTCAGCCGGATAGACAATCAGCGGCCGGAGAACTCCAGCAAGCACAAAGCCACAGAGTGAGATGGAGAATGTTCCCAGCACTGCTGTCGTCGCTGACACACTGATATTGTAGAACAGGCGCTCGACGGCGTACACCTCCACTCCGGAAAGGCCGTTGTTACCAGAGGAAGCAATGAGAGACGCAACGACATGCTCTTTGATTCCGAATGGCTGCCCGAAGTTCAGGAACTCGAGGGTGCGTCGCAGCCATTTCCACCTGAATCTATCTGGGCGCGGAGTAAACAGAGCCCACGCCTGGCCAACCACATATACCAGGACTGGAACAGGTGTTACAATTAGTAGACAGAGATTGCTGGGAACATTGACATACGCTGTATGAAGATTGCCGACACTTGCATCTGCGTGGGCTTAAAGATATACAGCATCGTGATGACGCTCGAAAGCGCAGTGAACGCTGATCCCAGGACAATTGATCGAACAGTCAATGCAGGATCACCGTCATCTCTTACGGACACGATGAACCTGGAGACGTCGGCGCCTGTTGGGGTTAGTCGATTGCTAGCAGCTGTGGAAATGAACGCTCACCATTTCGAATGACGGGATGTCCCTTGACATATTCGGCTTTGTCCGCTTGGGAGCCCGGGGATTCTGCGCTCTCAGTTTCTTGTGTAACATCCTTTGCCTGCTTCTCGAATGCCCCCTTGAACGGCTCCTCTGCTTCTATACTTTTGTCGACCGCCGAGGGGTTCTTGTCATCCATCGTATCAAGACTCAGGTATGCTGAGACGATGTCAGATGAGGGTAGAAAGAACTATCATACCAGCAGAAGGGGATTGAGACAGGTGATCCGTTATAACTGCCACCACGTTACATCCAGACTGCACCGATGAGGGGTTGGTGCATACAATCCTAAAATGTCGCCATTGGGACTAATGCGACCAAGATTTCTTCCCGACAAATAAGCTCCTACACTTTATCACCTGAAGTTGCATCGGAGTGTTCCGTCTCGAGCTATTGAGATAGTGAATCAACCTATCATCGATGGATCCATATTTCACCACTCCGGCTAATATCGCATCATTTTTCCATGCGGGAGGGGCCTGCTTTATTCTACCTAGCTCCTACTTTATCGGCCTATAGGATCCTCTTTGAGTTATCTTGGCGCAATAGTTAAGTTAGACCATTTTCTATAGTTACCTTCGGAAGTCCCTCCGTGTAAGTAATTTGGGATAGCCAATAATATGAGGAACAGATTGATGTCCCCTGTATAAGAGGAACGCAAAGATCCTACAGTTAAATTAATCTGTCTCTATACACGCCATTTGCCTCTCTGATATGACTGCCCCAAAGACACCTAAGAAGACTGGTATCGCTGAAAACTACAATTGAAAGTAGCCTGCCTGAGAAGCCCTTGGCAGGACCTACCACTCGCACTTACTTACAAGGCTTTCCTCATTCAGCACTTTTATGTACACATGGGTTTCTCCCTCAAGTGCGTTGAGCTAGTCGATTTGTCCTCGGGCGTTGAGGAGGAGACATGCGCTTGCTAAAGGCTTCCCTGGAGCAAATGAAAGTCTCCTATCCATGTATGAGGCGGTTAGTCACTGCCTAGGCCGACAGAGACAGCCTGAATGATAGGTATCACATTCTGATCAGCTTGGGTTATAGCATCATATCAATTGTCTAGACAGTTCTCAAGTCTTAGAGCGGGTATACAGAGTCTTGCTTTCTAAACCTTCCCATCATGGCGAGATAGTGGGTATAAACAAAGTTATACATCACTGAATGAACACAGAACTATTAGCTTAACCTTGTTACTGCATAGTTTAGTTAACACATGCATTAAGAAGATTTACCTAAAAACTGTTTTTATACTTCTCTATTAAAGGTTAACACAGCTAACACGTCTGTCTTGTATATAACCCTATAAGATTATATGTCTGTGGTACTAGAATATATTCTTAGCATAGTCCTTGAAGAACTTAGACTGTATTCCTGCAGTTACTTGCAGGTGATAGACTCCTTAAATGTGAGCTTGTATAATGTACACAGCCATATACATTATAATTACACCACTACTTCTATAGAAATATAGATGTCTAATTAAATGATGTGTTTTCCACCTCACTGCTGGAATCACTATCTGCAAATGGAGTCACTGGCCCATTAAACATAGGGTTAGCAAGTATCCGTGGTGTGGGTGCGCCTGGCACGGATAGATTAGGTTACTAGTTTTAGACATGGCACGGACTATACGACGATCTGCTATGGTCTTCCAGGGGACAATGCCATGTATGACTTACTCGAGGACTATCTGGGAATATGTCCATCATAATTTCCAGATCCAACGGCCAGACGAGCGACATCGGCGACTGGATCCACGGATCGATGCCCGCCAAGGCTGAGAAAACCATACTGCCCTAGGAGTGCACAAAAAAGGATGCAAGTAGAGAGAAATATATTGCGAGAAATTGGCTAATAAACAATAAAATAGAACCTCAAGACGTCTAGACCACCATGAACCAAAGCATGGACGTATCTCAATGCGTAAATATGTACTCCGGAGTAGACACCGGCCGAGACACCTTAGGCGAAACCAGGCAATCTTGCGTCCAATTGGTTACTAGGGTCATTAGACTTTGTTTGAGAAGCGTTATAAGAAGAGAACGAATGACCGTTTAGGCCAAGAACCCCCGTATGATCCACGAATGCAATGTCCTACTTGGCAAAGTTTTTACCTCGACCACGGACATGTCTGGCCAGTCACCGAGTCCTGGAATCGGTCCTGTCCCTGACACTCCACCAAAGAGCTAGGAGCACTAGTACCCCCGCATACAGAAGGAGTGCAGCCTCTATATGTCAGTTCTTAATGTGAATGTCAGAATTGAGATCTGCCGCCAGTCCCTTAGGCCAGGTCTGTGATCTCCATTCGAGGACGATCATTTCTAGAAGAATTACGGAATCCACGCTGGAGACACCGGGAAGAATTTTCAGAATAAACTTTTCGCAAGGAAGACTTAATTTACAGTTTCAGCCAATCAGACGCTGTCGGCTTATCCATCCTCAACGCGTCAGGCCTGTGAGAGATCCGGAAATGGAAGCAGACACGTGAGATGATAGTGATATGCATGACCCAAATCGCCGCATGGCCGGGTTCGGCGAATGGCATGCCAAGGATCGAGGCTACTTCTGGTCCAATGCAGGGGTTGTCTGAAGTTAATCGCTCTGGTTCCTAGCCAGTAAACTGGGTGTTCCTGGCGTCCGCGAAGGCCGATTCGCAGCCGATTGCGCCCCGATTCTGTCGTCTGGTAACTTATATCTGGCAGGACCCGCCTGGTGGCGTCGGATTCCTGAGGAATCATTCTCGCGAGTCTGCTAGGGTCCTCCCTGTCATTTCTGCGAGAGAAAATGGATGACGAAGGAAAAGGTGGCTGACCCGGGCGGTTCTGTCTTCAAAATCTCTTTTATCCTCTATGTGCACATAGCCTATTACTCCTTGCGCCGGCATCATCCCTGTAAAAGGGCAATCACCATGATTCAGACTTCGGAGGAATGGGTGTGGTTGGCCGTGGTGCTGCTCATCAGTACATAGTCCTCCTGTCACCCCCAGAGTGCACAATCTAACACTATCGAACAGCAACGCTGCGCTATGTCTCTCGCATTCTGCAAATGGGTGTGCCGCGCAACCTCCAGATGGAGGATCTGGTCATGGCGGTGGTTGTAGTACGTTCTGACTCCTGCAATTCGACTGAGTCATTGATGAATGCTAACAGCCTTAGATATTCTACATATTGCTTACCGTATTCCTGGTCGAAGTCGACAAATACGGCACCAACGGAATTCCCCCGAGTCAGTTCGATACGCTCGATAAAGCAACAATCCCAGACCGCATCAAAGGCAGTAAGATGGTAGTAGCGGTCGAGCAGTTCTGGCTCGTGGTCGTCTGGGGATGCAAATGCTGTCTGCTGTTACTATACTCCACCATGACGTGAGCATAGCATCTCAACAACTCCCAGCACTAAAAATTCCACTCTAACAACCTGTCCTTCAGCTCCGGCCTCTGGCAACACCGCATCGTCAAAGTCATCGGCGGAATCTGCGTCTTCAGCTTCCTCCTCATCGAAATCCTCTTCTTCGCCGTCTGGTGCCGCCCCTTCTCGGCATACTGGTCCGTCCCGCCCAAGAGCGTGCAATGCTCCGTCTACACCAACCACGTCATCATCACCCTCGCCTTCAACGTCACCACCGACGTGCTGATCATGGCCATCCCGCTCCCGCTGCTCATCCGCGCCAGACTCTCCCTCTCGAAGAAACTCACCCTCTGCGCCGTCTTCTCCCTCGGCGCCTTCGTCATCCTCTGCTCCATCCTCTCAAAGTACTACTCCATCTCCCAGCCCTACGGCATCAAATGGCTGCAGTGGTACGTCCGCGAGGCCGCTACGGCAGTCATCGTCTCCAACATCCCGCAGACCTGGACGCTCTTCCGCCGCCTCTTCAACTGGAAGTCCTTCCTGCAGCACTCGTCATACAATCGCAGTCAGAACAAGTATACCAGCCGTCTGGATAGCTCGACGATCCATCTCTCGCGGTTCAGGGGGATAAGTCGGGAGTGCGCTCCACAGTCGACCGCTCCGAGTCGGGCGAGCATATCGTTCGCGAGCAGCCGTTGGAGATCTGGGCGCATCGCCAGTTCCATGTCACGAATGAGGTGGATGAGGAGCGGAGGAGCGGCAGTTTGAGTCAGAGTAGTGGTACTCTGGAGTTTGATACCGCTACCGCTGTTGCTGAGGATGGGCCGGTGAGGACGACGGTGACGGCTGCGCGGTGATGCCTCCACCTTTGCTGTTCAACGGCTGTTTTCGGGTATAGACGACATATTGTACAATAGACAACATAGACTAATTTCGTGTCCCCATCTGGGTCACATCCCCCATTTAGCGGTCGGCCTATCCTGCTGGAGATATCTGTCCTAATGCCGCAGATGTAGCCGAGACATCATCTATAAAAGCATTCTTGGCGCTCAGAACTTCGATGCGAAAAGTGCAACCTGACCACGGTCAACTTGGAAGACCTGAGATAGATGCCTGTCTTGAACGCAGTGAGACGGCGCAATTCAGGAATATAAGACGCAACACCCATGCAGTTCGTCAGATCGAGCCACCAGCGGCTACAGGGGTGTCACAAATACATTATGAATAGAACCTAATATATACAAGTTGAAAATATGCAATATATTACTGCCTCCACTCCTGATTCAACACCCGATCCGTACTCCCCACATCCGACCTTCCATCCACATCCTGCCGGATACTAGTATGCACCGTAATCCCCTGCAACTCCACATCAGAGCTATTCCGGCTCGGCGTAGTCGCCACATTAAGCGTCTTCGACGCGGCCGACGCCAACGTCCCATTCGGATCATCGATTTGCTGAAACCCATCGTTGTTTGTCCGCGACGCAGGAAAGGGGAGTTTGGAGCCGGCGGAGGGCTGCGAGTAGCCCTTGGAGACGCCGCTTTTGACTTTGCCGAGGAAACCTTGCACGAGGGGTTTGAGGAGCGGCAGGCAGCCGCAGATGATGGCGACGTCGAGTTCGAGGGAGGTCCAGATGGATTCTTTGGCGCTGGAGGCTGCGAGGGCAGGGGTCAGTGGTATTTTCGCAGAAGGGGAGATAGATAGGAAACGTACAGGCGAGATCTGTGACGACGAAGTGGCGGAACTCGATTAGGCGCATGAGACTGAAGATGCAGACCCTGAATGGTCAGTTGAGACTTTTTGCCAACTTAGGGGTAGGGGAACGTACAATCCACCGAGGGAGAAGACTACGGTCAAGGCGAGCTTCTGCCGAAAAGTAATCTGCAGTCTCCAGACAATGGGAATCGGTAGACAGAGAATGATGACATCCTCGATCAAGGCAATCGATCCCATAGCCTGGAAGAACTGCACCTGCCCCTTCATGCAGTGTCCCTTCAACGACTTGTCATAGTAGTATTGCACCGGCGTGCATTGGAACGTGTTGACCAGGACGGCGGTTAGGGCCCATACGGCAATGAAGGCGATCAGGCAATTGGAGATGGTGGCATATAGACGGACAGACCCCAGGAGACGCTTCAAGAAGACGATGATGGAGATCTTGACAAAGGCCATGGACGGGGCCCAGAATTTCTGTATCATCCAGGATCCCTTCGCTAGTCAGCTCTATGGCCGCGGTCAATGTGTCTGACAGGTGGGTCAGGAGGAACATACAAATTGAATACGATACCGCTCATCATGCGGCAGAGTTTTGACAGGTACACCAACACCATTGAACGCAGCTACAGCGGTCAGCTTCCGACTCAGGTACTAGATAAGGCGCGGCACACTCACTCTCAACTACAAAAGCCGTAGCGCAGTAGGAGATGATCAACCCAATGCCCATCAGTATGTCCTCGAGAAAGATCCCCGCAGCTGTCAGTCGCCTGGAGTACAGACGCAGCAGATACGTGACGGTAGCCAGACTAGCCCCGACGATCGGCACGATAGTGAGGACATCTTTCCAGTAGGTATTCTGCTTGTACGCCATTCTGGCGACGGACGAGAGAACACAGTTCTAAGGAAAGAGAATAGGGGAGTAAATCAGGCCATGATCTTGTTTTGCTGTCAAGAAGGTTACATCGCTACTTCTTCTCTCCAACTCGGACGAAGAGCCTGAAGAAGAAGCTTTTCCTCCGTTTTTGCCCAGGCTGAGCACAACCAACAGGAAGACTTAGCAACATACGAAGCCTCAGGCCATGGGGGCCAAAGCCTGAGGTTTTTCGCCTTCGGAGTTTATTTCAACCCGACTTTCCCTTTTGGGGTTAGCCTAGATCCTGGTGTCACCTCTCCACCTCTGATTGGCTTCCAATGTTTCACAGCCGGCTGATCATTCGCCGGACTAGGCAAAGCGTCAAAGCTTGTGCCAGGCTAAGCAGGGATGCCGAGCTGAGATAATCAAAGATCGCGCCAATCACAGCTTGACGGGTAAATTCCGAACGTGGGAAATTGGCAGTGGCGGGTAAGGAGGACCAAGAGTTCAAGACTATTGAGTGTGCTGCACTCTCATTGCTGAGGTCTCTCTTTTGGGCCTTTTGAGGACCCGTTCATGCATGAAATCCTCTATGAGATCTCGGTCCTGGTTCGGTGAAATCCGTATGGGATGCATCAGGCCACCCCTGTTTATTTCCACCAAGTGTCGATTCCATTTATCTTCCTTCATCCCCCTGTAATTTCCACGAGTGGCTCGTATCGGGCAGGAAGGATCGTCATGGCCTCCAGTTTGAAATTATCCGGGGTCGCCTTCTTGGCTTTGCTGGGCTCTACTGTTGTCGCAGGGAAGGACAATTGCTCGGCTTGCAGCTTGAGTCACTTCAATGCGACGGTTGGAGGACGCGTGCAGCCTCTCACTCCCTTTTCTTTGCCCTGCTTCTCCAACTACAATGGCATCCCGGTGGCTCGCGACGCTGTTGCCTGCGCTGCTATTCAGGCCAACTACAGCGATCCGTGGCTGCGAACCAACTCTCCCAATGGCTACATGAACAACCAGGATGAGATGTGGTCGTCGGATCCCAGCGATCAGTGCCTACTCGACAGTAGCGATCCCACTGATCCCCTGGCGTTCGTGAATGCCACCTGCCGGCAGGGTAACATGCCCTCGCACTATCTCGAGGTACACAGCGCCAAGGACGTGACCGAGGCGTTCCGGTACTCAAACTGCTCCGGCCAGCGGCTGGTCATCAAGAACAGCGGCCATGACTATCTCACTCGGAGCAGTGGCCGTGGCACCCTGTCCCTGTGGACTCGCAACCTGAGGTCCATGCTCTACGACCCTGCCTTTGTTCCCCGTGGCTGCAACAAGACCGGTCTCAAGTACAATGCCATCACCGTCGGCGCCGGAGTCAACTTCGACGAGGCGTACGCCTTTGCGCAGCAGCACAACGTCACCATCTTGGGCGGCTACTCACCCACCGTCGGTGTCTCGGGCGGTTGGGTCCTAAACGGCGGCCACTCGATCCTCAGCCCCGTGTACGGGCTCGGAGTCGACCGCGTCCTGGAGTTCAAGGTCGTCACGCCAGACGGCGTCTACCGCACCGCCAACGAGTACCAGAACGCCGATCTCTTCTGGGCCCTCCGCGGCGGCGGCGGCGGCACTTTTGGCGTCGTGCTCGAAAGCACCCACCGCGTCGAGCCTGCCATCCGCTTTGTGGCCGCCAACATCAAATTCCCCAGCTCCTCCTCCAACATGCTCCCCTTCATGGACATTGTCGTTAATAATACGTTGAAATGGGCCCAGGAAGGCTGGGGCGGCCACATCACCGGCAACACACTCGTCAACGTCTCTCCCTTGCTCACCGTCGAGCAAGCCAAAGCCTCCCTCGCCGAGGTCATCGCCTACGCCGAGGCCAACGGCGGCTCCGCCTCCATCGAAGAGTTCACATCGTGGTACCCTTTCTACGAGAAGTACGTGACCACCAGCTCCGTTGCCGTCGGCGTCACCCGCTTCCCCGGTAGCCGACTGATCCCGCGCTCTGTCTTCGAGACGGCCGAGGGCCGCGCCAACCTTATGGACTTCTTTGCGCTCCTTCAGTCGATGGGCCAGACACCGTATATCCCTGTTGTTGGGCCGGTGCTGTACAACTACACGGAGGGGTCGACGAGCGCGGCTCCCGCCTGGCGGCAGGCCGTCTGGGAGTTGGGCTCCGGGACAGCGTGGGCGTGGAATAGCACGCTGCCGACGCGGAAGCTGAAGATCGCGGGGATCCAGAACATGACGGCTGTGATTGAGGGGATTACGCCGGGCAGCGGGCGTACAGCAACGAGGCGAACCCATTTACGATCAACTGGCGCGAGGCGTGGTGGGGCAACAACTACGAGAGGTTGCTCAGCGTGAAGAACAAGTATGATCCTCGGGGATTGTTGAGTTGCTGGAAGTGTATTGGGTGGGAGGAGTCTGATGCTGCTACCTCGCCTTTTGCCGCATTTGTCTGAGACAGCCTTGGTATATTTGTCTAATTGTATATACGTAGTATGTCAGAGAGGACTGTAATATAATAGAGTAGTGATATTGCATCTTGCATTCCTGAACTCCCCTAATACACTGCATACTTAGATTGAGATATGTAGTGACAGTCATAACCAACCTGTCTAGCACGTGTTGCCGGAGTCCATACCTGATATAATGTAGTGCAGACTCGTCAGAATCAAGAAAACGGATTCAGTATGCACTAATGCACGTTTATATTGCCTTGCAGAATCCGGTCTGGGACCCAATAGACCAGCCATTGAAGCACACACGTGAGAATTGTGGAATCTGAGGCCGTCTTCAGACAACATAATAAGAGAATAGCTTCAAAAGATAGCGATTGAATGGTGGATTTGACTGCCCGCGGCCGTTTGACGGATGTAGTCCAGTTAGCACCGTCTGTCACATGTCAGTGAGCTGACTATTTGAGATATGGTTTCACTATGCACAAGTCCATCAGCACATTCTTCTGTATCTTGACCTCGTACAGACCCGGCTCGGTGGTTTTATCAGGAATAGTTCACCATACAACTCGGCATCTTTAGCTAATGCCGTAGCATGAACACTTGCCGGTGCCTGCAGGAAGTTGCACCAATATCACAGTAGTGTAACGGGCACATGGTGCAATATGTCCCCTGAAGCCTTCTTCCTCGGTGTCTCGCTGTTTCGGTGATTTTGGTCTGAGTGACAAGATATATAAAGGGCTTGCTTCGGTCCTCTCAATACAGTACATAAACGCTCAGCCCCCCTCAGAAAGTCCTGTATTGCATCCTTCCTGTCAAAATGGCTCGCTTTCTTGCCGCAGCAGCCTGTCTGTCTGTGATTGCTTCCGCTCATCCACTGTCGGCCAGGCTGTATCCTACCGTTCTACGCAGAGATACCACTGCCGCCAGCATTGAGCCTGTGTCAGCAATCTCTCTCTACTACCAAGCAGTCAATTCAAACTCTATTGGCGCTCTCGTCCAAGCCGACTTGCAGCTCCCCTCCATTGTCCTCGAAGACGTCAATGACTTGTCAAGCGTGACCTGCTCCTCCGAGAGCGTGACGGTGACGTTCAATTCCACCACCACCTTCAACAAAGCATACTCTTCCTGGCCTCGTGCCGACCTCCTCGTCGTCACCAACCACCTAGGCAACTGCGACGCAGAAGCCGAGCGCGGAATCTACCACGCGACATCTCTCCTCTTCAACCCCTCAACCCTAACCATCACCGCCTCCACAAGCAAGACCAACCTCCAAGACCAAGCCAAAACCGTCACCATCGCCTTCGGGCACCCCGTCCCATCCCACCACAAGCGCGAACTCACCACCAGCATCGACCTCGCCTGGTCAGGCGACCTCATCCGCACCACCGCGCTAACCATCCACGCCAACCACGCCACCCTCGACGCCGCAATCACCATCGACGGGATCATCGCGTACAACGTCGAGACCAAAACCGCCACAACCCTCGGGCTCGACATCGCCGTCGCGCTGGACGCGGCGCTCGGCCTCTCCGTCTCGGCCGCAGGCTCCTTCCTGCGCCACGCCTACACCTACAAATGGAGTCCCGTCGAAGCGGCCGGCTTCTCCATCCCCGGCATCCTAACCGTGGGACCGACGCTCGATCTCAACGTCGGGGTGGACATGGGGATGAACGGCACGGCAGAGGTCAGAAGTAACATGAGCGTGGCGACGAACGGGCTCTTCCATCTCGATCTACTCAACATGACTGATAGCACTGCGCGGAGCGTCGCGCCAACAGTGACGACAACATCAACGATGGACACCGCGTCAGATATGCAGCTTGATCCGTTCGTAGGGGCGGAGGTGGGCGTGACGGTAAATCTCTTCGAGGGGCTGCTTGATTTGTCGTCTGGATTGGTGGCGCGAGCGATGGTCGTGAATGTGTTTAATGTCGATGCCGAGATGGTGGTTGGGGATGATGGGAATGTCACGCTGGTTCACCCTCCGGCGGATGGGAGTGGGGCTGTGAGAATGGGTATTGGTTTACGAGCGACTTTTGGTTTAATGTCACGGCGAGGATGACGGCGCTGTTCACGATGGATTTGTATCATCTTGATATGCCTATGGTGCAGACTGAGTGTATTGCCTTTTAGTGCCGCAGCCTTTGTCATTAAGGTATTCAGAGTGAAGATGTAAAGTTGCAAACCGTTTCCCTCTCCTAAACTCAGCAATCTGACTTCAATACCCAGTAGTTGGTTGGCTATGTTTATCACCTCGTGGACATATATATACAAATATATATGACATGAAACACTAGATGGGGGTGGTAGTCTTGCATAATCCGCGAGGTAAAACCCCTATATGATTGAGCGCATTACCATCATAAGACGTCCAATACCGAGATTAATCAATCCAGCATGGTCTCAAATGCAATCATCCCCTCCCCTTATTCCTCCATATGAAGTCACTGACACTTAAAGTTTGAGACAGGCTACAGATTTTCGTTTCTGTTTCGGGAAAGGAATACGAGGTACGAGGTATCCACATTGCTCTCCAAACAAATATATAGTGTATAGACTACCAGCCAACTTAAGGACGGTGAACAGCATAGACACTATCGCTCGGTCTGCAAGAAAGCTCTCTTTTTACCACGGCAAGTATCCGTCTATCGCGATGATAAAGGCACTCTACTTCCTGTTGGCCATGTCTGCCCTGACTTGTGCCAGCCGCCCCAACTGCTCTGTTCAGCACGATTTGGCGCCGGCACCGAGTAACCAGGCTACTCCCTCGAATGTTAACTGCGGCGCAGAGTTGGAGTGCCGCTGTGGAATGCCACAGTTCCTGACACTGCCTCATGCGAACATTACACGTCCGTCGCAAGCTAAGCAATGCGCCAACTACAGTAAGTTCTAGTTTCAGTCCGGACAAAAACGAAAAAGTATGCATGAGGTCTCCAACTGACATGCTTGCACCAAAGAACTGATCGACGCTCGCGGCACGGCCGAACCGCAAGGCGTTTCCACCATGTTCTATCTCATGATCCAGAACATCCTTGCCAACGTGACTGGCGGCGTCAGCCTACCCGTGGAGTATCCCGCAGCAGCCAGCCAAAACACCAGCAGCGGCGAGAAGTTTGTGGTGGACACCATCGCCCACGGACTCCGGCACTGTCCGCACCAGAAGTACGCTCTATTCGGGTATTCTCAAGGCGCAACCTTGATGCTTAACGTGCTCCGCCAACTGAGTCCTCCGGCCCTTGAATCGATCAAATCGGTTGTTCTTGTCGGCAACCCGTACCGTATGCCCGGGAAGAGTTCCAATGTGAACGCTACTGCGCAGCACGACGAGAGAGCCTCGGTAGGAATGTTTGCGGAGCAGGCTATTGCCAGTAACAGGACGATTCCTCAGCTCTCAAAGGAGATGGACCAGAGTGGGAAGGTGCTTGATTATTGTCTTGCAGTGAGTATTCAGTCGATATCCTTGTTCATTTTACTAGCTAATCTTTTCTGCCTCCTCATCTTTATTCAGGACGACTTTGTTTGTGCACCCAACCCTGCCTGCTCCTGCCAGATCCCAGCCGGTCACCTGTCCTACGGCCTGGTTGATACCGTTCAGCAGACTGCCTTTGAGCATGTGGTTGGTCGTCTCTAAGTTGAGTGGACGATCGAGGAAATCCAGCACATAAACAGATAGATATTATTATACTCCATCTAATCATTTTTTGAATTATTGTTGTCGGCAATCACACAACGATTATATATATATATATAATAATCAACTGGTTTTGCATACATCTTGTGGTTGCTCTGAGGTGGATCATCTAGGGTCAGAAAAGCACAAGACTCACGCTTCAGAAGTCCAGCCCTACTCTAATTAGTCCACGGATACAGACAAGACTCCTAGTATTGCCTTTCTACTCTTGTATATGTAGATATTCAGTCCATATGCTCGGAGCCGAAGTGTGGCGGTGGCCAATGGATGTGGCACAGTAGATAGGTGATACTGTGGTCAGCTGATGTCACCTGATCGAGAAAAAAAGTCTCGACTGTGGAAGCGAGGAAGTTCCATGGCTCAGTCAATGACGTAATCTTCGCATTCTGAAGGGAGCCCGCCCATGACAAACCCTGCCCTACCGCTATTCCTCTTCCGGATGGCTGAGTGGATCTTCCCAAACAGGAAGGATAGACGAATACAGATTCTTTGGATGAAAACAAGTCAGTACTCAGTAGTCAGTGCCCCGGGGTATTAGCATTCACATTTGTTATTCAAATAATATATACTGTCCTTTTCTACTGTTCCTTGACCCAATGTCTAGTAATATACATCATAGACTAAACGGATTAACAGCCACAAAAGTCATTTCCTCCTTGGTCAAGTGCCTGAAAGCTTGGTGCCCGGCGTTGAGCGAACCAGCATTAGCAATCAACGCCACTGACGATTCTCGGCTCAGCCGGTTTCTCTTCTCTCTCTTTTTACTTTCGTTCCTCAGCCTTTGCCGAGGCCGAGCCGTCTCGGTCGGCGTCATTTCAGCTTTTTGTTGGGTTGGCTTGTAAATAACCTGTTGGGCAGAGGTGAATAGCCTTTGTAGACACACCATGAATACATCATTTGATAGTATGATAGTATACTCCAGATACTCCGCAGTATACTAATGTATGTATTCACCGGTGAACTGAAAAGGAATGGCAACCCCTCATTCTCCAGGTGACTGTTGAATGTCTCCAGCTGGGGATTCCGTCCTCTTCCGGGAGCAGGAGTACGGAGTAGAAATTTGCCGAGACTCTGGAGATGTGGGTGGGTGTGGGTGTCTTAGTTTCACTATATGCGCGGGACACCCGGAATCAGTAATGATGGATGCTATTCCCTGACAATCATTACTACATGTCGTCTTCGGTCGATGCTCTGTAGAGGTAGAGTAATTGGCATACATCATCGTAGTACAGTCCCTGTCATTGCGTCCGTCTCATTTGACGAACCATTCCTGTCCATCGTGGCGCCGCCATGGCATTCTTACTAAGACCCTGAACCAGTGGCGTCCGACAGAATCTTCTACGAACAATGGCCGGTCTCGTCCAGCCGTGGATCCCGAAGTTCTACCTGTACTTCACTCTGACTGGCCATTTCACTCTCTTCTCTTCCAATCATAATCACGGATCATGCAGACCCGAAGCTGACGGCTTCTGTGCTATCCCCGTGCCGACTATCGTCATCTCCAGCGGGATGCCTGTCCTCCCCACACTCTGTCTTGTCCCTCCGACTGTGTACCTGTGGATCTCTTCTCTGATTTTTGTTCGTCCAGCGCAGGGGAGTTGACAAATATAAATAAGCCGTTGCCTCGCTCTGATCGTTTCCTCTTTTCTTCCTCGTCCGGGTTTTATCTCCTCCCTTCCTCCACTATCTCCCCCCCCCTTCTTCCTCCTCCTATGGTCATTACATTATAGTATACCCTCTATAGACCAAGAATAAACATGGGTGTCGAGACAGAAACCCACCATGGGGAATCCATCACCCCCGCCCCCCAGCCTCAATACTCCAGCTCCGACTCGGTGGCTGCTGAGAAGCCCCTCGATCTCGGAGTCAACACCCCGATCCCCCGTCTGACCCTTCGGTCCGCTATCATGGGCCTGTTCGTCTCCATGGGAGGTCTGCTGTTCGGTTACGACACTGGCCAGATCTCCGGTTTCCAGGAGATGAACAACTATCTGCACCGGTATGGTGAATACAGCAACGGCGAGTACCACTTCAGCCACGTTCGCTCCGGTCTCATTGTCGGTCTGTTGTCCATCGGTACCCTTATCGGTGCTCTGGTCGGAGCTCCCATTGCCGACAGACTGGGCCGCAAGTGGTCCATCACCTTGTGGAACATCATCCTGATCGTCGGTATCATTGTCCAAATCACCTCTCCTGCCGGGCACTGGTGGCAGATGGTCATCGGCCGTTGGGTGACTGGTCTGGGTGTCGGTGGCTGCTCGCTGCTGGTCCCCATGTACCAGGGTGAGAGTGCTCCGCGTCACGTCCGTGGTGCCATGATCAGCTGCTACCAGCTGTTCGTGACGCTGGGTATCTTCGTGGCCTACCTGATCAACCTGGGAACCGAGAGCATGGACGGCACCGCCCAGTGGCGCATCACCCTCGGCCTGACCGTCGTTTTCGCCCTGGTCTTGGGCGGCGGCATGGCCTTCTTCCCCGAATCCCCTCGCTTCGAGTACCGTCACGGTAAGATCGACAGTGCCCGTCGCACCATGGCCAAGCTGTACGGTGTGCCCGAGAACCACCGCGTCATCGTCCAGGAACTCTACGAGATCCAGAAGCAGCTCGACGCCGAGTCCGGAGTACAGGTGTGGCACGAGTTCTTGACCGGCCCGCGCATGCTCTACCGTGTCGCCCTGGGCATGCTCCTGCAGTGCCTGCAGCAGCTCACCGGCGCCAACTACTTCTTCTACTACGGAACCACCATCTTCCAAGGCGCCGGTCTCTCCAACAGCTTCGTCACCTCCGTCATCCTCGGTGCCGTCAACTTCGTCACCACCTTTGGCGGTCTGTACGTGGTTGAGAACTTTGGCCGCCGCAAGTCCCTCATCTTCGGCGCCGGCTTCATGTTCCTCATGTTCATGATTTTCGCGTCTATCGGCCACTTTATGCTTGATGTTAACGACCCCACCAACACCCCCGACGTCGGCAAGGGCATGATCGTCCTCGCCTGCTTCTTCATTGCGTACGTCCCCCTCCCTCTTTTTTTTTTTCATATCTGCATCACAAACTAACTAAGTTATTAGTGCCTTCGCAATGACCTGGGGTCCCATGGTCTGGGCCATCGTCGCCGAGCTCTTCCCCTCCAAGTACCGCGCCAAGGGCATGGCCCTCGCCACCGCTTCCAACTGGCTCTGGAACTTCCTGCTGAGCTTCTTCACCCCCTTCATCACCGGCGCCATCGACTTCGCCTACGGCTATGTCTTCGCAGGCTGTCTGCTCGTCGCCGCCTTCGTCGTCTACTTCTGCGTTATTGAAGGCAAGGGCCGCACGCTCGAGGAGATCGACTGGATGTATGTGAACCATGTGGCGCCGTGGCAGAGCAGCAAGTTTGAGATTCCGCAGTCGGAGTGGGAGGAGGGACCAGGTGCGCAGACCCGGAAGGAGGAGCAGGCGTTCCATGCGGAGATTGCCTAGTTTTTTGTGTTCCCTTGGAGTTGGGGTTCGTGTTTACTACACTTGCATATAGATTTGCTTCTTGGATGATACGATACCATGATGAATATATCAATAGACTTTGTTCTCTTCATACTGGGTCTGTGTAACCTGTGTCAGTAGAATATACTAGCTATCTGCCATTCAAGAGTATCGGGTACTAAGAACTCTTGACTGTACCTCGTACTTCGACAAGCGAATGGAGGATTTTTCTTCTTTGATGTGCTGGTCTCTGACATGATGCCAAAGCCGAACCTCCACAGCTGACAGCTTTTTCAAGAATTGTCCTAGCCGTTCAAGTCAGCCGTCGAGATATATTGGGTGAAGAAAAGTTATTATAAGGTGCATAGCATGATTTAGCTCACTAACGCCAGCAGGAACAAGTTGCCAAGAACGACTCTAAGCAAATAGCTATTAGTTGAATGGACTTCAAATGTTGGGTTTTGACCGCACTTCCAAGAAGATTTCCAATTACTTCATTCCGCAGCAACTTGATTTTAGCTAGAGTGGTGCACCTCCGGGCATTTGACAAGCAGGTTCGAGAACTTCCGAGAAATAGAAGCGCAGAATCCATTGCCTCTTGTGAGATTGTTCGGTCGAAGTGATATTGACCGCCATGCTGCAGACGGCTGGACTCGCGAATGAAGTGACTATTGCCTGAAGGAGTAATGATCGGTTATAGTCCGTGCCCAAAGTGCATTTCTCCTCTCTTCGATACCAACCAGAGCTGTTACGATTTCTACACACGTCCATTTAAGATTTTTCTACAATCCTCCGCTCTTTCCGTCCAATAGAAGGACCATGACACGTCACTAAGCTTGGGCGTAATTTGCCTCGACCGCCGCAGGACCGGCTCCCTCGTATTCCCCTCGCTGGTTGCTTTAGTGTCGTGGGATTCATCCAACCACATCTCGCAGTTGGATACGAGTCATGCCGCTTGGTGTGATAACTTCACGATGCCCAGACTTCGTCACTCGTATCGCATGAGGCTGATCTATTCCTGGCTGCTCTCCGCATCATTAAGGTTTGAGGCGTTCAGGCACCGTGCTATATAAGGCGGCTCGTTTACCCACCTTCCTCTCGCCCTTTGTCAGCCAGGTCACTCGCTTTAATTGCCCAATCCCCATCACTCGTTGACCAGTTATCTCGATCTTTACAATGTACAAACTCCTCACTGCTTCTCTCCTGGCCACCGCCGCCCTTGCGGCTGGCCACAACGGTCTCATTGCCCGCCAGGTTTCCAGCTGTGAATCGCACATTGGCTACAAGACCTGCAAGTCTTCCTGCATTCCCGTCACCTACAGCTGCTGCGATATTGGCGAGGGCGGCTGCGAGCCAGGCACCTACTGCACCGACGACGGCTGCTGCCCCATCGGGGAGATCTGTAGTGGACCTGGTGGTACCGTGACTGGAACGTTGACCGATACCATCACCAACACCTTGACCAACACTCTTACCAGTACTCTGACAAACACCCTCACCGAGACCGCGACGCCTACTACTACTGAGGAAACCACTTCCACTTCTACCTCTACTTCTACTTCTACTTCTACTTCCACCTCGACCTCGACCACTACATCTCGTCCCGTCATCCCCACCCAGCCCACGGTCACCTCTCCAAGCGGGACCCCGTCGCCCTCCGGCTCCTCCACCGCCAGTCCTTCCCTCCCTCTGTTCACTGGCGCTGCGTCGCGCCTGAACGCCGGCATGGGTGCTGTGGCTGGTCTGATCGCGGGAGCTGCTCTCCTGTAATCCTCACAGGAGCCTACGCCTTTACGAAGCAGTTCTAGTTAGCAGATGTGTCGAATTGCAAGAGATTGTCTTTGCTATGTACTGCTACTGCAACGACTTATAGCCTAATCCTAATTGAATGCGTGTGCTATTCATCGTCTTCTGCTCTGTGAATGAATAAAATGTGATATATTGAAAGTCAGTCCTTAGAGCAACAAAGTCTAGACGTTTCATACCCTTCAATCTCCAATTTAGGGCCTGCGATATGCTCACGTCGACTGCTATCCCATTCTGACAGGTTCTGTCTAACGCTGTCCGTATACAGAGATCTCTTCGCATGAATGATGAGGGTTAACCACTACGCTAGCAAGACGCATTTGTATGACCTGAGGGAAAGGAAGGAGAAGAGCTATTATTGTCGGTGGTCAACCATTGCTACAGTTGATTTACAAGACAACACAAGACCTCGGACGAGAAAGTGAAAAGCTATATGGATATGGGGTAAAAAACACATCTCTTGAGCTATAGCAGATACATCTTATACCATAAGGGCTAGAGCCTGACTTCCGTCGACCAATTATCAGTCACCGAGTATGACAACGATGCCCATCTCACAGTTCACATCACATTGACCATCCCAATCCATACACCATACCAAACTGTGCGATTGCCGAGAGAAGGAGATACTACTTCTCTCCCGCCCCAGCCTCATACTCCGGATCCTGCTCACCACTTCGACACTCAGCCCTAGCGCAGCTAAAAGAACAGAGTACCATACTCACCTCACACGACGATCCCAAAGTCTACTCAAGTCCCCAACGGGCAGCCTAACAGGGAACCCCACCGAATCAAACAGCTGTGCCACGAGGAGATAGAAACCCAGCATGCTCGCCACGAACAGCGACGCACCGGCTGCCTATACATACCGTCAGCATTAGCCATGCACATCACTGGCTGTGAGAGGAGGGACGTACCACAATCAACCGATTACCCACGAAAGCATCCGCAACCGCCAGACGCCAATATGCCCCAGACAAGAAAGCGAAAACGAGAGTAAGCGTCATGAAGATTGCGACGTAGACTGCATTGGTACGGGTCGCGCAGATGAGGAAGATGAGCATTAGGACACCCATCCAGATGAATAGAAAGGCTGGTTCCGTTAGAATATATTCCGTTGGAGGAGGGCGGGGGTGGTGCGAACCGTATGTATTCAGAAAGTCTGGACTGCTGAGGCCGGCTACTGTGTCGGTGGCAGAGGTTGAGTAGGGGCTAGGTACCAGCACTGTTAGTAGCAAGGGTATGAAAAAGGGAGGGGACGAACCTGCGGCGTTGAAGGCGGGAGTCATGGTGCAGCCGAATGCGAACCAGAACGCTCCTGTTTCTGTCAATCATCTGCTTCATCTCTTCGGGACACCCACGAACCAATTGTGCCAAAGACAACGCAGGGAAAGGTGTTGCCGAGGGTAAACTCGAGAATACTAGTCAAGACAAGCAGTCCGCCTCCGAGGAAGATGGTCGGACCACTAGAGGTAGATATCAGCGATGTATCCTTCAACCTTCGGACATTGATTGGCCTTACGTGAACGCAATTCCCGCTCCGGTAGCACCTCTCCATCCCATAAGGCAGCAAGACAGAGGCGTGGTGGTAATGACAAATCCGCCAAGGGCCCTGATCTGTCAGTTCAACTGTACTCTGTCCTCAAGAGTTTGGATAAGTACAAAGGAGTAGGATTGCCCATCTGCTTCGAGAGCATGCCCTGGCGCTGGGTCAGGGGGCTCAGGTACAGCTTTTCGAACTGCTCGGCGGATAGGGTGACAGATGTAGGAATTGTCGTTAGAGACGGCATGGCTGTGTCGTCCTGAGGCGAGGGCTTTGCCTGATGATCCTTGAGCCCCGTCTCAGTGTCCATTGTGCCTGACAGTCAATCTGGATGTTAAGCTATGTGGCAAATGAGATAGAAGTTGGGGAAATCTGGGGATAGACTCAAAACCGGAGTAAGGACAAGACCGGGTCTTATATCAGCTTCTCCTGATACAAACCTTTCAGCAAAGGCTTCCCCATAATGCTCCCTATCCCGGTCGAGCGGAGTACTATGATCAGCACGAATATAATTTCCTTTTTGGGAAAGATCCGGGGAAGCGGAGTAGGAAGGAAGTCTAGCCCAGCCCTTCATAGATGTGGCTGTAGCCTGGGATCATCATTCGTAGGACAATATGCACTGGATCTCTAGTCAGAGAGGAACCCACTTGTGCGATACTACTGGGCAGGGGTGAGAAACACTGGATACAGGGATACCCGTGTCTGGAACTGTGGATTATCTGAATCCGAGATCAGGGAGTACTGTTGATACCGACAGTAGTCTACTCAATTCCCGAAAGGCATAACTCTTGGCATTGGAGTATTTCCACAATCAACAATGGTTTGTTTCTTGAACAGCGAGGCATGGATTGTCGTTTGACGGATTTATACTACGGATCGTACGGACAAGACTAAAAAAGTACAAAATGCCACATAAATCATAAATAAACTATTACCATTCAACACTCTAATACTCTAAGCACCCTTGATACGAGCGTGCACAGTCTTGACCTGCGTGTAGTTGTCCAGGGCGTACGATCCCAGCTCCCGGCCCAAACCGGATTCCTTGAAGCCGCCGAATGGCATCTGGGCAAGGAAGGTGTTGTAGTTGTTGATCCACACAGTTCTGCAATAGTCAGTAAAATGCTAAACATGCGGAAGGTCGGGACATACCCAGCTCTGATAGCATTGGATACCCGGATGGCTGTATTGAGATTGGTAGTGTGAACAGCAGCCGCCAGTCCTAATCCAGTCAGCAGGGAATGATAGAGAGGCAAAAGGCAGACTCACCGTAGTTGGTATTGTTAGCAATCTCGATAGCCTCCTCCTCGGAGCTAAACTTCTGCACTGTACAAACAGGGCCAAAGATCTCCTCCTTGACGATCTTCATGTCCTCACGCACATCCGCGAAAATGGTAGGCTGGATGTAGTACCCCTTTTCGCCGTGGCGCGCTCCACCAGTAATAACCGTGGCACCCGCCTTCTTGCCCTCATCGATGTATCCCATGATCCGGTCAAACTGCACCTGAGAGACCTGGGGACCTTGGAAAGTCTCCGGGTGGAACGGGTCCCCGACCTTGTTCTCCTCCGCGCGCTGCTTGAAGAGCGCCAGGAATTTCTCGTAGATGGATTCATGAACGAGGACGCGCGATCCGGCGGCGCAGCATTGCCCGTGGTTGAAGTAGATACCCAGGTTCACGTATTGGATCGCGTCGTCTAGATCAGCGTCGGGGAAGACGATGTTGGGAGACTTGCCGCCCAGCTCGAGGGTGACTTTCTTCAGGTTGCTCTTTGCCGCTACCTGGAGAATCTGGCGGCCGACCAGCGTCGAGCCGGTGAATGCCACCTTGTCGATATCCATATGGGCTGCGATGGCGGCGCCAGCCACGCGTCCGAATCCAGAGATGATGTTGATGACACCAGGTGGGAAGCCGGCCTCCTTGACCAGTTTGGCGACGTACAGCGCTGAAAGCGGCGTTTGCTCGGCAGTCTTGAGGACAACTGTATTGCCGGTGGAAATGGCGGGCCCGATCTTCCACGCCCACATGAGCAGCGGGAAATTCCATGGGATGATCTGGCCGCAGACTCCAACCGGCTCGTGACGGGTGTACGTCAGACTGCCAGGGTTGGTATCGATCGTTTGGCCAACGATCTTGTCGGCCCAGCCGCCGTAGTACCGGATGCAGTTTGCAGAGAGAGCGACATCTCCCTTGGCAATCTGGAAGGCTTTGCCATTGTCGAGAGCTTCAATTGCAGCGATGGTATCCATGTCCCGTTCGAGAAGGTCAGCAAGGCGAGTCAAAAGACGGCCGCGCTCTGAGGGGATGACGTCCTTCCATGCGCCTTTGAAGGCTTTGCGGGCGGCTTCGACGGCAATGTCAACATCTTTTTCGGTGGCCTCATGAACAGCCACGATGGGTTTTTCGTCATGGGGGTTGATAGTTTCAAAGGTTTTGCCCTCTACGCCCGGGATAAATTCGTTGTTGATGAACCTTTGCAGTGTTAGCCAGGAGGATGGACTATTCTTGGGTACTTGGGCACATACAGCCCTAGAGGTTGCTCATAGGTAACAGTAGGAGTGGCGATAGTCTGGAAGAGAGCCATATTGAGGACAGTCTGGAGATGCGTGAATTGAAACACAGTTGGTTGAAGTGTGAACGTGCAGAAGATATGAGGGTAGAAAGAGGGCCAGGCCTACGCTTCCATCGCTTACTCTTATAGCACAGTCCCTATTGCATATGCACCGGGCCAAGGGCAAGTAGCTAGCAAGGATGTTGACACATAGAAAGGCAAACAGTAGGATCCATGACTCCGCTTCTCCATCACTCCGCACTCCACATTTTTCATTATTCCTAACGCTAGGTTTGTGTCGGCGACTGGGGTTCTCTCCTGTGGTTCCGTCTCTGTCCTGGCCGAGATCTACAAGTGGACTGCCACGAGACCTCCGTAGCCCTTCCTATGTTTCTAGGACTGCTTGAAGAGACAATTCGTCCATGCACTAGTTGCGGGGTGTTCGGACAGCTGGAACTTCAAGTTACACAGGCATGCCAGAGTACTGCTATTGGATATTGTCAAGTGACCTCATATGCGACAGTTCCAGTCGTCATCGCTCTCTCTGCGTGTAGCAAACTACCCCCGCATCTCAAGGAAGTTTATCCCGGAGACTCGAAGTCATCCACCTAAGTCCGAGAACCCGCAGAGGAAGAGCAGACTAGATAACTGGTGGATTCTAATAAACTTAATCTATTCTTGCTCAGATCGGAGCCGCTCTCGGATCCGCATATGCTTGGCAGCGGATCAGCACGCGGGGTATCACCTTCAGCTTCTGGCCAGAGTGCCAACCAACTCGAACGACGCTAGAGGAGATAGAATTTAGGTGATTACGTGCTGTGCTGTACTGTGCTGGCTATTCTATCTGACTATTTTCCTTTAGGGCAGGAATATGCCGGTTACACGCGGCATCAACCTGACAACCAAGACTATACCCATACACTGACAGGTTTTGTGCTGTACAACTTAAAGAATGTAATATCCTGATTATCTGCATCATTAACAACTTATCAGGTAGGAATAATTTGGTATGAGGTATCTAGTAATATCGAGTTGATGTATACAAGCCCCAGGAAAGTCCAAATTGCAGTTAGTGAGTGAAATTCGTCTACAATCGAACAGAGGCAAGGAATATTCAGAATCAATAGACAATAGATAGTTGAATTGACTAATGACAACTCCATAACATATGAATCATGCTCATTTGCGCATGCCAGACATTTTTCAATTTGCTCAATGCAGAAATAAACTATAGCGACCTAAGATAACAAACTCATTCAGGCATCTCAAGGACGTAGCGACCAGCAATCTTGCCTTGTTCTGTCAAATTGTTAGCGAGATTCACCACATGATTGAAAGGACATACCCATAAGCTCGTAGATCTTAGGCAGATCCTCCAGCGGCGCTGTCTTGAAAGGAGCTTTGATCAGGCCCCGCGCAAAGAAATCAATCGCCTCGACCCCATCCTGTCTGTTACCGACATAGCTGCCCTTGATATTGATCATGCGCACGACAGTGTTGAGGACCGGTGCCCTCAGGAAGGCGTTCGCAGGCAAGCCGATGGCAACGACAGTACCGCGCGAGCGAACATACTCGGTAGCCTGCTGGAAGGGCTTCTCCGAAACAGCCAGGAGAATGACAGCATGGGCGCCCAACCCATCCGGAGTAGCCGCCTTGACATCAGCGACCAGATCACTGGACTTGGTGAAATCAACGTATGCCTGTGACGGTTAGTATCTCATGTCTATTTCGACGGACTGCAACAAACCTCAGCACCAAGCTGCTCGCACATCACCCTCTTCTCATCCCCACCATCAATAGCGATAACCCGCAGCCCCATAGCACGCGCATACTGCTGCGCCAGCGAGCCCAACCCACCACCCGCCCCAACAATAGCGACAGTCTGTCCAGGCCGAGCCCCAGACTCCTTCAACCCCTTGTACACGGTGATGCCCGCACACAGCACCGGCGCAATCGCATCCAGCGGCACGTTCTTGGGGATCTTGGACGCATGCGTCGCCTTACCAATGGTGTACTGCTGGAAGGTCCCGTCGACGGTATACCCCGACAGCGAGGCATTCTGGCAAAGCGGCTCATCCGCCTGTTTGCAGAATTCACAAGCGAGACAAGACCCGTTCAACCACTTGATGCCTGCGTGGTCGCCGATCTCGAATTCAGTGACGAGGTCGCCCTTGGCTACCACGATGCCGGCGCCCTCGTGCCCCCCGACGAGAGGCATCTTGACTGGGAGAGGCCAGTCGCCTTTCATGGCGTGGAGGTCGGTGTGGCAGACGCCTGAGTAGCGGATCTTGACGAGGATCTCGTCGGGGCCGGGCTTCGGCACGGGGATTTGCTTGAGGACAAGGGGGCCGCCGACTTTTTCGGCTACTTGGGCCCATTGCATGGAAGGGACGGAGTTCTTAGTCATGGTTGTTTTAGGTGGGCGAACTTGCGAAAGAAAGTGAGATTGCGTGTGTGAGTAAAACAATGTGATTGATGATTGATGAGATGGATCTAGATTCACTCGAGTACCTTGATGGTACTTATAGTTCTTTGGCAACTGTAAGTTGGAGATAAAAGTGTTCCCTTGCTCCACTGGGGTCAGTTTTTTGCTATCCACACGGGGATACGGAATGCGACTGAGAGGGGATCGAGGACACGCAGCCCAGTGGAGTCTCTCGATATAGCAGTGCGAGATTGATGATTGGCCGGTATCTCCCATTGCTGATAGCTGAGCCAATGCAGTGCACTTACTGTGGAGTGGAAGCTCTCCATTTCCCCAGATCCCCGCGACTATCAGTCCAGTGTCGTCCCCGTGGGGAAATCCCACCATACCTCTAACTCACTCGAACTCACTCAATTCTCTGGCGCAAAATACACTTCAGGCAATAATTCCGAAATCTACTTCCTTGTGTCCGAGGGTCTACGAGCTAGAAAATAACACAGGAGAAGGTGGAGCTCATCCGAAGCCTCATCCTAAGAGTCGGGATGCGAGGGGATATCCGACAATAGTACGATCATACGATGCGCCCGCCAACCAATCTTAGCACAGGCTATTGCGGGCCTCGTGGCGATCAGGGTGCGGAGGAACTCTACGATTCAGTTCATCGTCCAGAATCACGAACAAAGAATTGAGTTCCATATGTCCGAGTCATAGCAAAAGTTCTTTTCTGGCTCGCTAAACGCTCTCGCCAGGCTGGAAATCGAGCTTAAAGCTAATAGTAGGGCAGATAACTGCCGAGTGACAGCGGCTGCGGGGAAGACACACTGTGCGGTTCCGCACAAACTCTATTGAGGCCCAGATCGGCTCAGGCCGAGCTGTCAAGAAATGCAGCCCTGGAGAGAGACATTCACACCATAAAGGCAGTCATCTGATTGGTGAGATCCATCCCGATGCTTCTAGGCATCCCGTCACGATCGGCATATCCCAATACAAGTGCGGAGCCGCTCCGAGAGGGGCAAGGCCTGCCAATCTGGACATTGGTCTTCCCTGTGCGGAGCCGCTCATGAACCTAGACCCCGTCGTGTTCATGAGCCATTCATTGGCTGTCTGAGATTTGGGACTCTATCTCTACCATTTGAACCCCACAGCATGTTGTCTAGCTTCTGATTGGTGATGTAAATTAACAGCGATGGCGGAAATTGAGTTTACTAGATCGTACTATGTCTCACTCCTCTGAACTGGCGATCAAGCATCATTAGCTAGGATCCGTGTACACAGATCTGTCGCGGAGCCGCTCAGCAGCTATGGACGCTGATCGCAGCAACATAATCCTGTGTGTATTGTTTGTTTTGGCTGGCCTTCTGTAGCTTAATCTTATTAAGATGCATATTTAACATCGACGCTATGTCCACTATAGATTGCATGTTTTAGCTATCGCCACTGCAATAGGACACGCAACAATGGCCACATCATATCATTCTCACAGCACGCAAAGCACGAGAGCACCAGCAGCAGACACAACCGAAGCCTCAAGACCACGAAGAAAGAAAGCTAGAAGAGCTTGCTCTGCTTGTCAGAAGTCGCATCAGACATGTGGTAAGTGATTTCTCAGCAAGACCGGACCCAGTAGTAATGACTAACTGATCCGATCCGCAGGCAACGAGCGACCATGTCAATCGTGCGTCAGGCGCGGCTGCGCAGACTCCTGCCGCGATGGCGAGCGTAAGAAGCCAAAGTATCTCGAGGAGGGCTCGTATAGGGTCTTCACTATAGAGTACAACGTACCGTGTCGCAATAACTGTGCGCCCATGCCATTGAATCACACATTCGCATGCAAAGATACCGGGGTCCAGTCAAGGACACCGAGCCCCGATGCAGGGCAGACAGTATATCCGTATGGAAACCTCAATCCTTGGACGATATGTGCGGAGGATCCCTTCGTCGGTCTCGAATTGGATGACGCACAAATTAAGCTGGAGGACCAGTTTCTCTTAGACTCACCACAGTGTGATACAACCAACCCAGGCCCGCAAACCGATGCTGTGCTTGCGTTTGCAATAGGAAGCGGGTGGTCAAGTACATTTCTCCAGTCGGAGTATGAGGATTCTGTATAGCATAGTCATGTATTTAGCCAGCGTTAATACCCTATGTCAATTTTACACACATTTCAGTCCAGTTTTAGGCTCATACTCCAAGATGACATTGTTTCCTTCGAGACAGCGTGCACATGACATAATACAAGAGGCGAGCCCTTCTCTGTCCGTACTATGTCCTTCACTCCAGAGCAACCTTGGTCACTACGGTTAGATCCTCATAGAATTCACGACAGCTCCCTACGTCAGCTAGGTGCTTCGGAGAAGCTACAATCAGCATTCTGAGCGCGCTAAACGACCACGGCGTCTATACACTGTAGGTTATTGGTTCCGGGTTCGTTCCAAGACCTCCCATCTGACAGCATCATGCCCCCTCGGTTTTTACTAACAAGGTCCTTTACTGGGTCATTCTCAACGAGGGTTGGGTTCGTGTACTTCCTAGACGGCAGATTGGTCAATTGCAGCGGGCTAGTTCGAAAACTACGGTACAACCCTGCAACACCGCTATTTGTTTTTACGAACATTATTTCAACGTTCTTCTGCGCGGACAATAATAATAACTATTTAGTAGTGCAGTTATTGAAGTTTCTGCAAAGCTTCAAACTAGGAAAGTGTCTACGAGGCTGAGAAAAATAGTGCTTACAATTGACGATTATAAATGGTGAGATTACCAATCTTCAGCGCACATCTTTTAGCGTGCCGATCAAATATAAAAGGCCGAGTGATCATTGATTTAGCCGTAGACAAGAAGAAATTCAGCCAGACATACAGCTTGCTTTCACTCCTCCATCCTTCAAAACAGTCGAACCTCCACCAAGACTTTCAGAGCCCACAATGGCAGACTCAAAAGACATAAACATGTCCACCCCCATCCGCCGCGTCATCACCGCCCACGACCCCAAAGGCAAAGCCTACTTCGCCTCAGACGAGCTTCTCCGGCCCTACGACCCAGCCACCGCTCCGCACTTCGAAGCCCCAGGCCCCAACTCCGGCTTCGGGGTAATCCAAATCCACCGCTCGCGCAGCTTCCCCGTCGATAACATGCGCCAGGACAAAGATCCCCACCGGACTCTTGTCCCGCTGGCCGATACCAAGGGTCCCTCATGCAGGATCGTTGATCTGCCTCCTGCGGAGACGGGGTTGATGCATCGGACGCTGTCGTTGGATTATGTGGTTGTGTTGTCTGGGACGGTTGGGTTCCGGACGGATGGTGGGGAGGAGAAAGTGCTCAAGGAGCATGATGTGATTGTTGTTCGGGGGTGAATCATGAGTGGGTTAATCGGGGGATACGGTGGCGAGGCTATTTGCGGTTGTGGTGCCGAGTAAGGAGATCGTTACTGAGGATGGGGTGAGGTTGGAGAAGACGCCGGTTGGGGAGATTTATGATGCCCCTGAGGAGGAGGATTGAGCGTGTCATTGTGGTCCAGGTATTGGGTTCTTACTGAGAGGGAGATAGGAATTAACTTGAATCCATCCGTCAGACATTCGGAAAATCCATATTCACAATCTAGGGGAAGAGGTACGTAGAAACTCAGAGTAGTGTAGTATGTCGATGTCACGTCTTCAATCGAGCAAAGTCAATGTTGCCTGTCGCAATAGCACCCAGAATGGCAGTCATGTCCGGATTTCAAGCCCTGTAGCAGCTGTTGCCCGCTCCTCCATGTCTCTGGTTTCCACGGCTGAGTATATTGTGTTCACCAGTCCCCTGAAGTAGTTTGCTGCGGACACATCCCCTAGCCTTGTAACAACTGACTCGAGCTTTCTCAATGCAGCTACTTTTCCAGTGTCAAAATTACTGGGGACAGGCCGACTTCGCAACCTAACTGACGTCTCAAAGGCTGTCCTAGCATCACGCAGGTTTCCCTGCGCCGCCTGTGCCTCCCCGAGCAAATAAAACGTCAGCGAAGCATCAAGGTTCAATTGTAGTTGCTGACTATAATCGTATCCATCCCCGAGTAGCTCAAGACGCCAACACAGTCTTTGACAGAGACCTGCCATATCTCTGTACCTTTTTTCCTGCCCGAGGTACCTGATAGCGGTGTGCCATACACAAAACGTCTCGTGGCTATACAGGCCTAATTCCCTATCGGCACTTTGAAGTGTCGCTGTGATATCGTTCAAACTCTTCCCTCGATAGAAGTCATAGAATCCACCTGGAATGGCTCGCGGGAAGCTGGCTTGATTGTAAGAATAATGAGCCTTGAATTCATTGTGCGCGACCCTCGACATCCACAGATATCGACAATAGGCATCAAATGCAAGGTATAAATGACCGTCTGAGTCCAGGGGTAATTTCTGCAAGGCTTCAAACATCATTCTGCGAGGTTCATTGCGAGACAAGACTAGTCTTGCCCAGCGGACAAGATATTCTGTCAGTAGTTGCTGAATTCTATCATGCCCATCCCCCTGAAGCAGGAGCACGATAGCAAGAATATCCGGAAACTGGCGATGGTGGTGATTCTGCACGACGGCTTTGGAATTTAGAAATGCTGTTCGTATCAGTGCTCCCGCCCTATCATTTCTGCCTATCCTGAATTGCCCCAAAGCTTCGTAAATCATGTTGTGGAGATTGCTGAGCGCTGCCAACCCAGCCCGGAGCTCAGCGCTTCTGGCGTACAAGCCTCGGTCATCTGCCGCCCATCTGCCAGAGTCGAAGGAAGTCTCAAAATGGACCCGTGTGCTGAACAAAAGTTGCTGGAAGTTTTTGAAGGTGTCGGGTTGGCTGAGGCAGTCCAGGTCAAAATGTAGAGGAATAAACGTTAGAACCCTGCGATTTGGGGGTCCAATCTCCTGGCGGTGCTGTTCCCTCCTCTTGTAACGATTCTCAACTTCGAGGTTGTCCAAGAGGACGTCACTGGCAAGGACCAAACAGTCCCATGTTCCTTCTCTCAGACCAATCCTGCTTCTGATAAAGACTACTTCCTCTTCGCTGAGATTCTTGAAAATTCCCTGGGTTCGTAAAAGGGCTTTCCACTGGTCGATTCTGAAAGTATGATAAGTATGTGTACCTAGAGTGACTTCACCTCTGGCCTATCACTTACGTTAGTCGGGGTTCAGACTGCGGCTGTCCCCGCTCAAATTCTGATTTGATTTCCTCGAGTTTCAAGCCTTCGAGTAGATAGAGCTGAATAATGTCAAGGTGACGGTCTCGGGAAAGCGGGGTTGGTTGGGATTCGCTCATGACTGAGTTTGTCGATGGATATCCGATTAGCGACTACATGAACCAGTATGTGTCGGGTTTGGAATCGGTACAAGAAGGCCAGTCTCAGAATGTGGCCCACTTTTGAAACAAAGGGGAACCACAGCAAACCTCAAATCGTTCTTGAGCTCTCTCCATTGTAGGAAAAGGGCCGAGTGTCCAATGATCGATCATCAACACCCGAGCCATTACTCTAAAGAGACAGGTGCTTGCAGAATGACAGGGATATAGCAAATAGCTTGTCGACGTCGAACCAGCATGGACACTGTATGGGAGCACTATGCCACCTATCACAGGAGAAATAAGGCCATAGCGTCTGGAACAGATGTGCCTTGTTGACGTGGCACGCTCCTTGAAAGAGACGATATACTCCCCCACTTTCTGTTGACGAGCTTCCTCTCAACGTCTCTAAAGCTTCCTGCATCATTCCATTGGCCGATCCACCAGATACCGAACTACTGCACACTTTTGCTCGCTTCCATCTGAGCTCATCTACAATCAGGAATAGTGCCTCCTACTTCGGCTGTCTTCGATGTAGGGCACTTTTGTGTGATTCGTCCATCCTGCTATGAAGGCTGCCATACATTTTTCTACATGGTAGAAGTTCTATAGTATGCCCATACCTCTCGTGGACGTAATGCGAGCTTTCCATGGGCAGACATGGAATGGATTATCTATATAAGAGCCATGGATTCCCGATGATATCTGCGTCTTTCGAAATATTTCCGGTGCATCTTTGACGAATGCTCAGAACCTACGGACCAAACAAAATCTGTACTGCTGCTATATTGCCTTTAACTCTGTGACATTCTGTCTGTTTACCTGAGGACTTCAGTGGCCCAGCCCTATAAATCACAATGCCAATTTTTCCCGCAAGCCCTTTGCAGCCCATCAAGAATGGATGGCATGTTTTCTCTGACCTTGTTTGCAACAAGTTGACCGAAGGAGCTGAAAGTTTCTTGAAAGCGCAGTAAGTTTGAATCGATGATCCGGCGAGCTTCAAGTTCCAAGTTTACTCAGAGTCGACATAGTACTGGAGCCGATCTCTTCATCGTTACCGGTTCCGCTGGGGTAGGGAAGTCGTCTTTCATCAAATCAATCACTGGGGAAGACGTATATATCGGATCGACACTTGAATCTGGTGAGGGTTGCTATTGTTGCAGGACCTATGAAGATACTGAACATATATCAGGTACAAAAACTACCAGTCTTGTGCCAACAGTCATTGGGAACCAGCGCTGCTTGTTCCTTGATATGCCAGGATTCAATACTCGCGACTTCGACGACTGGGACGTCTTTCATAGACTCATGACGGCAATGTCCGTTGTTGAGCGATACGTCGAATTCCGCGGTGTCCTATATGTGGATTCCATGGAGGAGAATCGTGTCACGCCTGCAGCAGAAAAGATCCTCACCTGGCTTTGGCTTTTCTGTGGCCAGGACTACATGCCCAATGTCACTGTTGTCACAACCAGATGGGACGGCCTAGACGCGGATGGCATCGAAACCAAGATGGCTAGAGTTGAGAAATGGCGTGCAGAAGGGCTGCTGCAACGTTTCTTCAAGCATGCCGCGAGCATTTACCACCATGGACTCGTAATGGAGGGAGGAAATTACAAAACATTGCATATCGAGAGGCAGGCCGAGAGGCGTCGGGTCCTCGCTCGGGATGCAATCACGTCGCGCTACCACCACCCAACCAGCCTCAAGCTTCAGATCTATACCGAAATCGCAAGTGGAGCTACCATCGACACGACCCTCGCCGGCAGATGGCTAAGGTATGGACGTGCGGCCGACGATCCCCAGGGCAATCAAGAAACAAGCGCAGATTCCTCAACTGGAGGTGATTCGGCCCGCAGCGAGCAACAAGGGGAACGTCAGCAGAGAGACTGGACATATAGATCTGGTGAATCCGCTGCAAGAGCGGCATGGGCTGAGCAGTTCTCATATGCCTGGGGGACATCAAACCCTGGATCCGTCTCTTGCACATGGCCGCCAGAATGTACATGTCGTCGTCCTCCCGTTCCTCGCCGCCTGTATTCGATTCCTTTGCCGACGATGCCTCAGAGAACATTTTCTTTGAAGACTCCATTTTTCCTGATGAACCCTTCTCTGGCCCAGAAGAAGAGTCGGGGTGGGGATGTGTGATCCTTTGAACCGACGTACCAAGGATCGTTGACTGTCCTGGATTATATGGTTTCCTCAGCTTAAGGTCTCTCTTTTCATTGTTTCTACATGTGTAGTACGTCTTTCGGTCTCATGTATCCTGAATGATCTGATTTTCCGTACATGCATGGAAAGACCTGGTAACTACTCTATTTCCTGCTTATCTGTGTGCAATGAAGATGGCCTGACCTCTATTTCATTCGAAACTACTAATTTTTGAAGCTGATGGCAGGTCATGCAGTTGCTGCAACATTCTTTTTATACCATATTTCTTCGGCCTATCCTGAGTTAGCTCCTATGTTACGCTCTCTAAATGCAGAATGGCTCCTATAATAAACATGCGCGAATCTCACGTATTAGAAAAGAGACTGCCAGTAGAAGATCCTATGGTAAAGATCCTGAATAACAAGTCAAAAAAACTACAGGATATAGCAGTAGAAAGTTAGACGCCATTCCCAGTCAGATAAATCCTGCCTATGACAGACTCCTGCTGTTATACTTAGAGTATGTGTCAAAAAAACATTAGTTATAGTATCTGCTGCTACATGTGCACTTTCGCTTTTTCTCTCGAGCAAAGGTCCTACCAGCCCGAAAGCCCTTGCTCGAATGTTCAGCGAAACTGGTATATATGCGGCCATCTTTTAATATACCAAAAGCACTATTGCCATACATAGAAACCGCCAGGATAATGAGAACAGCGCAACCAGCCAGAGCCTAGGGCTCCCTGGTCTCATTCAAGGCCGTGTTCTCAGACCGGAGCTTCTGCTTTTCATTGATGTTGAGCTCGATTGTGAGCGTCTTGCTCATCGCTTGCTGTGTGCACCGCCAGTCAACACCCAGAATACATGCTTAAGCAAGTCTGACAACCTACCATTATCGTGTGCCCTTTCGCCTCTCGATTTCTCGGCTCCCACTGGTCCGGGAAGCGCTCCTCGGCAAGCCAAACCCGGAGGTCGTCCACATCACCACCAAAGATCGAGTACATGAGCGCGTTGTTTCCGGAGCCTAGACATAAAGCATTCACCGGTGAGAAATCATCGATAGCCGGGAAAAAAGGGGGAAGAACCTACCGAAGAATTGGTGCAGGAAGCTCCACGTCATCGAGTATTGGCCATTGCTACGTTTGCACTCTGCGCGTCGGAGGCCAGAGAAGTAGACTATGTCGTCTAGCGAGAGAGATTTACCATTTGATGCATGGGAGAGGAACCTGTCTACTAGGTCCGGGTGCGGGACGCTCTGGTTGGGACAGAAGGCGATATCGGGACCTGTTTATTTCTCGCGTCAGCATACCAACGGCCGGCCTGAAAGTACGGATAAGCAACATACGTGTGAACGAGGCGTCGTGCTGGATGACCTGTGAGACAGGGGTCAGTGCGCAGTCAGATTTACGTGGGTATGTATCCTGACGACTAACGTTCAAAGCGCTGAGGTCCTGCAGGTCGACCCAGCCCCGCCCTTGGTCGAGCTGATAGGCTGAAGCAGTGAGTTGGTCGGCGAGCGAGGGTGCAAGGTTATATGCATGTTGGATGGCATGCGACATTTGCCCGTAGCTGATGTGTTTACCACTGCGGGGCAAGATGTCTGCGCGTCTTCACATCAGCGAAGGACAAGCACATTTTACTGTCTCACGTACCATGGTTGGCAAGAGCGTTGAGTCTTGGGCGCGTCAGAAGTAATCTTGTGAAAAGGATAAGCAGACATACGCTGGACAGGGTGAACGGGAGACGGTGGCCTGAATGGGCGCCTGAAATTGCGCCCAGACGCCACCGTGACCTGTCTGGTCGAAAGGCACAACGCTTCCAACCTTACGGCGGGGGAGAAATAGGTTTGCGATCTGTACACGGTGTCGTCGAGGTTAGGATTCAGAGACTGGCATAAACTGAGAAGAATACACACGACGTAGTAGAGGTCACGGATGGTGAGCCACAGGGCACAAAAGAGGAGAGCAGCAAGGGCTTTTAAGAGGTGGAAGAACCTTCTAAAAGTGCCGACAATTGTAGTAAAGATGTTAACCATGGTGGGCGACGGCAGTAGTTAGGAATTCAGGGCAAGTAACGACATCATTTGAAATGCAAGAACGAGTCTGCAACGGATATATGAGGGCATTTAAATTCGAGTCTATTTGGGTGTCAGCTGAACCATGCAGGTCCTCCTATGTTTGCTCCTTTGTCAGGGCTCTCATTGTTGAGGCTGCATAACGAAACAGGTATAAGTGTCTAGTGGGTTGGATATGGGTTGCTCACTACCTGCCTAATCTATGTAACCTACCCTCATATCAATGCGGATTGGATTGGGTCATCTAGACGTATCCATACGGATGAACCCAGATCCACCGTTCGTGGATAAGGTAGGGATATGCGGATCGTGTCCTAGTCTAGTCCCACCTCTACGAACCCCTCGGTCCAGCAAGCTAATGATGGAGCTTCTATTCCACATCGCTTTCCGCAGTATTTCCTGTAGCAAAGTATCGGTATCTCCGTCATCAGCATCCTTGTTCGACGACACAAAATGTGAAAGAATTTGACCAACCCTTGCTTCAAGACACAATCTTACAGACACCGGAAGATCCCCCCCCCAGATTCAGCTGCGGGGTCAGCAAGGCATCCGTGCCCCTCGGGAGTCGCTCTGCTACCTTTACCAGCTCGCGCGGTTCGAGGCAGTTGTGCTCGCAATTTCTGGACTCCTTGAATTATCAAAAATGACTTGGATGGGATACAGGTTTCAAAGCAAGTTAGATGTGTCAGATATCGACCGTTTCTGACTCACCGTCGAGTCACAGCGGAGGCTAATCCAGAAAGAGAGGCCGAGTCGCCAAATTTCTTGCAATTAAATACTCAAGACGAGTTTTGAGCTTATATACTGTGTTTGACCGAATGTCGCTGAAGACGGCATCGACGAGTATATCCGATCGACTCTACCGTCTAAGAGCGCATACACAACTTTGCTTTTCGTCGTCCGGTTTTGATTTCATGAGATTCTGCTTTTGATCATCTAAATAGCAAAATGGATCAGCCGGTACCACACGTTGAGCTCGCCATCCGTCCAAAAAAAAGTTTCGCCGCACCTGTTAGCAGTATTCGGAAACCAGGCGATCAGGTAGACATGACTACTAAGGTAAAGGAGCAGCATACGACCCAGCAGAGAACCCAAGCGCCAAGACGCAGCCGGCGATATGTCAGGGCAGCGACAGAACGCCTGAAAAGCTCATCAGAGGAAGCAGCTTCTGAGCAGAAAGAGCCTGCCGTGCATGAGTGGTCAGATGTCCCTGGACCATTGCACGAGGCTGTGATTGCCTCCCTGAAAGGAGTATGCCATGATCTAAATACGCTCGCCAGATCCGGCTACAAAGTCCGCGAAATGGCTCAAGAGGACATGGAAGGATATGCAAAGTGTATGAACTGCGGAGGTGCCTATATATCCACCTCTGATGGCATGAAATATACTGAAAAACTGTTGTAGAGCGCAAGCGAGTTCTAGACACGAAATCAACAACAGCTTGTTTCTACCACCCAATGAATCTCAATCGCCAGAAGAGACAATACAAGTATCCATGTTGCGGAAAGAAGCAGGCGTGCGCCTCATTACCCGCGCATATTTACGCACCAGTTCAAGATTTTATCCTGGAGAACTGGCAGAGCTATCAATTAACACCGAGTCCTATGTCAGGGCTTCGTCCACCTCGGCGCGCGGTCGCACTCGACTGTGAAATGATCGAGGTCCAAGGAGGGAGTGCGGAAGTAGCGCAGATCTGTGCCGTCGATATCCTGACCGGTGAAGTTATTGTCGACATATACGTGGTCCCGTCCAAGACGGTAACGGACTGGCGGACACCGTGGAGCGGGGTGTCACAGAAACTTCTCGAGGAGATGAAAGAGGCTGGAAAGACTGTCAACGGATGGGAAGAGGCGCGGAACGCGCTATGGACGCACATCAATCAGGACACCATCCTCGTGGGCCAGTCGCTCCAGCACGACCTCGATATCATGCGTATGGTACATTTGAACATCATTGACACGGCTATCCTCTCTCGGGAGGCAGTAGCGAAAGATTGCAAGCAGAACTGGGGGTTGAAGCGACTGTGCAAGCAGATGCTCGATCGCGATATTCAGCAGTCACGGAGAGGACACAATTGCTTGGAGGATACAATGGCGACTAGGGAGGTGGTTCTCTGGTGTGTTCGGCATCCCGGCAAGTTCCAGGAGTGGGCAGTGTCCCAGAGGGAATGGAAGAAGAAGGCCGATGCGCATTGGAAAATGAAGCGGAAAGAGTCGGATAAGGCTCAGGTCAAGCAGCCTCGAGATGGTGTCTCTCAAGTACGGGCTGAATAAAGGTCTCTGTTTTGTGTTATATGCTGCAGTCTTGATCCTTGGTGCTTCTTGCATATATCACCCGGCACTTGGAATATGCTAGATACCCAAAGGACTTATATATATTACTCTTATCACATCATCCTGGACAGTGACCCCATGAGATGCGGTGGAATGCCTCTTATAAGATAAGGATATCTTGGTTTCCGTTACAAAGGTTAAACTGTGGCAACCTAGATGATATATTTATCTAGGTTAACTAAGATGTCAGTAGTCCCTCTAGCCTAATGAAAAAATAAATAAGGTAAATTCTCCTAAATTACTCATCTGCGGACATGGTTCAGTAGACGATCCAGGGTTGTACTCCGGATAGGTGTGGATCAACCCATAATCCGCATGGGTTGTGTTGCATCAAACCCGTTATCCAACCCACAACCAGTCTAGATCCACCATGAATCAATGCGACGCTTGACGGGACAGAACCTGACAATTTGTAACGCCAAGATGGCACGCAACGGTGCAGATTGAAATGTATGTGTCCACTACTTCTTTCTCAGTAACCACCATTAATGATATGCTCCCTACACGGTTGGTAAGTAAGTACTGAGGAGCTCGAAACCATTTACATAAGGGTATGTCCTTCGTAGGCAACATAGAATCGTCGGACCAACCGATCCCGACCTTCAGAGCCGGTGATCCAATGATATCGGCCAAGGTAGTTCTCAGCAGATAAAGTGCAGAGATACCCTTTTGTTTCTAACCCTATGGTCAGAGATCAGAATCTTTCCCGGTAACAACATATTCATTCGATTTCAAAGCAAGGCGTGGATGGAGAAGTCGCGGATTAGGGAGCTATGGCAGAGTTATAAAACAGCTAGCTTCCTTTTAAAAAGAAATTATGCAGAGGGCTGTATCAAAGTCGATCATGAACAGAATGAAGCTATACGATAACATATTCCTCCCAGAGCCGACCTCCCAGAAGAATGAGACCTTGCAAATAGTAATTGCGTCGTATACTATACGTCACCTATACCAGCAACTCCCGTTCTTTACTTCTTCGGTGGAACAGTCCGATTGGCCGCTGTAACCATAGCTTTACACAGTAAGGAAAGGCATCCGGCTAACCCCGTTCCCACCCACTACAGCTAGCATCCCTTGATTGCTTGTTACGGTTAAGATTCCCAACTTCCGATCCTTTTTGGACCATCCACTACAGAAGTACGGCCCCGGGGGTGTGCATTTGATTCTCCCTCAACCCTAACCGAACCGGTTGATCTAAGATACGGCCGCAAGCGTACGGAGTAGTATGCTACATGAACGTAGATGTTGATTCTCGACCAATGCCATGAATCATTATCGCGAGGCAGCAGTCAGATTAATGAATCGACAGCTCTTCTTCTTTCGGCTTTGGAATATTTAAATTCTTTCAATTCCATGCATCGCATCATCTTATGCAACCATCATTGCATCTGAAAGTCTAGCGGCTATACGACTCCGTTCCCGCAGCTATGCCTCAAAACACTACTCAACTGACTCCTGGCGTCGTGCTTGGCTATCCTGAGGTTCAGGAGAAATGGCCCAGGAACCCCGAAGATCTAGCTGTCAGCGACATTGACACGGGCGTCTTAATCAATGAATTGTCCAATATTAAACTTTTGCCGGGGAAGGCCAGAGTCCTCGAGCAAAACCCGGAGATTTTGCAAACGAAAACCTATGAAAAACCCCCTCCGATTGAGGAAGGAACATATCGGGGAACTCAACTCGCGCTCACTAAGATCTACAATCTTATAGAACAGCGGTACTGGTATCGGACCATTTTCCTTCCTCTGAGATGGCTAACATCTGCGACAGATTCAGTTCCTTCATGGATGTAGCCAATTTCGAGCCTTTGGTTCCATCGCCCCTGACCAAGGACCAGAAACGCAAGTTCTTTGCATTCACAGATGGCTCCGACCGTTACCCACCCCATCTCAACCTTGCCGGCAATGTGGAAGCAGCAAAAGAGGACAAAAGCAACCAGAGATCCACACTTCAACCGTCCGAGATTTTTGACAAGATGCGCCTTTTGCAGTTAGCCTCTCTCTTACCTAGCATCGTGCCAAATAAATTCATAAGAGGACTAGCTAGGTTGACTGCAAGAGGCTGGTTTGGCTCCATGGGCAGACCAGACGCTGGAGAAAAGCTCGAAGATGTGGAGAATTATAACAGGAGGGCGCGCGGATGGTACTTCGGTAAAGATATATTCGATCTTCCCAACGTGGGCGATTTGGCAGATTGGTACAGCGATGCCCGGTTTGCCCAACAGCACTTTACAGGCACGAATCCTACTACCATCGAACGGGCTTCAGATCGTTGGTTGGAGCACTTTATCACAGCCGCAGAAGCACCAGAGGATGCCCCGGCTAAGGAGATCATCACCGATCTCCGTAACAGCTGCCGAGAGTCTTTGTACATGCAGGATTACAGCTACTTTCGCGAGGCTGCTGGGCTGGACCCGACTACTGTCATCAAATGTGAGTTTGACGAAGCAGGCAAAAAGAGCTACCGCTATGGTTGCGCTTCGGTGTGTCTCTTTTATCTCAATGATAAGGGCCAGCTTTATCCTCTGGCTATTGTCATCGACTGGCGGGGCAGTGCTGAGACATCTGTGACCATCTACAACCGGGAATTGATCAAGCGCAAGGATGTCCGGTCAGGAAGCGAAAAGCAGGACCAGAAACAGAAGATAACCGACGAGGCTCACGACTGGCCTTGGAGATATGCCAAGACCTGTGTGCAGTGTAGCGACTGGCTTCGGCATGAAGTCACTGTGCATCTTACAAACACTCATATGATTGAAGAGGCCATTATCGTTGCCTCTCACCGACAACTCGACCCAGACCACCCGGTGATGTTGTTGCTCTATCCGCATTGGCAAAAGACCCTGGCACTCAATGCGGCGGCCCGAAACACTCTGGTCCCCCATGTCATTATCGATATAATCGGGCTTGAGGCAAGTGAAGGCTTTGCATTTATCCGGCACGCGTACAAGAACTTTGACTTCAAGGGGCGCTACGTACCGACAGATCTCCGCCAGCGCGGGTTCCCTCCAGAGGAACTCGACGGTCCCAAGTTTCACAACTACGCCTACGCCAGATGTATCCACAGTATGTGGCATAAGATCCGGAACTACGTGCAAGACATGCTTGCTCTAGCCTACCCCGGAACAGATGCCGACGACAAGATCCTGAATGACCAATGTATTCAGGCCTGGTCGAACGAGATGCGCAGTCCCAATGGTGCCGATTTGCCATCCTTCCCGACCATCAGCACGTTCGAGGAACTGGTGGACTGTGTGACCATGTGTATTCACATCGCATCTCCCCAGCATACGGCTGTCAATTATCTCCAAAATTACTACCAGTCCTTTGTGGTCAACAGACCTCCCTGCCTGTACGCGGAGCCTCCAGCCTCTCTACAGGCCCTACTTGGCTATACCGAGAAACAGCTTGTCGAGGCGCTGCCCATGAACCACCCTCGGGAATGGCTTCTTGCGTCGCATATACCCTACCTACTCAGCTTCAAGCCGGGTAATAAAGAAAGTCTGATTGTCTACGCCGCGTCAAAGTTTCGTGTGTATCACAACAAACCGACAGAGAAGGACCAGGCCATTGCAGCAGCGACCGGAAAGTTCTATACAGCACTCGCTGACAGCCAAAAAGAATTCAAAAGTTACGGACAGGCGACGGATGATTGGGAAACCATCGAGTACGAGGTGTTGAGTCCAGATTGGAATGCAGTGTCAATCTTGATTTAGCCATGTCAGTATAACTGGGTATGGCTATGATCCAGTTGCAATAGTGCTGTGCAGCTGTCGTTTTTCCATACCGGATCTGCCCCCTTCAGAAAACATCCCTTAATTGGTTATTACTGCTTTTCCATGATAAATGGAAGAAGTAAACACCTATAATGCCGTCCTGCGACATAATTCGTGTACTGCCATATCACCATCCACTAATTGGGATTAGTCAGTAGTCTTCTGCATGACTCATAAATTCTATCAAAGTCAATTGCCAAATTGACAGCCCAGAAACCTTATCGAACACAAATATCGTCAAAACAATCATGTCTAATCGTCCCCTGGGTCCAGTTGTCACATTGCCTCCGGCCAAACTACCCTCTGAGGATACCCTCACCGGCCGCACGGTTGCTCTGACCAAACTAAACGCAGATTACGCCGCTCAGCTATTCCCTCTAGTCGGAGGTGACGATGAAAACAAAACCGCCCTCTGGGACTACATGCCCGATGGCCCATTCAGCGATTTGGAGACTTTCCAAGAAGCCATCGCGGCCAAATCGCGGTCTTTGGATCCGTTCTATTTCGCCGTCATAGACCTCCGCCAGGAAGACCAGAATCCCACGGCGGGGCATGCTGTGGGCTACCTCTCGTTAATGAACATCGTCCCTCAGCACCTCAGCATCGAGATTGGGAATGTGCTGTTCTCTCCGACATTGCAGCGGACGACAGTTGCTACCGAGGCGTTCTACCTGCTTCTCAAATATGCAATTGAAGATCTGGGGTTCCGCCGAGTCGAGTGGAAGTGTAATGCGCTGAATGCGCCTTCCAGACGGGCTGCGCTGAGATTGGGGTTTACCTTTGAGGGGGTCTTCAGGCAGCATATGGTGATCAAAGGGAGGAATAGAGATACGGCATGGTTCTCGATGTTGCGTGATGAGTGGGAGGGGGTATCAAGGGGCTATGGAGGAGTGGCTGCAGGAGAGCAACTTTGATGAAAGTGGTAGGCAGAAGAAGAGTCTTGAACAGCTGCGGACGGGAAGACAATCATAACTCAGACCAAGAGGTGGTTTTTTGCGCTTTTCTTCCTTGTGGGCTCTTCTTATGGAGGCTGTGCTCCAAACTAGACTGGATAGAGTGGTCTCTTTCGCAAAAATGTCCGGTCGCATATACGTCTGGTTGTTCTATTTGTGGATCCTCATTTCCATGATATTTTCAAGAATCTTAGAAAAACATCTGTGGCAATTTGAAGTCAAGTCACCAAAATATAGAAGGCGACAAAAAAGAAAAGATAATGCGTTAGCTGGGAGTCGAACCCAGATCTATTGCTTGGAAGGCAATAATGCTAACCGCTACACCACTAACGCTGGTTTGTGATAGGTGGCAAACTTTATGTTACATGACAGAAGTCACCAGAACAACATCTGAGCTATATTTTCCTGCGCATCTCAACTGTTAGATGCTGTGCAGGCTCAAAGGACTTGGTAATGCTGACTTTGTATAAACTTCGGACAGGAGGACCTCGCCCATTCTTCTGTACGTGTTGGTCCTTTTCGCCTTCAGCCTGGTCTGGCCGTGACTCCAACAAGTTGTCTTGGGGTATCTACAGCCGTCACTATATATGTGGATTTGCTTAGGTCTACTTGCTCCCTAAGAACTAGTCACCACTTCTTGAGAAGAGCATAAAGGGCAAGTAAGTCATCTATAAGAGGAAGATTATGGAGACAAGGACTTATATATCTTCCGTCGCATTCCACGCGATAAGCATTAAGGATCCATTCAAGGCGCACCAGCATCAGACGTTCATCCAAACCAGGCAAATATTCTCGAAGGTAGGTCGAACTTGTTTCTCTAGCCATCCAGAGGGCGTATGCTTATTATTTCATGTGATACTCACTTCGACTCAAGGCAATCTGGGCACCAGGCTCAACATGCCCTGGGGTTTAGACGGAGTTTATTCGTATTTACGAAGTCTGGATATCCATCTCCGCGTATCACTAGCTCACGACCTATACATAATGCCTCAAGGCATGAATAACAAGACCTTTTGTCATCTTTCATCACATTGCCCGTATCGTTGAGTGAACTTCCATCGCTGTCAACAATAATGACCAACACGCCATCCACTGTCGTGCTCATCACAGGTAAAAAACGATCAACATAACTGCATCAAAGCCTGGACTAACCATCGCAGGTGCAAACTCGGGCATCGGCTTCGCAACAGCCAAAACCATCGTCTCAGCCTCGCCAGACTACCACGTCATCATCGGCAGCCGCTCTCTCCAAAACGGCCAGAATGCAGTCCAAGCGATCCAGTCCTCAGGGACCACAAACGGCTCTCTGTCTAGCATCCAACTAGACGTCACGGACCCGACCTCAATTGCATCCGCCGCGAAGCAAGTCGAATCGCAGTTCGGCCGTCTCGACGTCCTGATCAACAATGCGGGCGTCTTCTCCCAGTCCCAATCAACCAAGACGGCAATGGAGGAGACGTTCGCGGCAAACTCAATCGGGCCTGCGCTGGTCGCCATGGCCTTTAATCCTCTATTGATGAAGTCGCCTCGTCCGTACTCGATTTTCATCTCGAGTATTCTGGGTTCCTTGTCCGAGGCGGCTGATCCCTCGTCTTCGGTGCACTATTATGACGGCGTGGCGTATCGGATGAGCAAGGCTGCGCTGGATATGTTGGTTGTACAGCAGCATAAATTGTTTGGACCTAAGGGGATCAAAGTGTTTGCTGTGTGTCCGGGGTTGGTAAGGTCGAATCTGAGAGGGAAGGGGAGGAAGATGTGTCTGCGGGAGGAAGGGCGGGGGATCCGATGGTTCCAGCGGAGATGATTTTGGGTATAATTGAAGGGAAGCGAGATGCTGATGTGGGGAAGCTTTTGCGTGGTGATAGGGTGTTGAATTGGTGAACCTTATACCTAGATGGTAGATTGCGTGGTAGGGCTTAGTTGAAGTTGGTTTTGGTTGCAAGCAACGAGGGGATATCTTGAATATCAATGATGGTCTCGAGCAGAGCTTGCCATACTCGAAGCTGGAGAAGTTGATCACAGTTCTCACTTATAAATTGGCTATTGCACGAGTAACACTGTTCATCGAATACGGAAAATTTCTCTGCCACGTCTCGAGGATAATGGAAGTGGTCAAGCTTACTGACTGAAATAGTTTGATTCTGCTAAGCTTATGGAATGGAAATAAGGATTGCAAATGGGCTGGCGAGTCCTTTCAAACATTGATTTTTCAAAGAACCCACATTAAGAACATATCAACCCATCAGATCATCCAAGGACTTTCTGCACGAAACCCTCAATCCACTCTGCCACATCCTTAGCCTCCCTCAAGTGAATCAGCAGATGGCCCTCGCCCTTGACTATCTCCAAGCGCACATCCGCGTTAACCAGCCGTTCCTCAATATCCACGGCATCCTGTAGCGGATACGTCTTATCATCCTCGCCATGAATCAAGAGAACCGGCACACGAATCTTCCCCAGTCGATCAAGCAGCGCATCTCGCTCCATCATCGAGTTCAGAGTAGGCTCCACATTCTCAGCGCCCGAATGGCGCTGAACCCAGTCCTGCTTGATCCGAGTCGCACGCGGGCACTCGACATCAGGATTCCCGCCCCAGCTGAGGATAGCGGCGTTCATGATCTGCTCGCTGGGAGCAGGTGTTGCAATCCAGATATCGCAAAGCTGGTAGAAGGCATTACGCTGAGCGTCGGTCGCGGCTGATGCGTTGGAGGCGAGGAGGATGAGGCCCGAGAATCTAGCTTGGTCGAGTAGAGCCAGGCGGAGGGCGATCATCGAGCCCATGGAGATGGCAGCGATCAGTACGTTGGACAGTTCAAGCTCTTTCTGCGGGGTATTAGCTGTGCTATGGCTGTATGGGTTGTATGAATCATCCATACCAAGAGAGCCAGGACATCCTCGGCTTGATTCCAGAGAGTATATTGCTTGCGGCCGGTGGTGGTCTTTCCGTGGCCGTTCAAGTCCACCCGGAGGAGGTTGGCATTTGGTAACTGTGGTGCGAGAAGCTGAACGGTCTCTTCCCACATTGTCGATGACATCCACGAAGCATGGATGAAAAGAATGGTGGGATTGCCATTTTGCAGGGGTGCCTCTGTCTGCCAATAAAGGCCGTTGCTGGCGAATCCGGAAGCCATGATGATGGTTTCTAGGTATTTGGTTATTGATTTATTGTCCGTCAGTCTGTAGTTGAAGATTGCAGGAGATGTCGAATGTGTGTATTTATATTGTGGACAGTTCGATGGAATGACGTGGTTATGCTTCCGGTCAAGGTTGGAGTATAACGTTATGCGGATATCGTTATGTGAGGATCTCGCGAATACGACCTATCCTGAAAGATCATAGTATACCCTCGTATTCTCGTATTCATAACAGATACTTGTGTTCCAGACAATTCTGATGTACTAAGAAACCGCCTAGCGAGTAGTCTAGCCCAGCCACATTTTCGTAGTCATATTGTTCATTACAGCAATCATTATGGAATTCCAAAAGCATGATATGGCATTCGGAGAAGTTGATATCTATATCCATAAAAGGAAGAGCTGCGAAGAAACCGTTGAAGTTGCGCTACTATTATCGCCCTGATATCAAGCCTGTGCCTATTTCGCAAATTTGGCACGTAGACCGTCTAGGTCCAAAGCTCGTTCTCCCGAGCTTGTCCTCGCATGAACCCTGTTTTGCCCACCCAGACATGTCAACATTCTGCGGCCACCAGTACACCGGCCATGGCACCAGGTGCGGTGCCTGAAAACACTTCTCAGTGCTGCTGCAGTTCGTAGACACGGAGTACGAGTAAGCTGACCAATATAGAGTTAATTTGAGTCTGGATCCGAACGATGCTTCCTCTTATGCTGTTGACGATGGCGAATGACCTGAGCTTGATCTTGAACATAATAAGAATCAACTTGTGCGAGCTCGTTTTTCCATGGTGATTGGTTGACTTTTCCATTTAGCCTTCCTTATAGATAATGCACGCTTAGCGAACAAGCTAGAGATGCCCAATAATCTATATACTCCTAAGACCACAACTCCAGACGTATCTGGTACAGCAAAGCTGCCTCAGAGACAAAAGGGTCTACTGCTTTATCAACCCAGAGGCGTCAATCATCATCAAACCGTAACGCGCAATAAGCGAGGCAATACTCCCAGTAAGCTGAATACCAGCCCGACTTCTCCCAGTCAAGGACCACAAGGTGCAGCTTAGCGCTATCGTTGCCAGCATCGCCTTCCTTAACTTCCAGCATTATATTTTTCCTTTGAAGATCACCATGAGTGAATGCTGGGCGCTGATCACGGAGCCCCGAAGCAGACAGTGGCGAAGGAAGTCCGCTCTAATTGAAGGCCCAAAGTCGTGGGTATGCTTTCTGGCCATCGCTTCGATGAGGTCCTGTTAGAGGTGAATGGGCCATTGATGGCCAGATCTGGTTCCCCTGTCCAGAATATCCCGTCGAGGAGAGGTCGTTTGCCCACACTGCCATAATAGCTCGGCGGCGGAAGCTGTCGTAGCTCTGTAAAGTATTGACGCAGCGTACTGACCGTCAGGCAGACTCCTTTTCGGAGAGGCCTAGGCGCGACCATGATGATAAGAGGTTCTGGCCAGCAATCCGTTCCATGACGATGTGTTTCTTTCTGGTATTCGCGCTTATATAAAGCGCATAGACTCGAGGGACACGTATGCTCGTGTTCTCATCTACAAATATCATATTCTCTCCCTCAAGCAGGTCTATACCCATTCTAAACTTCACCGCGAAATGGGGCTCAATCGCAACAACTCTCCGTCCTCCGTATTGCTCGGCAACATCGGGAGCTTCATCGATTTCAGCTTCTGTTGGAAGTTACAAGACAAATCAACCGCGTAGTACGGTAACTTGATTGTGGTAGCGATTGCCGTAGCTTGTTTGGGAGACCGAAATGCGGCTGGGATAACAATGAGCTGGATGAAGAGGGAGCGGTGGGGTGTCATGATGATACTACAGCCCCCAACTGCGGCAAGGCTCCAATAGTGCTCCAGCTTCTCCGTGATGACTAGGGACCCTTCAAGACTGTCTTGGAGACTTCTATGCCGCAATACCCACCATGCACCCGTTTCTGACGCAAAGTGGAAATTCAGAAGGTTAACTGTGGCAGATTTCTACCAAATTTAGGCAGCCCAGAGACGGCTAAATGCTCGAAGGCAATGCGTGTTCGAGATGCATCAGTATCTAGACAGTCCTGGGTATGCTGCAGAGAATGGCTTCGGCCTTGATTGTTATGCCCGCAAAGTAAAGTTCTTTTACCGAACCGTGACAAGTTATCATGCCTCAGGTTCGTACTGTTGTCGGACCTAGAAGGCTACAGAAATGGACGCCGCTTTTTCTTATTCCTATTTTTCGTTTAACGTTCCTACTCTCTACTTCCCCGGCTGCTCAGTGATCTCTAGGTGTCTCATCACGGGGACCAGCACAGTCTCCCAGGATAGGACACGCGGTGCTAGGGATAGATTGGAACATACATGAATGGTTCTCTGCTTTAGATCAACAATTGGTGCTTTCAGTTACTGGGACATGATACATGCACAAAGTACAACATCAATAAGGCTGTGCTGCTATTTTTGGCCAAGATGACCAGGGTCAAAATGCGGCGCAGCATCATAGAAACCCCTCATCATCATTCCACATCCTCTCTTGCGTGCTCTGAATCAACAAACAGAAGCATTCAATATGTCCACCGCCGTTTGGGATCCCGATACTATTCTCCAAATCACCGACCCCTCAGGCCGAGGCATGATATGCGTCGGTCTGGCACGCCCCCACTCTCCCAGTGGACTTCGCGGTCGATGTCGGTATGATATCCTGCCTGATAGGCATAGGGCCATTCTTTCCATCTTAGATACTATGTCCAGGACACCGCCGCAGTATGTGACCAACAGGGAACTTCGGTCCATTGCTCGATTGGGATTGTGCGAGTGGCATACTCACCAGGTGGAGAAGGTTGTGGCTAACTGGGAGGATATCCTTGGATGTGTCGAGAGTATCAGCGGGACGTACAAAGGGCAAGGGGAAGAGATTATTCAAGACTCGAAGGAACTGCAGAAAGAGGTCGATGAGTGTAGAAGGTTGCTTCTAGTCAAAGGGGATTGTGAGGATGCTCTTTCTGTGGTGCTCCGTCGGCATCTTAACAGGAATGCACGATTGAAGAAGGAATTAGTGGAGAGTCAAGCGACTTCTGCTCGGCTGCAGAAGGATTTAGCGAGGATTAAGGACCAGAAAGAGGAAAATTCTAGACTCTCTGCTGAGAACTCTCGCCTATCAACTTTACTCAAGAGAGCCGAGGAAGAACAAGAACGCTGCAAGGAGCAGGCAACCAACCTGACTGCAGAATGCGAGAAACTGCGCAAGCAGAATGCAGAATTACAGGCGGATGTCAACTCCGGGAAGGACAAGTATAAAGATTTGCAAGACAGGGAACAGTCAGCAACTAGGGAACTGATCGCCGCGAGTACTCAACTGCATGAACTTCAGTCTGCCAACCTGGGTCTGGAGAACAATAAGCAGACCTTGCAGTTGGAGATCGACATCCTAGAACAGGAGGTGAAGAAATTGAACGAGAAAAATACCTCCATCTCTGCAAGTACTGCAGCTTCATTGCAGACAGTCACAAACGAGTTGTCGGCTGCCCATCAAACGAACACGGAGTTACGCACTCAGATCGACCAGCTATCGACACCGATCTGGTACAGATTAATACAATGGATTAAGCAAAAACTCACGGGTCTCTCGAATTTGCGGAACCCCGGCAAAGAAGTCTCAGATGAAGAGGAGGGAGTGGCGCTGGCCCCAACTGTCCCAGGCAGGGATGCAGGACTGGTTGACGGAGCAGAGCAAATATAGTGCTTGATACAATGAGAAGCCAAGCAATGTATTCCTTTGATATGGTTTGCAAGTTGCTCAGCTGATTCTTGAGTCTGATCATCTGTTCGTCAGTCTTTGTTTTAGGCAATGAAAGTTTGCCAGAAAGTTCGGAGGTATCGTACGCTCTTTCACGTCCTGCAGTACCAACGCCGAGTCAACTGGGCCGCTTGCTCAGGGAAACTGGATATCAGTCGCACGGGTGGCCTCTGGGCTCCATGAGGCACCGTACATTAGCATCTAACAATACTGGACACAAAGATTATGGACTTGTAGTGCATTGCATTTATCATTAATACTCATGAATAACTATATTAGAAAAACTATAAAACAAAAGCCACTTTTTAGAACCGCCCCTATCCATACTATGGCCGCCTTACTTGCGGCATCCTTTCTTGAATAAGGAATGGTTATGATTCTGTTAATTGTCCGGGTTCTTCGCTCGATACTCCCAGCATGTGCGGCAAGCATGGTTCCCATCGGGCCATTTTACCCAGGAGACACCGGCGCCCTTTCTTCGGACAACCAGGGCACTGGCATACCCTATCTGCTGGTTTTGTGCCATCAGAGTGCCAATGGCTTTCTCCCTCGTGGTTTTTGGCCCAGAAATCGCACGTATTGCACATGTATGTGCCGTCTTTCTGTGAGACCCAACGTGGGCCTTGCCCCTTTCTGGGGCAACCAGGACAAGCGCAGACCCTGTCCTCTGGTATCCGCTGCGTCCTGGCCGGTTCCTCAGTTGGGTGGTCATGTTGGCGATTGCCCTTCGCCAGCTGGTTGTAGCATCTGGAGCAGACCCTCCGGCCATCTTTCCAGCTGCGTTTGAGCCGGTCTTTGCCTGTGATGGTTGCCCCATCACAGGCACAGCGGTCAAACAACTGGTGGATATGTGGCTTCGACCCCCCAACCCCCAGGCTTTTGCATGCTGGTGGCATGCATTACACATTTTGGCCCCATTTGGTTGGGTATAGCTAACCGCATACCCAACCTTATCACAGTCACCGCATTGGCAGTGACGACGTTGGATCTCCTCATCGGAGACCGGCAGTGCTTCTGGGAAGCGACCCGTCCGCTGGTATGCCTTTTTGCACATACCGCAGAACCACCCGCCGTTGAAGGAGTGCAGTGGTCCAGTGGACGTGGTCTCCGGCACCCATGGTACCTTTATTACCTGCTTGGCAGTTGGTGCGAGCAACGTTGTACTGCCAGTTCCTCCTGGCAATTCGCCATTTCGCCATTTCTGCAGTGTAGTCCGCCAGTATGTCCTCCCAGTCGATCTCGCCCAAGACCCCGTTGATATAGGTTCAGGATTTAAACTGCACAGTTCAATTGTTCGCACGAGGAGTCCATGAGCCAAGGAAAGTTGTTCAAGTACAACCCAGAACCGCGCTTGGACTGCTACCACCGAGGACATATTTTGTGTGTCGAGCAGGTGCATAGTTACGTCCTTGGGCTAGCTGCATAGCCTGTCCTTTACTGTTGCCCCTCCGCTTTGATTCTGTTCGTCACCAGTACTCTCAGTAATGCAAGGCGGGATATTGCGGCCAACGCAGGAATGGGTTGTATAACACTTCGTATAAGTCGTCGCTGATCCACGACGGAAATCCGACCAACAGCGGCACATGCGGACTTGAACCCAGTCTATGGCAGAGCGTAAACGTTGTGTTTCAGTATTGAACCCAACGCATCAATTGAGGGCGCGACGATGTCCGCCTGCCTTTGGCCAATGCCCTGTCCTCAGCGTTTTACCATGGGAATTCCAGTTTCGATCGTAACGTTGTAGGGCTCAGAATATGGTCGCGGAGACCATCTCTGGTAACCATCATTCGAAGCCACAATGTGATTGTTATTGTCTTGAGTCTATCCTGGCAGGTTAGCTTAGATCAGAACAATAAAATGGCTGAACTTACCGAATTCCAGAACTGTCCAGACACCTGCCGATTTCCCCAGCCTCCATCCAGGGTTCAGAGATGAGCTTGTAGACAATCTCTTCAGGACAGTTCGAACTTGAAATAGTATCGGAAACATATTTGATGGATTCAATGTATTGTGCGCATTTTCCATCTTCATGGTCAATTCGGACGAGATGGTTGTAGAGTTGGTAAGAATGAGGATACGGAACGGAATTCATGGTTCTGGTCCATTGAGGTAGGGCATTCACTAGAGAAACCAGTTAAGAAGCTTACATTCACTGTTGCTAGTCTACTCAATCTTGGACAGGCTGCAGCTTGCCATTAAAAGGTGAATGTCATTCTAATCAAGCTGAGTGACATCATCTAAGTCTAAGCTCTCAACAGGTATACCGGCGAGTCAAAGTGATTTCTTCGAAAATTCTGGGTATAGTTCCCAAGCCATACTCTCCATCCCCGATTTAAAGGGGCATACATTTTATTCTCCCCAACTTACTTTGGCAAATGCATAAGACTCTCTCGCTAATGTCATAGTTAATCTCTGGAACAGTGGGTATGCAATGCAATTCTGGCCATTCCACCAGAGTCAGAAACTAGACTATGAGTATCTCAGCCTGCCCCCTATCTAGTTTTAAGAAGACGCGCCACTGCCTTAGTTTCGCGGGCAGAAATCCCATGGCAGACAATGCCGTGGTGGAATCTGTAATTAACACATAAGAAACCCATGAGCTGCTCACTTTCCTTAATCTTAAGGATGCCTCTAAGAATGAATTAGTCTTCTAGATTAATCCATAAGCTGACTGCTTTTAGCAAATATTGGATGGATACAATGTGGCTGGACAGTGTCTTACTCTGGTATCCCTCTACTTTGAGCTGGCAGCCTGCGCAGCCCTGTTCCTAGAGAATGACACCCAGGCGATGATACATGTCCCAATAGTGGATGATCTGCTAATGAAATCTCTAATTAGCTAAAGCACTACTAATAGGATCAGGCTATGTGCGATGCTCTTGACTAGGCTCATAACCAACTGCCTAGTCTTTGCCTTTGACAGTCTGGACTACATATTAACAGTGAATAAGTGGTGGTGATCGGCTGGTCATTGGATGGACAACTTGCCATGTCATTAGGCTGGACAGCACTACAGCGTGGTTTACCTCCCCTGGCAGCTGTCATCGCATTCTACGCGCCTACCAACTACAAGGACGAGTGGTGGCAGCATCCCATGCTAGACCCAGCGTCGAACTATGAATTAGCCAACCATGAAACTCCAGGGTCCACCAGTGACGCGTTGTCGATCATCCGGAACCTTATCCCGACACTAAGGTTCTTGATCTGGAGTTCTGAGATGTGCTGATGTGCTATCCTTTCGAGGAACGTCGACTAAAGGCCGGTCATATTTAGTGTTGTAGGACTTTTATTGACTCAAATATAACTCAAATACGAGTGGCTTAATCGATTAATTTCTCTATCTGGCTTTTTGAATTGTGCCACAGTTAATGGCCAGAGCACGAAACTGTATATGAAGAAATACCATATGACGGTTACTGTAGCTTGCACGGCGATCTGTAAATGGCAGCCCAACTTTAGGTTCTGTATGGGTTATGGCTAGACCCTGTTCTGACTGCATAACCCCGGTTGGACTGGACCACATGATCTTCACTAACGATTAGGCTTCAGGCTTGCATCTTGATATATGATGCTTTATTTAGCAGTCCCAGACTCACTATGAAACGGCTGTGGCGGCAGGTGGCTGCAGGCAAACTCAGTCTTAATGGGTGGGTAATCTCAAAGTGTAAACTATTGAGAATTAATCTAGGTTCTTTGATCAATCTAGGCTTCTGATCAGCAGATGACCAGAAAGAGAGTCAACTAACTAGAGGGATACCTAACCGCATGTGGTTTTCCTTTCGCCCATGGAACTGTAATGAAAGAGATTATCAAGGCTAGGCAGGCTGCGATCTCTCGCCATTTGCATTTTTAGAGATTGCAGACAAAATTAGCATGGATATGTTAATTTCTATAACGTTCCTATATCAAAAATTTGGATGGTCACTGACATCACCGTACTTGAAGAAGAGGACCACTTCTCTTTTGTTCTAGTTAACCATAAACCAGAGATGGATAATAACCACGGAGGGGAGATGGTCTATACTAGAATGTATCTCAAGGCTTCTGCGGAGAAGGCGGCTCGTAAGTCGAAATATGTTTGAAGCAAACTTGTATATAATGGGTACCAAACTTGAGTTCTAATTTCGTCCAAGGCTATCGTGCTGCGAGATCCATGGTCCAATAATATTTTGTCCAATGGCTATCGCTCATGGTCTATTTCCGGCGTTGTTTGATTATTTCGCCTTCGCAACCTAAACTCAAAAGATGAATGGAAGATTACTGGGTATCATGCCATTGCGAAGCTACATGTCTCCCTTTGGTAATCATGATATAATAAGAGTAGCATCCTAGGGTCGAACAGAATAAGTCTTCTGCCAAGAAACAGCATCTAGACAAGAATCGATTTATATTGTTACAAGAATAGTAAAGTTAAGCAGTTAGCGTGGCGGGGTCAGGCGGAAAATAAAGGCCATCAACACTGGCAGGATTCGGAGGGATGAGATGTAGACTTGGTCTAAAATCAACAGGATTCCCGATTGCATACGGGAAAGAGCTTGGCTAGTATGAGATCACATTGTCGTGTAAATGAGGGAGAAATATGTATATATAGTGTGCTAGCGTTCAGTGATCTGGTGTGTTTATGCATCGTTATTGCATTACAACCCATAAAGAAGCTTTAGTCCTTGGTACAAGGGACTTTCCAATATCAAAGTCTGGTGTATAATTTCTACCATTATGAAAGTTAATGCTACTTTGACTCTGCTGCTGCTTGGCCTGGCAGTTGCATCGCCTTCCTTGGAACCCAACGGTGAAGAGAGTCTTCAGAGTATGTCTCATTCTCTCATCTCAGGATATATGTATAACGCTATTACATAGAGCGTACACAATGCCATGGAAAAGATGGAAAACGCTGCCACCCAGACCACAAGAAACAAAATGGTTGTTGCCAGGATTTTAAATGGGTCTGTTGGGATTATGACCCTAACTGCCATGACTGGGATTGGAACCGGTGCGAGTGCCCTTCTAAAGACCATCACTGTCACCCAGACCATTGGCACGACCACGGCCGTTGCCGGTGTGATAGGGGCTGGTGGTGCGATAATCATGATCCTCACTGTGACTGGGATTGGGGAAGTTGTAAGTGCAAAGGACATTAGGTTTTGGGATATCATATTGGAAAGGTAACATGTTGGGCGTTTTTAAGAGCTATCTCTACTGGAATATTGTCTTGTCTAGGATGGATGTGAGTAAATAATAGCATTAAGTGTTCCTTTAAGTATCAGAATCACAAAAGTATTGTGAAATGTTCTCTTTCATTGTTGTCTATTCCCCTGTTATTTCTCTCATGTTTAATTGCAGATGAGAATACCTCAAATTAAAAGTTTTGATTTTTGCTGATATGGAAGTAATAGTATATAAGAATGGAATTTTGTGTTTTAATACATCTAGTCAATGACATCCATGATTACAATATTTCTATGCGGAAAAGTCATAGATATCCCATAGTGAATCCTTCACCATCTTTAATATCTAGATTAGTCTGAAAAGGTCAAAAAACGATCAATCTAACACATATTAATTAGGCAAGAATAAGGAGTATAAGACATTTCACATTAGTATTACACTGTTAGCAACATTCTTAGTAGTATTATAACCATATCTCCCGTCATACCATGTGTTGCTAGTGATTAATATAGGTAATAGCTGTAGTAGTCTGATTGGGCTTTCTAGAATCTTTAGTAGCCATTAAGGATAACTACATGATATCAATTCAACCACTCTCCTAAGCTGGAGACGGACCCGCCGCAGCTAAAGAGGAAGAGCTCTGGGGTAGCTCCTGGAATGGTTGAGTACTATGACCATAGTAACAGTGGAACTTTATAATGTCCTGGTTACCTGCATGGTTTTATAAATATACAGATTCTCATCTCACAATAGCATAAGCCTAGAGGCTATTTGCTAAGGATGTATCGTCTACATTTTCTAAGACACCCAGTTTGGTACAGTTGTGTGGCGCTGTGAGTTGTGCGCATCCGTCAAGCATTTATGCCTTCCGGATACTTTCTGTCCTAGTCGGCCTGCCTTTGAGGGAGACTGGTCAGCGAGCCAAAGACCTCATCGTTGATTGTCATTTGGGGAAGTACGTGCGGACTCGCTCTCATTATATGGTCACTATATTCCCCTGGGCATTGCGTCGACACTTTAACCTCAACTTTCTGTCTGTATGATAAAGCATAACTACATAATGCCTCGTCCTTCTATTAAGCTTGAGACTGTTAACGTAATCCACAAGCGAGCGGCCATTCCAATCGAGCGGCCACTAAACCATACACTTTTGGCCGCCCCAGAGATTAGAGGGTATTTACAACCCCTAAAACATGATTCTATTACTAAATCTAGCTATTCTTGCGCTGCGGACATTGCAATCGCTTATGGCCTATAATATGGCAGTCACTGCAGCGTGGGGGTGCCCGTTGAGGGCGTTGTTCTGCATCTACTTCCTGGATAGCTTCATCAGCCTGATTCCTCTGTTGAATGAACTCCTGCCCTTCCTGGATAGAGAATCCCTCTGCAGCTTCTATCTACCGCCTAGATCGCTTCCTATTTTAAACCTGCTTCTCATGTGCGGCACGTAGATCATGATTTTCCTTTGCAAGAAGGATAGCGTTATTCATTGCCATCTCACACCCCTTAATAAGCTGATCTAGCGCAGACTTAGTAGGGGTAGGAGGACTATATGTACGCTCCCTGAGTAGCTTTTTAAGTGTATTTTCCTGCTTCTTCAACTGCTTAAGGTTATAGGGTGTTTTTGGGATGGAATCTGTTGATCGGCTGCCTGGTGGCGTAGGGGTCTTAAGCTGGATATTAAGCTGACTAAGCACCCGTTCTGGATTCAGTAGTATTAATCCAGTTGCAGAAAAGCCACTTTTGATATTATCTGATGAAAAGATTGCTGTACGGGCCTGCGGATAGGCCTCAAGGAAGTTAAGCTTATTAATATAGTTAAAACTAACTCATGTCTTCTCCTCAATTATGCGACCATACGCGCGCTTTAGAGGAGAGAAACAGCCAACATCTAGAGGCTGAAGAAGATGTGATGAATATACAGGCATACAGAGTGGAATAATATTATTCTTACTACAGATATAATTAAATTAAGGTGTTAGATGGCTCCCATAGCCATCAAGAATTAATAGTTAATATCTACCAGTCATATGACTAGTAGTAGTAGGAATAAAGACTTTTTGAAGCCATCATAATCTAATCTGATCAGTTATCCATCCATTCTCACTAACCTCAATCCGCCAGTCTGCTGGTAAGGCTGTATCTTGATACCAGCCCTTAATATAGACCTTTCCCTTGAAGATAATGCATGGTGGAAGCACCCAGCCAGTAGAGTTAATACACTCTATAGATGTAACCCATTCGCAGTTCCCTAGCTGGATAAGGAAGGGCCATCTAAGCATCTCAGCTCTTATAACTACCTTAGCAGTAGCTACTAAGCCCATTGCGAAGCCAGTCTCATTAAAGTTATAGATATCTTCAGGCGCGATCCCATACTGCATTATAGTGATCTGGACACGATTAAACCACTCTTGGATAATCTTTGGATCTTCATATTTAGCACACTAGTAATTGTAGCGCCTAGAGAACCAGGTCTTGATCTCCTCATGCCAATTAACAAAGTTATATACCCAGTTCTTGCCTACAGTCTAAGAAATAGGTGATCCGCGCTTTGAGAGGAGAATATTAGCCATTTCTTGAACATGAGATGGCTGAGGGGCTGCTCCATGTTAATCCAAAGATAATATCCACCTAATAAGTGATTCCTCTTCATTCTGCGTCATCTTATGCCCGTTTGCGCGTGCCTCAGGTCAAAAGATATAGCCATCTAGGCGTCGTCGAAGAGTTGTGCGGGGGACATTATAAACACGTGCAGCTTCAGAAATATTGCGAATTTGATTATTTTTGATAGCAGATATTGCAAGGATAATTCTTCCCTCCTGCTCAGCTAATTCCCTTGATTTTTTATGAGAGTTTGGAGGCATGGTGACGTGCTAATTAATTCAAAATAATAAGACGCGGTCAAATCTGAAGAGGGTGGCCGCTCGATTGGAATGGCCGCTCGCTTGTGGATTACGTTACAAGGCTAGGCTGACTAATCTCTATTAAAATAGTGCCTCTATTAAATCTCTCTAAACGTTCCTTCTTGACCAGCATGGCATTGAGCTTATGATATGTACGATTGAATCACACCTACAGAAGTGGGGTATTAAGAAGTAAGATCATATGGGAAGCTCTGATACTGTGCTGCATGCTTGTATTAGGGTTCCTTTTTTCCAGGTTGGCTTAGAGGAAAAGGACGTCTTCTGTGTCCTGAAGGCTGAGGGCTTTTGTATTAGTCCTAGGACAATGAAGTCCGTCTACTGTATTGGTATAGATCAACGCCCTATGTCTTGCCCAGCGGGCTGACACTCTCCGGTTGTTATCTATTTGAAGCTGGAAATTTTGAGAATTAAACTAATTATTACTAAATTCCAGCCAGTTGTTTCTGGAGTGCTTTAGGTTCGTTAAGGATATTTGCTATTGCCATGTCCTCATGGGTAAGTTCTCTATTTTCCACACAAGCTATGCAGTATAACTGCGTCATATATGTTGGTATTTCCGTATGATCCGTGTCTACTGTTGGCCCATCTCCTGCACTTTACGCTTATGTGCTAATCTTTTGCTCCTGCGTCGATATTGCGATGTCCTTCGACAGGCCACACATTCAGCATCTTCCTCAAAGAAGTGCTCATCCCTAAAGAGGTCAGTCGCCCTAAGAGGTCACCCTCCGCAAAATGGAGATACTCACATAGCAAGCTCACACTCATGGGGAGCATCCTCTGCGCAACCAGAGCATACGCACTGCCGGTACGTACAATCATGCAGCACTCGTATGATTCGACTCCACATGTCGTACAAACTACCAGTAATGGTCGAATTGTCCCTTCCACTAGGCTGCTGGCCCTCCCTGCAAACCGAAACGCGCTCAATGAGAACAGAAGGTCCATACTTAATCCTCTCAACCTCTACCCATCCCGCTTTATTGTCGGTTTGCCAGTCGTCCTCCCGCACACAATCCCACAGTCTCCATCACGGGGCTGACGTCCTGATCAAAGCACACTACCACAGTCCCCTTCCCTCGACATCATCCCAGCATCGACAGTCCTGGGGTACAGCAAGGACAAAACTGCGATATCGCCAATCATGTCCGTAAGAATACTGCGTCCAGAACCTCTCTGTGCATGCCCACGTCGGCACAATATGCGGCAGGGACTGTTTCCCACGTAACTTCCGCACGGTTTCCTCGGCGTCTTCCTCGTTATCGGCTGTAGCTGTTGCCTCCCTGTGCATTTCCTCCAGGGCATGTTTTCTGTTAGCTTTTCAGCGCGGTGGTGCTCCATGCACTCTTCTATACTTCCCAGTGGGGAGTAGACGTCTACACGGGGCCAGTAATTGTGTAGATTTCCACAGTTTGTAATACCGTGGCTGCTGAGCAGCTTAGAACCAAGTTCCTCTGGGGTCTGTTTTAACTCGGATAGAGTATACAATTGAATGCTCTATTGGTTAATAATTATAGAATCTGGATTTCACTAAGTTTGTGATCCGAAATACCCACGAACTACCTAATCAGGAAGACGGAAACGAAAACTTGTAACACGTCAGTTGACCAGACCCATCACCAATGAAAAGAATATTTTTGAACATCTTCCAGCAGTTCCATGGATGTGCAGGTCGTTGACCCGCAGGGATATAGAGAAGATTCTTCCCCTCCCGAATCACCCACTCGCCGTCGTATCTCAGCCCGTCAATTGCAGGCCATGCATATGCCGGTTTGACTGCAGGTCGTCTGGCAGAAGACACCGAGGGAGATGCCAGCCCTTCCTCGGATGCCGGCAGCTGCGGACTGACAGAGCCATCGTCGAGGCTGGATCGTCCCAGGTCCGTCAACAGGAATTTGCCGTCGGCGAGGTTCAATCGTCCCAGGTTCGTCAACAGGAATTTGCCGTCTTCGGAGAATGAAAGCGCGTCAATTGCTTCTTCCTCGAGCTTGAAGGTATGGGTGCAGGTTCCGGTAGCAGTATCCCAGAGACATAACGTGCCGTCAACGGACAAAGAGGCCAGGATCTTGCTGTCCGGCGAGAATGCTGCCTCGATAATGTCATTCTGGTGGGGGCTGTCTAGAGTCTGTTGGACATCAGTGGCTATGTTCAGTAGGAAGATCGTCTGAAATGAGAAAGCGGCCAGGAACTTCCCATCGGGGGAGAAGTATGCATCGTGGATTGAGAAGCCCTCGAAACTGTTTCTAGAGGATCCAGTGACCGGATCCCAAAGCTGTAAGGTATTTACGCTGCCACCAGCGAGGGTAGTACCGTCTGGAGAGAAGACCACCTTGATAATGCGTTCTTCCCCGTAGTGTTTGAGAGTGTGCAGGAGTCTGCCTGTCTCAACGTCCCACACGCACACGGTGTCCTCCTGTGCAGATACAAAGATTTTGCTGTCTGGAGAAAAAGTGACGAACTTGACTTCTTTGGCGGGGTGCGTGAGTGTATGTGTGCAGACACCATCAGTGGTCCAGAGTTGCATGGTGGCACCTGTTGAAACACACAGGAGAACGGTACCATCCGGAGAGCAGGACAAGAAACTGACTGAAGCGCCAAGCCCTGGCGAGGTTTGCTCCGCTTCGCAAATTGAGCCGTCCCAGAGTCTCACAGACACGTTGCGTTCAACGGACGCGAGGTAGTTGGCGTCTGGTGAGCGGGAGACTGATCTAACGTCACTCAATCGGCCCCGAAGAATCTGCTCGCAGACGGGATCGGCCGCATCCCAGAACTGCACTTTACCATACGAATTGAGAGCGACGAACCGGCCATCTGTCGTGAACGCACTGAAGGGACGGAAATAGTCTCCATTCGATTTCTGCCCGAAAGTAGCGCTTTCGAAATCCCAAATCGCCGTTTGGGTCCACGAACCCAATGCGAGAGTCTTGCTATCCGGCGAAAACGCCGCGGACTGGATATCCTCAAGAGACTTGGGTAGTTGTTGTTTCACTGCCCCAGTAGCAATATCCCATACCTGTACTCCTCTGTCTGTGCAAATGGCAAGAAGTTTACCACCTGGCGACAATGCAATGGATGTCACCCTGTAGTCGGCGACATCCTCTAGAGTCTTGTCACATACCATGCCTGCGGTATCCCAGAGACAGATTGTTCTACCGGAAGCCACAGCAAGACATGCACCGTCCGGTGAAAAGGCCGCTGCTGAAATGGATCCATCTGGAAAGTCAAGGGTCTTTTTGCAAGCCTCGGTGGTAACATCCCAGAACCGCACTGCACTTTTCGCAACGGTAGTGAGGGTATTACCATCTGGCGAAAAGGCCACTGCGTAAACCTCATGACCCTCATCGCCCTCCTCCAGGACTCCCTCCTCCAGAACTCGCTTGCAGCCACCAGTGGCAAGGTCCCACAGCTGCACTCGCCCAGATGTAACCAAAACGAGGACCTCTCCATCCGGTGAAAAAGCGACCGAGGGGAGCTGGAATGTCGGGGATTCAAAGGCCTGCAGGCAAGCATCCCACGCGTCACCGACACCCTGGACAGACTCGATAAACGACAGCCTCTCCTTCCAGAACATGTTTCTTACGTGGCTTCTCGTGGGGCTGAGCGCGAGCGCAGTTCCGTATGTCTGTAGTGGGTACTGTTCAATGGTCGTCCGATGCCTGCGGACGAAGTTTTCAGCGTCCTTCAAGAAACTAACGAACTTGACGCCTTTGCTCGATGAAGACTGCAATCCTAGTTAGACATAGCGCATGTGAATACTGAGTTGGTCACTTTCCTTCATATAATTATGGAGTTTGATGATTGACAATTGTCCGCTGGCCAGCTTATGCATGATACTCAAGCTCTCGAGCCAGTGGAGGAAATGAACCTTGAGAAAGGAAAAGATCTCCCCGTCATCAGCGAACAATTGACAATTCTCGTCCGAGATTTGACCAACTTCGAGAAGATGATCGACCCAAAACTCGCACGAGTACCGTAGAGCAGCTAGTGGATCCGGATAAGGAATCACGATATCGTCTGATTGGTTCCCTTCCTCGATGTCGCAAATGTTGCGCTTTAGCCCCGATTCTTCTGCAGACAATCCTGCGATTGAGCGTTCACAGATGTCAGCATGGACTTGCGCGGGTCCGCACTTCTGGAGCCGTGCGTCGAAATTTGACATCAGCCATTCACGGGCTGACAGGTGCACAAGTGAGACGGTATTGTCTTGAACAGTCAAGAATGAGCCGCATTCTTTCACAATTCGGCCCGGTATGTCAGCTGGGTCCAGGCCAGCGATGACGTGCAGCTCATCGAAAGACAGGGGCCGGTAGGCAAGGCAAACAGCAGCCAAAACACTCCGGCAATACATGGGATCTTCATCTTGGCCCCTCTCTACTTGGTTCATCAGATGGTCGTATAGTGTGAGAAGATCATTAGGGCATTTCTTAATCTTTCTCATGGCATACAATCCGGGGGTGTTCTGGAGCTCTTTGAACACCAAGGCCACCCACAGGAACGTATTCATGGCTCGCTGACGAATCTCGCGAGAGATTTCCTCTTGAATCTTTGGTGTGTAGCCCGGCTTTTTAGCCAGCTTACTGAGATGGTGGTCGATGTATGCGTTGACAGCGTCTTTGCTCCGAACGTCGAGCTCGCGGATGGTGCCTGGCGTGTCCCGCTCCTTGAGCTTCTCGTAGACGTGGACCTCGGGCCGACTGGAGACTAGCCACCTGACCTTGTCTGTTGCGCGGAGGGACTCCGACATGAGCTCGATCAAATGTTCTCTTCCCGGTGTTTCCACCTCACATTCATCCAGAGCGTCGACGATCAGGTAGACGGGCGACAAGCTTTCGTCAGCCAGCATTTCTAGGAACACTCTCTTCAGCGTCCAGAAGGCTTGACTATCATTGAATCGGCTTCCGCTTCGGTACTTGGCCAGTAGATGGGAGGTGAGCTGTGGTTGTCTTTGCAGGAGTAACCAGATCAAGGATCGCAGAGCGGAAGTTGCGTCTTTGAGGTTTTGAGAGGCGCTCTGGCAGAAAAAGTATGTCAGGTTGGCCCCCAGCTGTTTCTCGAGTTCCCGAATGATGCCGATCAAGAGCATGGTCTTTCCCGTGCCAGCTGGCCCGTTGATCCACAGCAGTCGACATGGATCTTGGACATCCCAGCTTGTCCAGGCGGTGTATTGTTCCGTCCGGAGCACCCATTCGTAGGCTTCCTTCAGCAGCGTGTCCTTGCGCGCTTCAATATCCGCCATCTCGCTCTGAGCGTCGACTGCATCGAAGTCTCGAAGGCATTTTGCGGTCTCATCGTCCAAATGCATCTTCTTCTGATCATCGTTTTGCTTCCGAATATCCTGACGCATACCGCTCAGAAGCTCATTCCTCTCTTCTCCATCCTTGACGATTTTGCCAGTCATGTCCCTCATTTGGAGTGTGGTAAACTGCTTCAGGTAATTTTTGACCACGGTCTCCGCTTTCTTGACATCCTCCAAAGCTTCATCCCAGTCTTGCAAGTTGAGCATCTGACGGAGGAATTCTTCGACTTGGTTTCGGTAGTAGGAGCAGACGCTCTTCATCTGATACAAGAGCAGAGCTTTGTAGAGTTTGACAAGCGTGCTCTTCAACTGATCCCGCACTCCTTCGTAGTTCTCCTCCCCAACTTTGATGTATTCCTTTCTCAGAATGTGTTCGGACAAACTGCAATACCAATCCATGTTGGCTACCACATACTCCATGCCGACCTGGTTCGCCTGCGAGGCTTGCATCGGATTTATGAGGACCTGCGCGGGTGTCAGGGGGAAATAGTACTACAACGGACCTCTGACAAGCCATGCTCACTCACCTGTAGTACGACGCAGACGCCAGCCCATGGCAGAGCAGCCTGTGGAATATTCCCGATCGCGGTGTCAATCAAGCCCTTGGCCTTTAAGAAACCGTCGGCCACAACGCCGACCCCTTTTGCGACGGCCGATGTCCTCGCAATCTTCTGCACACCGTCTCTCACCAGCTCCTCCATCGCCAGTTGTCGTTCCACCGGGTCATCCATTTCTGCCAGGATACCGTCCGCCCCTCCATTTTCATCGGGGTGGAGGTTCTTCGCCATGACCTTCACATAAGACTTTACAAGAGCCGCCTCCTCGACATACAGGCTGTCATATGCGTCATTCCAGAGAATTTGCGATGTGGTCAGCTTCGGAGTGCGGTCAACGTTCGCCTCCGGTTGTTTTGTTGCTGGGCCGCCTTCACCGTCGTTCTTGCCAGGTTGTTGTCTCTCGGAAGACCCATTACTCAAGGCACCCGGCTTTTCGTTCCTTGTGGCAGTGGCATATTCTTCAGGCTCCTTGTCTTTGCGACTCCCACATGAGAACCAGCACCTTGGCATCGTGACAGTATGAGCCCTGGATCGATTGCTACCTTGTTAAGCGATAGTTATTGTTATTATTGGAGTGTTTGAGTAGTAATTAAGGTGGCAGGCAGCATCCCCGCTTTTACGGCGTACTTCCGATATCATCAGCAGCGGCTGAAAAGGGGCGCTGCACCTGCAGTTGAGGTGGCTGTTCACCAGACTCCCTCCCGACATCTAGACTAGATAGTAGCTGTGGAAGGTAAAGTCCAAGTCAAACAGCAAAAGCCCTGCGGCCCCAACATCAAGTGTCCTAACCTTCCTTATCCCTGACTCGGGTTTCCCTCTGCAATGAAAAAATGTTACAGGACCAGATCTCCAGTGAATATTTCGCTGACTCTGGGCTAAATCTGTAAGCTGTAATTAGCGCCTATCTTAGCGCCATGTCTCCATCGAACCAAATTACCTTCTTGGCTTACAATTATCCGTGACTAGGTCAACGCGGAACTAGGGCACGGATAGTGAGACCACGTCAAGAATTGTCTTCTCCACATTTGATGTACTAGTACGGAGTACTAATGCCCCTTTTTATGCTTTTGTCTGTCCATGGAGTTCTCTGTGTGAAGCACAGAGTCTATGTATAAATAAACTTCTGTTCTTTGTTGTATATATGGAGTACAGTAGCCCTATAAGTTTCTATAGAACCATATCTTGCATATGTTTTTACTAGTATGTGGATGTATGGTTTTAAATAAACGAAGACTAGTGTTCTTGACTATAAATTCAGCCTAGGTCCATATTTCATGCTAACATTCATCCTTGCGATTTTAAATTGATGTTTCAAAAAGCACAGAAGGCATTGTAGACATTCATTGAACGGTAGAGTTATGATTAAATGATAATTCTACACTCCATATTATTCCAGACTGCCTAACACTACCAGTCTGTATATTTGACATTATTGGACAAATGCTGCCTGGTAGCAAAGTCGTTCTCACTGCATATAAGAGCTGCGAGGTGAAGGAAATCATAGATGCGCTTTATGAGTATCCTCTCCTGTATCGCACGACATGATTATGTACCGGTAACCAATGCGAAGGTGAAGACTGGCAAAAAATCATATTCTATATCTTCTTCCTCAATGGAGGGGTAGAAAGAAGAGCAATCTTTTGTCCAACGCATATACTGCAGAGGGCCAAGGTGGCTTTGAAATTCGAGTCTGATCCTAGCGATATTGAAAACCGCTTACTATTGAACGCCGGGAGCTTCTACTTTTTGTTAAGCACAGGCGTCTTCTAAGTTGGACGTAGTTCCGCTCGATATATAGTCAATCACTCCAAAGTCTCCATATCGTAATGAATCAAAGCCATATTCTAAAGAGTCCGCCCTGGAAAGAGTAGGAATAACGTAAAAGAGTTAGAGATAGTATACCGGGATCAGAAATAGTATTAAGGAATTGGGGTAGCAAATAATGATGCTCGTAGTTGTTTATATCATCAAGACGCTGGCAGAAAATATTTCAGCAGTATGAGGTGTCAGGCAGTCTCACGATGGCTTTTCCACACACTGAATACATGCAAGTGCACGGGGGCAGAGAGATATAGTATTTACACTAGGAAGGAGCTTCAAGTAACCAATATATATCTGCATGGCTGTATATTAATCCACTGGTATCAGTCCAGTCAGGATGGAAGCCTATCACACGTTTTATTTACCTCTCCCCATCAGCAGGGTTATATACGGGAACAATGTGCTGTCTGCAGAATCTGGGCCAGTACCTGTCAGGGTGGATCTCGGATTCATCTTTCCATCCGCTGTCCAATGCACCTAGATTACTTTGCTCGGCTACAATGATTGGAGTCTATGCTAACTTGCGGCTCCTGCAGAGCATGAATTATCCCCCGGCAGTTGATCTAGAAGAACTGGATACAAGACAAGCATCAAAGGAATATTGACGTGTACTCAGCGGAAGGTTCCCGGCAAAGCTTGGTACACTTGACTCTTTGCCCTCGATCCTGTAGCAGGAGGTTTGCAATATTTTTATTACTAACTGCGTACTTGGTAGATGCCAATCGGTCAAGTCCACATCGGACGGACAGAGATATGGATCGGCACTGCCTCGGTTATTCACCCGCAGAGAAACCGCAATAGAAAGAATATGATTCGGTTCTGTTGATCACTGACAGATTGTTCCTGATGCACGTGGACGCTAGAGTGGGTTCTGCACCGTTATTACAATCGTAGTGGCTTCGGCTACACATCGTAGGCTTCTTAGCAACCTTGATTTTCTCCGTCGGAGTCCCACTCTCCCGCCTGATAGTGCATCGTGACAATGCAGATTATGTGGGCTGAGGGCGTGACCGTGTCTATCACTGTGATTGATGGACAGATTCTGTCTCTTCACATGCTTGATTAACGTTGATTTTACTTTGGAAGTATTTAAACAAAATGGCAGCCCGCTGTATCGAGCACAGTGCAGAAGCAAACTCCGACTGCAGTGGGCAATATGGTGAGAAACACTCCGGTGATCACGGCATTGTCCGTCCTTGCGACTGGCGCATTGGCTGCGGTTGATTATCCTCCTATTCCCAGCGACTTGACGACTCCCTTCCAGCAGCGCCTTGCTGTGTATGGTCCTAATGGTAAGGCCTCGACCCAACCGCGACACGTGATCTGACGAACCCAGCTGTATCAATTGGATGGAACACATACGAAAAGCTGGACCAGAGCTGCGTCCAGTATGGCACTTCCAGTAGTGCGCTGACCTCCAAGGCCTGCTCGTCCATTTCAACGACGTATGCCACCTCGCGCACGTACTCCAACGTGGTGGTGTTGACCGGCCTCACACCCGCCACCACCTACTACTACAAGATCGTCGCGGGCAACTCGACGGTCAATCATTTCCTCAGTCCGCGAACTCCAGGTGATACTACTCCGTTTAGCATGGATGTTGTCATTGATCTTGGCGTGTACGGCAAGGACGGGTACACCGTTGCTTCAAAAAAAATCAAAAAGTCGGACATCCCGTACATCCAACCCGAGCTCAACCACACCACCATCGGCCGACTGGCCAGCACAATCGATGATTTCGAGCTCATAATCCATCCGGGAGATACCGCATATGCTGACGATTGGTATCTGCGTGTCGATAATCTCCTCACTGGCAAGGATTCCTATCAGTCGATCCTGGAGCAGTTCTACAACCAGCTCGCCCCCATCGCCGGCCGCAAGCCCTACATGGCCAGCCCAGGCAACCACGAGGCAGACTGCACTGAGATCCCGTACACGTCCGGCCTCTGCCCCGAGGGCCAGCGCAACTTCACCGACTTCATGCACCGCTTCGCCAACACCATGCCCAGGTCCTTCGCCTCGTCCTCCTCCAGCACCACCGCGCAGTCCCTCGCTTCCAAGGCCAAACCCCTCTCGAACCCACCCTTCTGGTACTCCTTCGAATACGGCATGGCCCACATCGTCATGATCGACACCGAAACCGACTTCCCCGACGCCCCCGACGGCCCGGACGGCTCCGCCGGTCTCAACGGCGGGCCCTTTGGCAGCACAACCCAGCAGCTCGACTTTCTCGCCGCCGACCTCGCCAGCGTCGACCGCACCGTCACCCCCTGGGTGATCGTCGCCGGCCACCGACCCTGGTACACCACCGGCGGCAGCGGCTGCGCGCCCTGCCAAGCCGCCTTCGAAGGCCTGCTATACAAATACGGCGTGGACCTCGGTGTCTTCGGACACGTGCACAACTCGCAGCGCTTCCTGCCTGTTGTGAATGGCACCGCCGACCCCAAGGGGATGAACGACCCCTCCGCGCCGATGTACATCGTTGCCGGCGGGGCGGGCAACATCGAGGGGTTGAGCAGTGTGGGCTCGAAACCGGCGTATACCGCCTTTGCATACGATGCTGACTATTCCTATGCGACGGTGCGGTTTCTGAATCGCACGAGCTTGCAGGTGGATTTCATCCGGTCGAATACCGGGGAGGTGCTGGATTCGAGTACGTTGTATAAGAGTCATAAGACGCGGTTTGTGGTGCAGTAGTTTTTATTTGCTCTGCTCGCTTCTCTTGCAGTGAGGATAATGTATATACAATGCAATGCGATGCGGTGGGTAAGGTAGAATAGTCAGCGACCAGTAATGTACATGAGACCTGCTCAGTTTGTCGGTCTTGTCTTGTGCCTTTGTCCATCCGCCAATAGTCATTATGTCGTGCGCTAGTCTCTAGTGTACTGGCGCTGCGTGTGCTCCAGGCACAGTCTGATCCAGTCGGTCAAAACTCGGTTGAATGTATGCGATCGAAGGTAGATGGTGGGTATATCGTGTGGTCAAGCGGGTAATGGCAAGGGAGAGGCTATTTGTCCACGTTCCAACGACGCGCATCCTCCGCCTCGCGCGCGTCTTGTTTCTTATTCCGGTAAAGGAGGTAGCAGCATACGCAGATGGCAATTAGGACAAGTCTGTCAATAGAAAAATCAAATCAGTACAGAGAACATTTTCTTCAGCTTAGAGCAAGTGAACGTACATTCCCACGATAATCCCCGGCACCCCTGTCTTGAGGAAATCGCTGACGGGTTTCTCGCAATTGGCAGAATTGACACTCGCATCGCAATCTCTCCGTAATAATATCGCCATTTTTCGGTAACACTTGACGCTGTGCTCTGCTGCTGTGCTATTGTACTGTTGTGCTGTGATGCAAATGCAGATGCGATCGTCAAGATTGACAACGGCCGACAAGGGAAAAGAACCAGAACCAGAAGATCCAAAAAAGGGGTAGACGGGTTTAAAACCAATGATGGCAGGCTGCGAAACAGGGTCGTAAACTGAAACCAGCATCCCTTGAGGCGAGACATTCTGCTACAAGGACACCAATAAAAACCGGCCAAAAACGCCGGTTGCATCGCCCGTCCACTTCGCGCGGCGCTAAGGAAGGGCTATGCTCCCCATAATTTATTACCGCCGACTATTATTATCTATTTGCGTCTACTCGGAGTAGACAAAGTGCGCTGCGGTACGGTTACCTTTTGGGGTTGGATTGATCATGTTTCATTACCACCAGAACCGGCCACAACTGCAACATCGCCCCTCCCACCATCAAACAGCCCGCAAACACCTGCGCCTTCAGGAAATTTGCCTGCGATAAATCCACCAACGCCCCCGCGATGGGCGTCCCCACCAGCGATCCAAACGAACTGATCCCCCACATCATCCCCATGCGCGTCCCCAGGTAATTCGGGTCTGGACACAGCGCCGGATGCCCGATGATCGCCGTCGGGGCCGTCACCAGCACCCCGCTGAGGAACCCCCAGTAGCAGGCCCAGACGATGAAGCCGGGAAGATTGGTCGCTGCGATCCAGGTGAACATGGCGAGTGCGGAACCGGCGACGCCGAGGCAGAGGATGGCGATCGGGGGATGTACGCGCTAAGGAGGTAGGGGACGACGCGGCCGAAGGCGGAGGCGCCGTTGATGATGGCGACCATGTAGAAGGAGAGGCTGCGGGTGGTGTGCAGCTGGGTGCGGGCGTACGAGGGGACGTAGAAGAGCGGGATGTAGTAGGCGAGCATGACGCAGGTGAGGGAGGTCGAGAAGAGCATGAAGGGGAGGTCGGTGAAGGCGCGCCATTCGATCATGCTGCGCGCGCGGGTCTTTTTGCCTGGTTTGCGGCAGAGGATGAGGATGCTGATGAGCCCTAAAAACAGATTGATGAAGCCGATGCTGCGGACTGTCCAGGGGAAGCCGATGCGCGGTTGCAGTTGCCGGAACATGATGGGGAAGACGACGCTGCCGACGCTGGAGCCGATGGCTGCACAGCCGATTGCGATGGGTCGTTTCGTTGTGAAGTTGCTCGAGATGACTACCATTGCCGGGATGTAGGCGATGCCGCCGCCGATACCGACGCAGAAGCCTTGCGCAAGGAGGATCTGACAGGGTTAGCCAGGGGGGCTAGGTTGACGAGGAGGATGACCTACCTGGTAGTACTGCGTGGCCAGACTGGTCATCATAATCCCAAAGACGACGAGTATCATTCCAACAGTGATCAGAACCCGCAGATAACCCGAATCAACCAGCGGACCGGTCACGACGCCAACCATGACGATCAATGTGGCCTGCACACTGCCCACCCAGGAAATGGACGACGGCGACTGCGATGTGAGCAGTACCGTCTGATAATACTCTTGGAATGCCCCATACGAAGCAAGCAGTCCCCTGTTCATCAGCTAGGGTCCATCGTGACGGGTACTCGTAGACTCACCATGAATTTACAAACACACAGAACCCAGCGAGTACACTGAGCCACGCTTGTAGTCCCCCGTTTGAAACCGGTGCCACTGGCTCCACGACCTCAACACCATCTTGTCCTTGTACTGGGGCAGGTTCATCCTGATATAGTGAAGGAGGATCCGTCCCTTCGATTGTCCCCATGCCGCTTGTCGAATTCCTTTTCAGGACGCATGAGGACCCCAACTAGGGAATATGGAGAAGCTGACATTATAAAGGGTAATCGGGGGAGGACCCCGACTCCCCGCAGTGGAGTTTTGGAGTTTGCCGTTTTCCCGTGGGGTAATGTTGACCATGACTAATGAGGGCCACGGCTCAAGGATGGCATTTTCATATACCTGGCAGTATAAATCTGATCATTGCCTTGATTGTAGAATCGATGGCAGTAGACAATAGCAGGAATGAATAGTGCTGGATGAGATTTCTACTATGCAGCGTAGATGTGACAGCGGCACATTGCATCTGAGGATTTGCTAGAAAGACCATCCTGCCGGCGCTACCCGCACGGAACCGCTTTCGGAGGGTCCCGAAATCGGGTTTTGTAGTAGAAATCGATAGTTCCACTTGCAACGGCGATAGCTGTGAGTGAATCTGCATAGGGGCTGTGTAGGGAAATTTGGCTTATTTCAGGACCACACAGTATCCTTATACTCTCCAAGCAAGCGCCGGACGGCGGTTTCTCGGTATCTGTTTCATCGTCCCAGATTAGCTATTCTCGACGAGGATTAGCCTTGGTCATTTGTGGACTTGTGTTTCTACAAAAAAGGTATAGACACAAAACGAAGCTCCATCAATCAATGTAATTCATATCGAACTGTGGATGAAGACGCCAGTTCCGAGCGCGGATTTGAGGAGGCAAGTTCCACCGGGTCCTGACGGTCTGACATACATCTCTGACAATGGCCGAGTGTGATTCATTCTCCGCTCTCGATGCCGTCGTAGGATATAAAAGAATACACCTGCTCCTACGGCAAAGGCACTAGAGGAACACTTACTCCAATCCCGATCTTTGCCTTGTTCGAGTCCAGATTGACCCGAGTGACCCCATCGAACTTGCTGGGGCAACGTCGAAGTTGAATCAAATGAAGATGATGTCGATGTCTGTAACACACTTGTCGACTTGGGAAGGTCGGACGCCTCCCAAATGAGCGGAATCCTATCGGCGTAGACAGTTAGGGGTGTCGGGAGGGTACTGGTGGCTATAATACCAGATGCCGCCAGTGTGACAGTCTCCTTTTGCAGGGAGGACACCGCTGCATTAATGGCCGCCGGCGTAGTAGCCATACTTCTAGTCAAGTAAGCATACATATAACGTCAAGTTCTGTCTGACGCGCTTACAAAGGACAGCAAATCGCTCCACTGGTGCTACTTGTTATCTCAATTCCATTCCATGATTCGGATAATTGACCCGCTGTAGCCCATCCACCGGGGTAGTACAGTCCCGGAGAATCTATTTGACTATCAGTAAGCTCATCAGTGCATTTCTTCAGACAAGTTGACATACAGCAGTATGTCCCCCAGTATGTAGGAGAAAGAAGCAGCAATCTTAGCATCGTGCCCGTTGGAGAACATGTTTGATCAGGTCCATCAAACCAGTGCCCATAATACATAGTTGTTTATGGTATCCCATTCACCTCGTAGACAGCTGTCAATAAAGTCTGCAGGCAAGCAGTTGGGGGAATAAAAAGAGTGGTTAGTGCCCTCAGTTAAAGTAGCTCGCCATGCTGACCGATGTCGCCATTTTGAGGATTTCAGTCTATGACATCTTCATAATGACAAACGAACAGGATGGATTTGGACATTTAGCCATTCTAGTTCTCACTGTTGCACTGTGGGATGCGACAATGGCATACATAGCGCTGTGATGGACGCTTAGATCTCTCATCTAAGATTGGAGAGACAAATAACATGCGGTTAGGCAGCCCACGACCTTCGGAATTCTGAGTTATAACCAATTAGAGTATTGGTTTATGGGTGGCCTGAGTTAAAGCCTTCTGGGTGATCTTTGATCATCTTGAGCTTCATGGGTGTCGATCTCCGGAAATATATATAAGCCCACTCGGGATAGGACGACCCATCAACACGCTTGAAAGAGACATATTCTCTTGTCGCTCCTTTTATGAGACAAGCAATAACCGTAATCTGGACAAAATGAAATACTGATGCGGCGATGCCTGCAGTAAAGTATTGTGCCAAAAGGTGGATGATTCCTCGTATTCATGCCACGTGATCGCCGACGAGGCAGATCGTGGCGATGCTGAACTGGACCAGAATCATCCAGTCTACCTTCTCAACATCGACAACAATATGGTTGCAACCCAGGTTATGACCTCGTCTTCTGTCGATATCCGCTCATGGCAGACCGTGTTCCGTCTCCCGCCACCTGACCGACCTCAGTCACCACCGTATCATGCCCGACGACCACATAAAAAGTCCCGCACAGGCTGCGTCACCTGTAAGCGGCGGAGAGTAAAAGTAAGCTTCAACCGCAGAGTGTGAATGTATACTCATAGGAACGTATGCAGTGCGACGAAACTAGGCCTTTTTGCAGGCGATGCGAGAAGCTGGGTGCTCCTTGTAGCTATGGTGGTTCTCCCCAAAGTCAGGCCCTTCAGAAGATGGAAGAACCAGACGGCACCGTGTTCTCTCTGTCGCTAAAGGATCTGGAATCGATGGTCAACCAGGCTTTGGCGACAGACTCGGACTGTCTTGAGATTGGCGCACTCAAAACGGCCAATGACACTCGGCCCATAACGGTCGTAGCGTTTCAGCACTTTATGAACTATTCAACAGACGCCGTTGGCCATCCTTCCATTCGACATGTCATGAAGAGCGATATGATTCGCGTCGCCTTTGGGGTGAGTCCCTTATCTACAGGAATACTTGCAAGCAGTACTGATGTGTCTAGTGTCCCCATCTAATGTACACAATACTAGGCGTCGGCAGCCTGCATCTCAGCCGGATCCGTCCGCAGAATCAAACCTGGCGACTCGCAGAAATCTACTTTTGGCAGCAGGCAATCAAGGCATATCAAGCCGCGCTATCATCAAAGGTCTCCCCGCAAAATGTGGACGCTCTGCTCTCAACCTGCATGTTCATGGGCATTACGTCCGTCTGCCCCGATCGCTTCGAACCTACCGACTCGTGGGTTCTAACGAACGCACCGGGAGCAATGAACTGGCTTTGCCTGCAGAGCGGCATCCGCACCATCATCCAGCTCGCTGGGCCGTACATACAGTCTAGCATCTGGGCATCGGCATTCCAGCAGACTCACAAGGAAGAAGTACAGTTGTACGAGGAGGGTGTCACCCAGGGCCGCGAGGGTCTTGACCCTGACCTGGCCGATTTATGTGGGGTCGATGACTCGACCACCGCATCGATGAATCCGTACTATGAGCCTCTTCGGCTGCTGGCTGCCACATCCCACTTGGAAAAGAACCTGAAAAATGCAGCTCAATGCGCGTCTTTCATGGGCAGACTGGAACATAATTTCCTTGCACTCCTGAGGGAGAGAGACCCGCCCGCGCTGTTGATCCTGGCGCAGTGGATGGGTCGCATGTGTACGCTGTCCGAATGGCAGCCCTGGGTAGAGGGCGGATCCGCGGCGAATGCAAGGCTATCTGCATGTATCTAGAGCACAGCGCCGACCCCCGGATTCAGAGGCTGCTTCGCTTCCCGGCAAGCGCCTGCGGATACAACTTGGCATATGCTTAATACCAACTCTATTCTGTATCCAACCCTCTGCATCTACTCCTTGACCGCAATCTCAAGAACCTCCGCCAACGAATCCACCGCATAATCCGGCCCGAACGATTCACACTCCTCCTTATCGCCCTGCCCAAACCGACACCAACATCCCCTCGCCGCGATATTGCGCGCATACTTCAGATCCGTAATCGTATCCCCAACCATCAGCACCCTGCTAGAGTCTAGCTCAAATCCCTCCCCGTATACCCCCTTCAACCGCGGCAAGAGCACCTCCGTGAAACTCGCCGCGTCCGGCTTCCTCTTCGCCCCCGGCGTCCCATCCCCGATGATCAGCATCTCGGGAACAAACTCCGCTAGCACCATTCGCTCCAACGCCGTCTTAATCGCTGGAACGGCCTTATTACTCACGATCGCGATGGGGATCCCTCGCGAATGAAGTCCCGCAAGTAGCTCACGCAGACCCGGGAACGGTTTCGTGAATTTCTCCTCGTGCGCCGCGTAGAGGGAGCGGTAGGTCGCGACCCATTCTTCCTCGTTGAAGGTTGATGGATCGGGGTGGAGCGCGCGGAAGGTCTCTGGTAGCCCGGCGCCGGTGGCCATCAGCCGGCGGGCTTTGGCATAGGGGATTTCGCAGGTGGGGAGGAGGGTGGTGAAGGTCAGGGTTGCGGCGTGTTGGATTGCTTCGCGGGTGTCGAAGATTGTGCCATCGAAGTCGAGGATGACGAGGTTGGTCATTGTACTCCGTAGTATTAGGGATCGTGTTAGATGGAATGGGGATGATGCTGAAGATGAGATGTTTATCTGGGAAGATGTGAGTCAAAAGGTGGGCTGTTTGACGATCATTTACGTCCAGGGGCCGAGGCTATTTTAAGATAGTGGATCCTCGGCATTTCCCCGATATAAATAGCAGATCACGTCCGTGATATTTGTTATAGCAATGCCTATGTCATCTTATTCGAAAATACTAAAAAGGATCCCGTATGAAGTCAGAAAAAAGCGCGGAATTGTCTGATATGCTTTCATAACTAATGAGTTTCACACCGGCCAAGAAAACTCATCCTCCACCCCATCTCAGATTGGGGGTACAGGATATCTCCTCAACAATCGGCAGCTCATTGAACCATACTGAATCTATATGCCGTTGGGAAACACCTCTTCATGGATATCATCGATGAGAACCACTAGCAGGAGCCAGATCCGAAGTCTTCATCATGCCTGTTTTCGTAACGGGCATCGGTTTTCTTGTCATATTGGTATTTCATCAGGGGAAGCGAAGGGTAGTTCAGGGAGTTCTGGCTGCACGATTGCAAGGTATCTTTATCCCATAACTTTGTAGTTGAACAATCATGTACCAGACTGATTCAGTCTCCTGAGTGTGATAGTTATTCCATACGCCGGAACCCCCCACAGTTCGGGAGTATGGCCCTTGAAAGCAACTCCGTCTTCAGGTGTCGGTCTGCCTCGACGAGGTCAAAGCCTCTCCTGGCCACAATGGTGATAAAGACTAACCAGATGGCAGACGTTTCCTTGGCTTGGCAAGTCGTATTATTTAGGATCGAGTGTCGTAATCCTCACTGGCCGTACTGTCTTTCTGCTTTCTGAATGGTGCCATGCTCGTGTGGATGATTAGAATCAAAATGTTTCTTGTGGCTATCTCATCTTCCCCATGGGTTCTTCTGAAGCTGGAGCGCCCGAAGAGATGAAAGGCCTCTTCTCCCAGAGTCCATGGCCTAGAAGTCAAGCTTACAAGTCAAGTCTAATAAATATAAGTGTATAAAGCTACCTTATATGAGTCAGAAAGGGTATTTGTCGGTCCACCTACAATGCTGTGGATACGTCAAGGCACCCCAGGCTCAACAGCACAGTTATACAATCTGACACACAGATATACCCAGTGCTCTGACAGATATGGCGGAGTTAAACTCGCTATGGAACCGTGGTACAAGAATAAGCATAATGCGAATCTCCTCAAGGGAACAACAATGCTGGTAACCCCTAGTGAACATGCCTTCAATTCTCATCAAGACGAAACCATTCATGTTCTAGAACTTCTGCCGCCGTCAACCGCCGGCTAGGCTCATATTGTAAAATCTTCTTCAAGAGGTTCACCAATTGTTCAATGTCATCGGGGGGAATCTCTCTGCTAAACTCTTCGCCTGGCCCCAGGTCCCAATAATGCAATCCTCGTCGTAGCGCCAAGTCTATCGACGGGCGCTCGACCGAGAGGTCCGATTGTTCCTTGGCCAACGCGTCAACCGGGACCGCTCGACCAAGTGAGTCCGTTTCATCTTTGAAGAACTCCTTCCTGTGCTTCCAAGTCGTAGACCACCACGGCTCTGGCAGTGCGCCAAGCATCTCAACCATGTGAAAGAGGTGACTGTCGTCATCGTCGTCAAACATGTCGAAGAGTTTTCTGCCCGTACGTATCTCGAAGAGGGTGCAGCCGAGTGCCCAGAGGTCACTTCCGAATCCTGGTGTATTCTCTAAGACAAGTTCGGGGGAACGATAACTCTCAGGGATACCAAGCTCCTCCGGTGGGTTTGTGACATCGTAAGACTCTCCGAAGTCGATCAGAAGGATCTCATCTACAACGTACGGCAGCGGAACATTGCGAAACTTGACCGGGCGGACGAGATATTTGGGCGCGGTTGGATCAGAGGGAGTCTCCCCTGACTCAGTGAAAACTTCTACCTTAACGGGCTCTCCCAGGATTTTGAGTACTTCATCCTCTGGTAATCCGTCAAGGCCCTCAACTTTCAGGAGAATATTTGACGGCGTGAAGTCTGCTGCCAGTCAGTTCCAACCATGCAGTGTGGCTTGTGGGAACTTCGGGAACTTACCTCCGTGACATATACCATGACTATGCAATGCGGCCATGACCTCTGTAGCTTGTCGAGCCATTTTCCGCAAGCTTCGGTCCGGGTCTTCAAATTGTTGAGCTATAAGAGAGACACGCGGTCCCGCCACAGGATACACGAAGCAAAGGTGTGACCCGTTTGGGCCTTCAATTCGAAACTGGTCGAACGGAAGGCAGATGTGCTTTTGTAACCCGACTGCTCGAAGTCGTTCCACTCGAAGCTCCGGGCAGTCGTCTTTAGAGTAATCGGCCATAAGAATCTTCAGCGCCACATAATGGGGTACGCCGTTGCGCAGGATCTGACACAACCAAACGTTGGCGAACCCCCCACTGCCTAGCTTGTGAATGACTCGGTATTCACCTTCTCGACCTAGATGATCGCCAAGCTGAACAACATGATGACCACCAGGCTCGTAATCCCAGATTTTCTCCAGCCCGAATGGGGCCATATCGATGTACAAACCATTGAATGGACGCTCGTCATACTCTTCCTCCGACTGAGAGAAGATCGGAGATTCAGGCGCGTAGTCTTCGTGGTCCGACATTGTGAGCATAGATCTTCGAACTGTTGAGGGCATGAGACACCGGTCTCCTAGAATGTGGAAGGCCAGGAGTCAAATTGCGAATTGACAATGTCCAATTCATCTTCCACATAGATACCACATAAACTGGCGACTTTATAGTGGTGTTCAACAAGTAGTGGAGAGGCGGGGCAATGGCAGAGGATAATCGATATAGGACCACACACTGAATTGGCGCCGGGGTATAGAACGAAGCGCTACACCGTCCAATCAAAGAACTAAGCAGGAAGGGCCATTGTTTGACATACGGAATATATCAATCGATCGTAGGACAACAGGGACATGGATCCGTGGAAGACGCTGCTACGCTCCTGCAAACTCACACGTCACTATCAGCATGGGCAGCTCCACACAGATTTATGCTCATGAACAGCATTCAAACCTTGGCACATCAGAACACATAGGATTGTTTCTGTCGCACTGGCAAGCCGACATGAACGGCGCATACCTCTAGGAAGCTCTGACCCAGAGGTCTAGGACGCAAGAACCAGGCAACGGCTTCAGTTCTGTTGGGACTCCTCTGATTTGATTGCATAGGCCGTTGAAACTCATAGCTGTTTGTTGGACATTGTGTTCTCCGTATCTGTATTTCCTGTTGCTTTTATTGTCTTGCCTTTGCCAGAGTGGTGTTCATAGGCTATATCGAATCACTGCACAGTCCGATGTGTATTTGTCAAATCGCATACTTGTTTCCTGAAATTATTACCTTATTTTGGTGTGACAGACTTAATTCAGTTAGGGACTTCGAGGCGCTGATATTGATTCGTCAATGCTAAAAGATCGTGCGGATTGCGACATTGACCCTAGTGGTAGACCCCTCATGCTACCATCATACTCTGCAATCATGCAATCCCCTTGGCAAGTAAACACCTTGATTTTATTGGAGTCTTCAGAGGGGATGCCAAGTGCATATTCGTAGAATTGATATCGTTCAACTAATAATCAGCATTTAGGTCGCATTGCCGGGAGCTGCGAAGCAGACCAACAAATATTGGGCGGAGTATAAAGACAAATTAAGATGGGCTTTACACACATAAGGACATTCTACTTGACAGTCTAAATTCTCTGCCAATGCTAGGCGGGCCGTCCTATCGTTATCTGAGTTCATAGAAATTTTATCAGCTTCGGTCGTACAGCATCACGTCATTGTGCCAGGTGATGAGCACCCTATGTTACACTCATCAGGGGATAAATAGTTCGACCTCCTACTCCATTTTCTGAATAGCACTCACTGGTCTACCCTCTAGTTTACTAATCCATCCAAAATGGGGTTCGAACCCAAGTCCGAGCAAAATGGTCAATCTGATGCTTCGAGCTTGAGCAGTGCTGACCTGCAATACACTGCTCAGGCCGGTGCCAACTCCTCTTTGCCAACCTATCAAGAGGCCAGCGGTGCGCCGGTCGAAGTCGTTTCACCGTTGGGATACTCGGTCGGTTGGATTACAGTCATCTTCCTCAATCTCAGCAAGATGATCGGAACTGGTGTCTTTTCCACCCGTATGTCCTCCGTCTCGTGTGATCCAGTTCCTGGACTGACAGCTGCAGCATCAACCGTCCTCAAAGGTGCCGGGTCCGTTGGCCTGGCATTGTTCTACTGGGTCATTGGATTCTTCATGGCCGGTAGCTCGCTCGCCGTCTATCTGGAGTTTGCCTCGTACTTTCCCAGTCGGTCCGGGTCGGAGGTGGTTTATCTCGAACAGGCGTATCCGCGGCCAAAGTATTTTCTTCCGACTGTCTTTGCAATGCAGTCGGTTTTGTTCTCGTTTAGTAGTAGTAATGCGATTGGTATGTGCATCAGTTCCTGGGTCGATCATATCTGACCGATCAGTCCTCGCGCAGTATCTTTTCCGACTAGCGGAGGCGCAATCCACGCCGTGGAAGCTCAAGGGTGTTGCGGTGGCTTCATATAGCGTTGCAGTGCTAGGTGAGATCACATATACTGACAATATTAAGGGTGCTAACGGTATTAGTCCTGGCATTCAACACGAAATGGTCGCTGCGTTTCGCCAACGCCATTGGCTTCGTCAAACTCGTCACATTGATCTTGTATGTTTATCCGATTCCATAAAAGAAACAAAGCTCACTGGTTAGCATCGGTATCACCGGCCTAGTTGTCCTTGGGGGCCACACTAAGATCGAAGATCCCAAGGCCAACTTTCGCGACGCCTTTGAGGGTAGCTCCTCTGCCTCAGTGTACGGTGCGACGAATGCACTGGTCAAGGTAGCCTTCTCGTACGCGGGATTCGAGAATGCATTCAACGTGGTGAATGAAGTCAAGGTATGTCATGTTCGAGCTTCGGATATTCAGTACTCATTCCAGCAGAACCCAGTCAAAACATTACGGTGGAGCGCGCCGCTGTCCCTCCTGCTGGTAGCAACCCTCTACATGCTCGCCAACATCGCCTATTTCTCCGCCGCAACAAAGGAAGAGATTCTCGGCTCAAAGGTCGTAGCGGCAAGTATCTTCTTCCAGAAAGTCTTTGGGACGAGCAGTGCGTCACGAGCCCTGAACTTTCTCATCTGTCTCAGCGCATTCGGGAATCTGCTTGCCGTTCTCATCGGGCAGTCCCGTCTTCTCAGAGAATGCGGAAGGTAGGTCTCTAAATAGCACGACTGAGCGCCGTCGCTAACAAGACCAGACAAGGAGTCCTCCCATTCACCAAGTTCTGGACCTCGACTCGTCCATTCGGAACACCGCTTGGCCCGTACGCGCTGAAATGGGCCTTGACTGTTCTCATGATTCTAGCTCCGCCAGCCGGTGACGCCTTCAATTTTGGTGGGTTCCCCCCTTGAAGATATGAAGGCTATGCTGACGTCGCAGTCGTCGATCTGGGCGTCTACCCCTCCAACGCCTTCGCCTTATTCCTCGCCATTGGACTATTGCTTACCCGTCGTCACCGCAAGCGCCACAACATCCCGCCTTCAGGGTATAAGGCGTGGGACGTGGTGGTCGGCTTCTCCATCCTCTCAAACCTGTACATGGTTGTCGCGCCATGGTATCCGCCAACGACGGGGGCCAACGGAGGGGATGTGAGTTTCTGGTATGCGACGTACTGCGCCGTGGGCTTGGGAATGTAAGTTTCTTCTCTATCGTGCCGAGTGCAATGCTAATGACGTAGTATTGGGCTCTGTGGGGTGTATTACTACGTCTATATCAAGGTGTTGCCGCGGCTGGGTGGGTATACGTTCCGGCAGGTTATCCTGCAGATGGAGGATGGGGCGACGGCGCATAAATTGGTCAAGGTTCCGAATGAGCAATTGAGGGCTTGGGATGCGGAGCATGATGCTACGGGTAGAGAGCGAGGCAAGGACGAGGCTGTTAGTACGGCTGTCGATTTCAAGCACGATGGCACATAGTTACCGTTGTCATTATATACATACGATTCGATCCCTTCTATAAATGTGAATGGGTCTCTCCCCAGTCGGCAGGTAACTTCAAATCCTTGGGCAAACTATACTCCCCCGACAACTCCCCGGACTCGTACAACGCAGATCACACCGTCCGTACAACCGACAATAACACTCATCGGCCCTTGGGCACGCCTGCTCATTCAACCGCCCCAAATCCACCCCATTCCCAGCCCCAGCCCCAGCCCCAGCCCCAGCCCCCAGATCAATAAACAGAATATGCCAAATATACGACAAAATCCGCCCAGCAACCCTATCATCCGGCGGAGCCGCTCCCCTTCGCCGCGAAGAACCAGCCCCCTTTCCATCAAGCAACCACTGCCGCAACGCAACATACTCCCCCCGCGAATGCCGCCAGATATTCTTCCTCGCGACAACAAACTGCGCACAGCACTGCGACCGCACCGCATCATTCCGCCCGAGCTTCGCAGCAAGGTACCCTCCCCCTCATCCCCACCAAACAACACCCCAGCGCCGCCGGCAGCGCCGTATCCGACGCCGCGCGCGCACTCCACGGCTCAAGGACAGACTGTACGCGATTCTCGAGACTCCCCTGCGGCACGGCCGATGCGGCGCACGTGCTCACGCTCCAGTCGCAGCGGAGATTATGGTACCCGTGTTGTTCCAGCGCGGCGGGGATATTGAGCGAGGCGAGGAGGGCGGCGTTATCGTAGGCCGGGTGATCGTTGTGCCAGGCGAAGCGGGAGCCGTGTACGAAGACGGCCCCTGCGGGTGGGATGGTGTCGTAGTTGTCTATCAGGAAGGTGAGATAGGCCATTGCTTCGTGGCCGCGGTTCGCGGGGACTTGGAGCGTGGATGCGGTGGGGTTGGGACCGTCGACGGTATAGATGCAGAGGTGGTAGGTTTTGGAGAGGGGGTCGAGCCAGGAGGGATCACCGTCTGCTGTGACGCGGGAGACCACCAGGGCTGGTTTGGTGGTTTTGCTTAGGCCGGGGCATCTTCCGCGTGAGGGCGGGATGGGCGAGGAGGATTTGTAGCGGATGTGCGTCCATGGGAAGGTCTTGATTGTGGAGGAGGGGCGGTTGAGGAAGAGGAGGAGGAAGATACCGCCCAGGACGGTGAGGTGGAAGAGAGCGCGCAGTGTTTTGCGTCTCATCGGGGGCAATCTCTATCGTATATCGTCCATTGTATGAGGTTTGGGAGGATGTGACTGTTGGGATATTCTCATCCGGGCGATCCGCGGTCAGTGAACCAGAAGGAATGCACCGCCTCATTCCAGCGTTCGTCTACACAGGGAGGATCCCACAGAAAAAAGGCGTAAAACATCGATCAGACGGACGGATTCGTCAACCACAAAACCAGAGAAATCAAAGCATAATCGTTTCTATGCCTACTTCTTCTATTCAAGGGTCCATCTGATCAACTCTTAGCTTGGACAAGCTCATGCGGAGCCTCGACAAGCCACACAGCTTCGCTCTGATTGGTTTATCACCATGCAGAGAGCTTGGCATTACCTTATCGGGTTAGTAATGTCTAGGCATGGAATACTTCTAGAAGCCTGCCCAATTAGGAATGTGCACTATTTGTATCAAAGTGCTCTAGATGATGTATTTTTGTCTAACCTCTATTAAGACACACAGGATGGGTTCAAAACTTTGTTTTGAGTTGCCAACCCCCTGCAACACCCCTGGCAATCACAAACGCCACAAATGACGCCAGATACAACACCCCTCCAAACACAATCAATCCCCAGTACTCCCCATGGTTATACTCCTGGATCGCACCCGCGATAGGAATCGCCGTCAACGTCCCTATACTCACCAGCGTAAAGGTTGTCCCGTTGCGCTTGCCATAGTCCTCCGTCCGGCAAACCTGCGAGATACACACGGGTGTTAAACTAATCGCCGCACCGCTCCAGAACCCGAAGCAGGTCGCGTAGGCGATGATGGCGCCGTCATTATCCCCGGCGGTATACCACAGCGCCAGGGTCAATACGGCGCATACTAATGCGGTCAGCGACATGATGTTGAATCGGCCGACGCGGTCAGCAAGCAACCCGGGCAACGCGCGGCCGGGGATCGCGCCGACGTTCAGGAACACGCTCAGCTTGTAGGCGAGGGACGAGTCCATGCCGGCGTGGAGTCCGTACGACGAGATGTAGGTGTATGGTATGAAGACGGCAAACTCCACTAGCCAGACTGCGAGCGTGGTGGCTGCGTACTTGGGCTCACGGAGGGCTTTGAAGTCGACTGCCATTCCGGCTTGATGATTGGGTGGGAGTCGGGTGCGAAGCAAAAGGCAGGCGAGCGCGCATAGCACGAAGCAGATGATTCCGATGATACGCAGTGCCCAGGTGAACCCGAGCGTAGGGCCGAGGTAGAGAATGATCAAAGGGAAGAAGACTCCGCCCAGTCCGCCGGCGGTGCAGGCTATCCCTGTGGCTAGACCACGACGGACGTTGAACCAGTGGCCGACGGCTGCGATGGCTGGTGTGAAGAGGCAGCAGGAGGAGATGCCGCCAAGAACGCTGAAGGAAAGGAAGATTTGGTAGTATTCTGTGGTTGTTTGTCAGCTTGCCTGATACGAGACTGGAAGGCAGGGACGTACCTGTACTCTCGCTGAAGAAGAAAACGGCCAACACAATGCCAATCGAACCCGGCAGGACAACTGGAAGCACGCCTCGACTGTCAAAGATGGGGCCTGTAACTATTAGAAAGGGCCAAACGCGAGGGCAGGGCCTACATACCAACTTGCGCACTGCCAAAGTATAAGAAGAAACTGAACACTCCAAAAATCCATCCAACGCTCGAGGGAGAGTATGAGGCAAGTTGATGCTCCGCTGTCCATGCATGCAGCACCCCTATTGTATTCAAAAGACCCATAGATGGGATCATTGCACACCATGATCCGACTACTACCAGCCAGGCCCGAAGGCCCCCTCGGGAAACTTCTCGTCAATGGAATCATTAGAATATTGTCCTTCTCTTTGGATATGGGGCCTGTACAGGCTGTTTGGTTGTTTTTCGACAGCAGTCATATTCTCATCTCTTCCTCCGTGTTGAGATTCGCAGTACCATCAGAATTCGGTAATCGCTAGTCCACGTATAAACTAGACAAAGCCAATGAAGACCCAATTCTTCCCAATTGAGCCGCAATCTAGTTCATATAGTGACCCAAATCAGCAATTAGGGTTGGATCACCTCGGATTTCTGATACGCGGCAGATCATCGACGAGAGAGAACGGGGGGAAGATGACCCGAAATAGGATATGTTTGCAACACATCTCTAGAAGCAGAAATTGACTCTAGCTTGATCTATACCCACTTTTCTCTTGGTGTTGAGTTGTTCATTCGCTTTCCACGCCCCACATCTTGTTCGTCCCGACGGAGCTCGCCGCCACCCGGAGAGATCCCGAACCAGGAGTTAGTGTTTTGCTCAAGATCAAGATCGTTGCCCTGAGGCCCCTGATATGCTATGTGTGGCTTTCATCCTGTTATGCTACGTGATAAAAAACCGCAAACTAGAGACAGGGTCCATGCGTCGATGTCTTGGTTTCGGGTGTGACCGCATGACTCAGGTGTCTGTTGTCCAGCCGGCCTATCCAAGGTTGGAAAGCTGGTATGGCTGTCTAGTTGCTCTCGGCATTGATTGTTTTTGCCTGCGATAGTGCTATAAGGCCAGTGTCATGCCCGTTAGAACTACCGGGGACAATGCAATGTTACGCAAGTATATATGGAAGATATATAATGCTTTCGGTAGAAACACATAATTACCATCAGCTGCAATATAAATGGCCCTGTGCTTAACGTTTATATATATAGTTATACTGAAATTGCAACGCGTGGGTTAGCTCCATTTATCCATGTAGATATAGTGACATTATTTATAGAGCGGGGGTGTCTGCAAAACACGACGCCGAAAAGGCCTCAGGATACCGACCACCAGCAACATCTGCCGCATTGCAAGCCGATCGGACCTCCTTCTCTTCCTCGGCCGACAACTCAACGCTCAAGCTGCCCAGATTCTCCTTCAACCGCTCGAGCTTGGTCGTCCCCGGAATAGGAAAGATATCATCCCCCTGCGCCATCAACCAAGCCAACGTCAACTGCGACGGCGCAACCCCCTTCTTCGCGGCAACGGCCTTCAGCCTCTCCACCAGCGCCAGGTTCTTCGGGAAGTTCTCCTTGCTAAACCGCGGCGACAGCCTGCGGAAATCACCCTCCTCAAAATCATCCGCCGAGGTAATCGCCCCAGTCAAAAAACCCCGACTCAGCGGCGAGTACGCCACGACCGCCACGCCGAGCTCGCGCGCCGTCTCGAGCAGTCGGTACTGCGGGCTCTCGATCTCCAGCGCAAAGGGCGAGTATTCCATCTGCACGGCGGTGATGGGGTGGACTTTGTGCGCGCGCCGCAGGGAGTCTGCACTACACTCGCTTAGACCGAGGTATTTGATTTTGCCTTCTGCCTTGAGCTGCGCCATTGCTTCGACGGTCTTTTCGATGGGGTCTTCCGGTCGAGCCGGTGGCAGTAGTAGAGGTCGATGGTTTTGACACCCAGTCGGGCGAGGGAGCGATCGCATGCTTCGCGGGCGTATTCGGGTGAAGAGTCGACGGAGCGTTGTCCGTTTGGTCCCCAGCGGTTGGCGAATTTGGTTGCGAGAAAGATGTTGTCTCGTTTGGAGGGATTGGCTTTGAACCATTTGCCGAGGAGGTCCTCGCTGTCGCCGTATATGTCGGCTGGGATTCTGTTAGTCGGGTTCATGGGGACTGAGGAGGTTACATACCGCTATCCCAGAATGTTTCACCGAGTTCGTATGCAGCATCGAGCAGGGCGAGCCGCTCAGGATCGGGTCTGGCGGTGCCGTAGAAGGAACTCAGACCCATCAACCCGAAGCCGAGTCGGGGGACTTGAGGGCCGTTCTTTCCCAGGGGACGAGTTGGAAGGGTAGGCATGATGATTGTTACGGATTGGATGGTTTCAATGTGATTGTCATGATGGGCAGTACACCTGGAATCCTTTTATATGTGGAATGTTGACGGGAAAGTCTGATTGTGGAGTGACATCAGTGGAGATGGCCGCTGCGGAAATAAGACGTATAAATCCGTTGATGACATTGAGAACGGAAATAACACTTATGACCACTAGCCAAACTCTATCAGGAAACTTATGCTTGGAAAACAGTCATAACTGTTGCAACTTCCGACTGATCCGCAGTTCAATCACTGGGGATACCCAACGCTTTCCTCACTTTGGCACCCAGCCCCTTCAGCCTCCCAATAGTCTCATTGGAGAACACAAACCGGATATACTGGCTACCGTGCACCTCTCCCCATCCATCCATAGCAGTTGCGCACACACCCTGTTCCAGCAACCGCTTCGACGCCGCGCTCGCGTCCAGCCCGAAATCGCTCACGCGGAGAAGCAGGCTCCACCCACCCGCAGGGACCCCAACGGGCAATCCATCGAGTTCCGCAACGACAAGATCCCGGCGGGCCTGTAGTTCAGCCACATACGGCGCCATACTCTCTGATGACCTGTCCAGCGCAGTAGCCGCGGCTTCCTGAGCGATCCCAACAGGCACGACGACATTGGCCATAGAGACCGCCGCTATGTCGCTGATGAGGTCCTCTGGTCCCACGATCCAGCCAACACGCCATCCGATCATCCGCAGCTCTTTGGCGGACGAGCCGACGGTAACCGTTCGCTCGAACATCCCAGGTAAACTGGCTGGGTGAATCACCGGCCGTGCATCGAAGACCAGTCGCTCCATCGCAGCATCCAGAATGAGAAGCAGGTCTTTCTGTACGCAAATCTCCGCAATGAGGGTCCAGTCCTCTAGGGTAAAGTAGCCCCCGCTCGGCATCGACGGGGACATGAGCAGCATCGCAGTAGTTTTATCAGTAATCGCCTCCCGCAGCGCGGCCTGGTCCAGCCTCCACTCTTTCCCTGGCTGGAAGGTGAAGGGCATAAGCTTGGGGACGCCGCCTGCAAGAAGAACCCGATTGATGAGCCCCCGGTAGGTCGGATCCGTTAATATAACCTCGTCGCCTTCCTCGATGGTTGCCAGGAGAACGTTCAGGATACCTGATAGGCCGCCCACGGAGATAACGCAGTTGCGCTCACCGGAATATGCCATACCGGAGAGCTGCGAGACGTGTCTGGCTGCGGTGTCTTTCAGGCGGGCTTTGCCGGTGAATGGGAGGTAGCTGTTACATGCCTCGTCGGTGACGGCGTGCTGCGTGTAAGCTAGAGCTTCTGGATCCGGTGGAATGTTGACGTCTAAATTTTCCAGGCGTAGGTAGTCGTTGCTTCCTGCGTCGGCGATCTGGGCCATCTGGTCCACATTGATGCCTTGCAGGTGGTTGAGTCGTCGGGGGCGAGTACGGGGCATTTTAGCGATCTACAATATAAGACGTATGTTGGATGCCTGTTACGTTGTAAAAGAGTCGATAATGAATGCCGAAGATGGGCCAAGTTATATACTGAGAACCCCGCACTTGGGATTCACTTGTTCGTATTCACTGATAGCGCGACATTCCCCTGTTCATCTTATGAAACGGTCGTAGAATTCTTTCGAATTATGATCTATTATACCTATTCGGACATCATCGAGTGCAGTGACTCACCTAGAGAATAGCAGTGCAACTATTGGCTGGCCGAAGCAACAATGGCATCCACCCCCAGAAGGCAGCCCCTGCTGCCCAGGACGTAGAGAAGCTCAAGGTTAGTCAATCAGACACAGGAAGCCGGCAGCTAATGATAGCAGACACTCTATACATCTCTGTTCCCGTCGTGGGAACGGAAACCAGCGCATGGCGGAGCAACTGAGGATGGAACTCAGATGCAGCATTCCAAATTCTCTGACCTTAAAGGTATTTTCTCCTTCATAGGTGTGTTGCAAACTGACGGTGTAGGACTTGCCGGTGCAATCGTCAAAATGTCTCAGGACGGGCCGGGAATAGAGCAGGGGGCTCAAGGGGTGACTGTCTATTATATTGTCGATTCTCTTGAATTGGTCAGCTCATCTACCCGTTTGATGAGACAATGTTGACTAGGTTAGATGGAGAAAAGGGTAAACGAGCTAGGTGGATGCGTCATTCAGGCGAAGACGACTGAGAGTGCGTATGGTTTCGCTTATGAAGTTTCAGCGATCCGGAGGGGAACAAGTTTGGTTGTTATGAGGTGCGCTGTTAACGTTGATGCCTAGAGAAGTCTACAATTGAGCTGTTTATTCTTCATAATGCACGATATTCATGATAGCCCAGTTGCTACACAATAAGCGGTCCTGTAGATGTATTTAGGAGCGATCAGGGGACGGTACATTTAAAGGAAAGGAGCCCAAAGCCTGGGGAATGCAATGCTGGAATGTACGTGGGAATGACATGAAATCACGATGATTAGCCTCAGCATCAAAAACAGTTCTGATAATACAACTCGGTCTATCTCCCTCTATCATAACATGGTATAAAACCCAAAGCAGAATCAAATGCAATCCAGTCTCAAATGCAATGAATTATGCATAATTCCAGTATAGCAGTAAACACGCGCAACTCAAAGTAGAACTATTGGTTCTCAGAGTGATGACCCCTGTGGAAGCAGCTGGCGACGGTCTGCTCGTGGACACAGACACCCGTCGTCGGGCAGTAGGCAGTACCGGGGCCGCAGGTCTTGAGGACGGGGGCGCCTCCGGAAGCGCATTCGTAGAAGTTATGGCAGTTGGAGGTATCGGGCCATGCCTCGCCAACCTTGCAGTGCGCGATCCCTGCAGTGGCGGATGAGAAGAGGAGAGAGGCCACCAGGGCGGACAGCGCTTGGTAGATGAATTGCATTTCGAGGGTAGTCTGGGAAGACTTAGTAACGTATGGATGGTTTGAGTGGGTGAAAGTACCTGAGTATGCGACTAAGGAGTAACAAGCGAAAGATGTGAGAGGATATCTGGAGATTGAAACTTGATTCTCAATTGATATTATGAAAGGATGGTTGATATTGAATGAGCTCGAAGTCATGGCCATCGAGCCATCTTTATACCTTTTCTGTGTCCATAAGATGTTAGAAAACGGACATCATGATGTGCCCCTGTGCCCGACATCCAAATAGTGGCACGTATATTGACCTTCCGCAGGCGATTCTGACATGGCCTGTGGTAACTGTTTTCGCATACCTCAGTGAAGTTAGTCTGAAGCGGCTAGGAGGTAATCTCGAGCATCAACTACATAGGAAAAGCGAGCATAATGCAAGCAACAGACCGTCTTTTCCGAGAACGTACAGAAATGTGTCAGGGCATATTCTCGGGCCATACATGAACTGATTTCTTCCACGTGGCTGCTGGATATTATTACGCGTATCCAGTTCATGTCAGATCACTAAATTAAGAACCGGGGAAGTGTCGTGCTAGAGGATTGACCATTAACTTGGGGCGTTTATGTTACGGCTTCTTCCTGCACATCCTGACTTGCTGTCGATATTCCTCCTTGACAACCAACAACTGGCGTATGCTGCCATTTCTTTATTGTGTAATTGATACTGGCTAATTGATTAAGCGTACACGAGTGATGGAGTCTGGAGATGATGTTCTTGCCGAGTATCAATGGACGGCCAAGGGATGAGGGCCGCCAGCAGCCACGCCGCAGAATGCTGGAATGCTGGAATGTGGGCAGCTTCCGAAGCCACACACCTTTATTTTATCCCTGGGGTTATTTCTGAAAACGAAGGGCGCTCGCAGTTCGCTGTTGTATCCGAGTTTACGATCGACATAGTAGCAATCAACGGCCTTCCTGGCAAACAAGGATGTGATTGCCGTCTACCTCGTATACTGCAATGCTTTCGTCAAATGGAAAGCTTTAGATTATGAATAGCCTATTCTCGCTTATCCCTTGTCAACCAGGAGAAATACTAGTTATGAGATTCCATGATGCTGCGGTTATCACAAATGCTCTAAGGGCTGCGGTTGCGTGACTCGAGCATAATTCAACGAAACTATGTAGCTTAACGCCACCTTGGCCAATGTAGGCTGAGTTTTACTTCAGCCACTCCGGCTAAGAATGCACTCTTAATGGAACACCAGATTGGGTTCAAAAGCGAAGTCTGGCTGGCTTAGATACCGAAATAGTCAAGCTTAACTTGCTACAAACAAGCCTTGTTGTCCCGCATGAGCCAGAATTTGGTTGTGGAGTACCGGAAAGAGGAGTTCAAACATAGGTTCCTTCGTTATCATTTTGTCTTCATCTTGATTTTATCCTGTATATCAGCAGTCCGTTGTACGAGCCTGGAGCTCACAGTATGGAATCGTAGTAATTCAGGTCATGTATGTAGACCGGCCTTGTACGCGATGATATCCTCGTCATCTGTATTAGAATATTATCTGCCTATGAAAAATCCGATCATCATTACAGTCCATAGCAAATGTTGAATCAAGTGTCTCCATGTTTAGCCGAATACTGCTGGAACCTTCGGAGTCCGTTTGACATGTCCCCTCTTCTGGGGGCAAGTGAGCAAGGCCAAGCCAGCCTTGGGGTTGACCGAAATTACATCTTTGTTGCCATTCGCCAGGGATATGGGGATTGTCCATGATGCAGCCTCGGCTCGTATCGTCAAACATAATCGCTGTCTGCCAAGGACGGTGGCTTCCGTGCTTCCATCGTGAGTGGTTCTTCGTGCATCGAATACGAAGATCAGCGCGTCCAGCCCCTAGAAATGGTCTGACACCAAGAGACTGCAAGGCTCGTGGGGTTTAATCATAAGGAAAGGGGCGCCCCAGTTGACCGATTGATCTTCGTTTGCTTTCTTGGTCGTCAATTGTCCATCCAAACCACCTTCTCTTGCGATCCACACTCTACCCACAGCAAAATGAAGTGGTCGACTCTTCTCCCTCTGGCTCTCTCCACATTCTCTCTCCTCCCCTCCACAGGCGCATGGGAAGTAACATGGACCGACGGCGACAACCAAAAGCACAGCCAGTCCGGAACTGGCCCCAGCGACTGCATCGTGATCGATAACCGCAAGGGCAACATATTCAAGATCGACTCCCAGGGCGAAAAGGGTATCAACATGCTCCTCTTCACAAACAACAAGTGCGATGGCAAGCCAAGTGGCATGGCGACCGAGATCTTCTCCAAGGCATCTTCCCAGGATCTGCTCGGCTTCCAGGTCGTAGCTCTTTCAACCGCAACGACGGCAACCGCTACGACTGGAAAATCGGTCAGCCGAGTTGCGACGACGTTCCCGGCCAGTGAGACGGCCTCGACGAGCGCCGGCGATAACGGCGAATCGATGACGATTCAGCCAACGGATTCGATGACGATCCAGCCGACAGATGAGATGAGCACAACTGCGACTGCGACCGCGACCGCGACCGCGACCACAACTTCGACTACTGGAAGCTCCAGCACAGTGTCTTCGACGACTTCGAGTGCTGCGAGCGCAGCTACCCCCAACGCGGCAGGTCAGCTGGCTTCGAACGGGGATATGGTGAAGGGGCTCGTTGGTACCATCTTCGGATTGGGGCTGGTACAATGGATGATCTGATGGGCTGTCGGGATCAGGGCTTGACGCCTGGTACGTTGGTCTCAGGCTGTGTGGCCCAGGACTCCTGCCTGTTGCCCCTTCTTCTATTCCTCTACGCTTCTTACGACCCTTCTTATGATTAATTTTAATATCGCTCTGTGCAATACCATGGATGCATCCATTTAATTCAGTTACGAAGATAGCATGACTTCCGGTGGAGTTCGACTCTGAACCACTTTCTTGGGTCGCCTTTTTGCTTGATGTTGAAGTGGGCGTAGGGGGTTGGAGCGGGGCGGTTTGGCTGGATGGCGGGGCATGTCTGGCCTAGGTGGCACAGTGGGAATTTGGCTATCTCTAAGACAGTGCGGGCTCTATCGATTAGATCGTCGGGGATGACGAAACTGAAGTCCTGCACATGGTGGGTTAGATGAAGGTAAGCTGTAGTTGGGACATGTGCTTACTGAGACTTGGAGAGGTACTCCGTAGAGATTGAAGACGAAATCGCCCCAGAGAAGGTTAGGGATCCCATGGGCTTTAAGCAGGCGGGAAATGGAGCAGACCAACTCCTTGTTGGCTGCGAGGTCGCCTCTGAATTTGAAGTCTGCCATCGTGCCGGCACGTATGGATCATCTGTCTAAGAGATATCGACCTCTGGTAGGAGTGCAACTGGTATATATAGTGCTAGTCGGGGGTCCGTCCATTGTAACAATTGTCCCTATCTTGTTGATAGAGATGTGTCAAAGAAAAGTGAAACAAGTGCCAGTGACAGAATCGGGAGCATGGGGCTTTCATATCGAATCCGTCGGATGATATTCAGAAAGAGTCGGCAGGTTGTCTTTCTCGACGCTGTGACCCATGAGCATATCAGACACAAGTGCGACAGATCCATCCTATCTTTGATGTGATCGCCATTTGTATTGGAGAATGATCTAGGCGTAGGGCTGTTTCAGCAACAAAGAAAATATACCGTTTGTCTACTCTACTACCGGCACGTCCTCAAAAGACATCCCAACGAAGAATCACAAAGAAGATGTATGAATGACCGCATTCCGCCTTGGGAGGCTCGCACGGCTCGAGACTCGGTATGGAAGAAGCAATTCGAGTGAGTTCGAGAGTGTTTCATTCTCCGTCTTTGAGCATCATTATACACAATGTCGAAAGTCGACCTCCGCTAGCCGACCGAGAAAAACATATCGCAGCCAAAGTCACTCAGAGCCCACTATCCAAGACCTCTGGTTAGGGTCTTTCAATCTCGACACACTTCTTGCCATGACTGAACGAGGTATCGGCTCCAGTCATTGAACAACCACATGAAGTTGCCTTGGTTGTAAAGAAGTGTCTCAACCTCTAGAATCAAGAGACAACGGACCTATTTTTTTTCTCGGACATTTCATACATTGATGCAATAACATGCTGGCTTCCTCGTGGTAACAAGCAACGCAAGCATTATGACACTACTCCTGGAGCATATTCGTCACCTTTGTAAACACCGTAAGCTCACCATGCTTGGAAAGCCCCAGCGAATAGTCACTCACGATCCGAATATCATCAAGGTCGTGTCATGCAGCACCATGTCGAACCGATGGACCATGTAAGCGATGGCCATGAAGAGCTCGATATACGCGAGACTAAATGTGAGTAGCGATTCTTAGCTTCGTACTGGCGTGGAGTTAACTCACTCCATGCCGACACATATTCTGCTTCCCCGGTTAGATACGTAGTCAAACGCTCCGGCTAGTCTGAAGCTTCGATCCAGCGCTCTGGCCGGAAGGTGCGCGGGTCCGGGAACAGACATGGATCTTGATGAACAGACCATGTGGACATACGTACGGGTGTCTGTCGTCTCAGTACAGTACAGAGTCAAAGAAGTCTCACCACCGGGGGGATCGTATAGTCCTTGTACTTCAGAGCCTCTGTTGGAGCAATCCTCGGAAGCCGAATGGTAGTCCCGAATGAGAGACGAAGGGAGTCATTGATCACTGCGGTCTGCACAGGTCAGTTGTCATCTGCTCAATTGAGGTCGTGCAGTTACCAGATACGGCAGTTTTTCCAGCTCGGCCCACGTCGCTGTGCTGCTCAGCGCAGGCAGAACACTCGAGTGCAACTCGTCCCTTCGCCATGTAGAACGTGGCAATGGTCAAGATCCGTGCAGTGGTCTCTATGCCCGCCCCAAGGAGGATCAAGGCCTCATCCTTAACACGGGCGAGGCTCCGTTCTTCCGGCGGAAGGGAGGGGTCTGTTGTCTGTCTGCTGAAGATCGTTCCGGCGCTCTCGTCATGCTTGGACTGCGACTAGGTGGCATGGTCGAGGACGGATTCCATGGATCCAAACAAGGCGGTTTTTACCCGGATGAATGAAACACATTATCTGCGTCGGATTCGTACGAATGACCGGCACCAGGAACGGGAAGAAGCGAAGCCAATGCACGAAATTCGCGGTCTCGTTTGTTGCTTTCCGGATATCATTGCGGTACTGCGGGTCCTCGAGGAAGCCCCAGCTTTTACCGTATGCATAGTGCGTGATCACATCGGCACCGAGGGCTGAAAAGGCAGCAGCTACCGGTATGGCTGACTTGGTGCCGTACGCTTGTTGGAAGCGTTGCATTAGCTTCAGGACTCTCTCTTCGATCACTGGAGAGAGGGCCGTGATGCTTCGGTGGAACCGGTGATGGCCATGGCTGACTGTGGAGATGGTAGACAAGGGGGGAGAAGTTATATGAAGCCATTGGGGACCTCTGTCGCGTTTGTGGGCTGCGCCGGCGTGATCGTATCGTAGAACAAGGGGGCTTTAATGTGTAGTTCACGAGGATTGATACGGACGATTGGGCCTGGCTGATGTGAGAGACAAGGTGGCTGACAGTACACAATCAACATTACCGTATCTCTCATGCATCTTTTCGATTTGGAAGAGGAACTGGCCCACCTTGATCACATCGTTGTAGAACTCGTAGAGGAAGGTGGCTGCAGTCAAATTAGGACCTGGGTATCTGCTCCACTGGTGGAAGAAGAGACGGTAGATCACTTGTACAAGAAAGTAGAAGGCAACATAGGCCAGAGCCAGTAGCAGCCAGGAAGACGATAGGAGCATTTTGGTGATTCACACTGATCAAGAGTGGTGGAAGGAGAACTGGGACAGGGCATAGACGGATATTTACATGAAATCCCCTCTATCTAGAGCAACCACAGGGAGAAAGCGTCTTTATTTAGCTGGAGCCAGGCCATCCGTAATGAATCTTTCGCGGTGTATATTCGTCTCCTGCAGGGCCCTTCCTTATGGACGATGCGAATCACGAAAGCCTGCATAGAGGAACGTTAGGCACACCGATCTGAAACCCTTTCGTCCGCAGAATCAGCTGGGGAACACCTAGCCCAAATTGTACACTGCCGATTGGATTTGATCCAGCAATCTTCTAAAGGATGAGCGGTCAGCCCAATAGGATCCCCGTCTTTTGACAACAGAGTAGTAATTGAGCCTTGAGCTCCGCGGATCATCCTTTCAAGGACGAAAGGACGAGAGATTGAGGGGCATCGCAATACCATGCGTCTGAAGCACCTTTGTCGTTACCGGAAAGAGATTTTATATTGTATGTCAATGACAAGCCCAGAAGGCCAATGGCAATTTTATACTGTTGACGAATGTCCAGGGTAGGTGATGAAAAGTCAGACAAGCCATTGTGAGAATCTAGTAGGTCTGGGAAGCCATGGGGAGAGTACTGCTTCCTTTCGTGACATGCAGCAAAGTAGCCCTCATCACTCTGGTGTCCGTTTCAGCCCTACCAGGGGTGATGGTAGGGGCTAGCAATAACACGAGTCTGGCCAAAATCTTCACTTGTCCTAGCAGTCCTTTCGGACTAAAACGGTCGGTGAAAATATTCATTTGTCTTATTCAGTCTTAATACACTCCTGGTACACATGAGGATAGAGTGTAGAAGTAGGGCTTCCCGTCTGCACCTAAAACCGACCAACCAGTACATGACATATCTCCCATCCTTCCCACAGCAAACTAGCAAACTCGCCTATCCGTTACCTCATAGGCGTAATTGTAATTCAAAGCAGCAAACACCTCATTTTCATCCTTCCTCTGCAAAGTAATCCAAACCATTTTACCATGGGCAGTCGGAGGGCTGTAGGCATCAGGCGCCGAGTGCGAGAACTTGCCCCCGTTGTAGTATTCCGGATGCAACTTCAGTGCTGTATCATCATCTTGTAGGTTCACTAGCAAACCAGACCATGGGCTGTAATTGTGCATGCCCAGGACCACGGTGAAGAAGTCGCCGGAGGATGTCTTGAAGCGGAGCATTCCAGAGGTACCGCTGCCTCCCATGAACAGCACATGCTCGCCGTCCTTCTCGGTCCAGGTGCATCCGTTGGCATAGTACCAGCAGGTCTTTTCGACAGCTGTAAGGGTGTCGGAGGTGCCGTTCTCGATACGGAGACGGATAGTGTAGGACATTGTAGCGCTGCAAGTGTCAGCATATTCTTGAAGAACTTTGTGGCAGCATACATACAGGATGCTCTTGTATCACTATGTCTGGACTTTCAATAGTGTAGGGAATGCTGCTGACTGCAAAGGATATACTTCAATAGAGGAAGAGTGTCTTGTCGAGTCAGATGGAGAAGAACAACTTCAATGCTCTAGGGAATTTACGCTTTATATAACAGAATCCTGATACTAAGGCCAATGCAGGTGCCTTCTCTCGGCTATTATTATCGTATAATCTTGTTTGCTACTCAGAACGCCACAGACAACCTAGTCAATGTCGCACTTCAGCGCTTTGGGCGCCATGCACTAGTGTTTGCACCTACATTAATCTCACGATGAACTATAGACAAGTGGCTCGGATATGACCGAGCCATGTGCCATCTCACGCAGAAAATAGATCTCACACAGCTGACATGCATTAAAACTAGTAGTGTTGGCGCATCAGTGCGTTTGCGTCAAGGTTTACTTGCAGGGCCGCATCCTGGCGCTTCACGTTCATCAACTACTTGTATATGCTCCCTTGCCACTTCATCACAGAATTCAGCCATTTCCAAGTCTTTCTGGGATAGGCCTTGCGGCCTGTGGGTGGTCCATATATAGGTCAAGGAATTGTATGTCTGCGCGTTTGGTCAGAGATGTCTGGTAATCTATATAAAAATCTTACTTACCATGATGGCCTCAGGATGATGATTCTTTCTTTTGCACTTTACACCAATGTAGTGGACAAAATCCAAAACGTTTGTATGGTTCTTGAAATAGTATTTCTTCTCGATTCCTTTGCCATCTGAGGAAATGTTCCACTTCGAGTCCAAAAGCTTTCGCAGCCGAGGAAGCCCGTCTTTCTCATCGAATCCATCAGCAAAACGGATACCGTCGAGTTGGTCCATAGCATGTAGGATGGGATCTGGAAAAAAAAAATATCTTCTGGTGATAGTGGTGATCTCGTTGAGTCAAAGAGTTTAAGGCAACTGTAGGGGAATATGGTTGAGATGGGAGATCGGGAGGAAATGAGGGGTAACCGTAGAACCCTGCAGCTGCGGGGTGGACCATAGTACGAAGCGACCAGGACATGCTCTTCAAAGATGCTACTATGATATTCAGCTTCAGAGAGCGATGTAGTTTGATGTCAGCATGTCGTATAACCCCAAGACGGAATCGCCGGGTTCGATAGTACGGTACGACCCTTGCCGTGGCGTTCCCCGGAAGGGAATCCTGCAGGACCGCGCTTAAACTCTGGTAGTGGCTGACGATAACTGAGCTGAAGTCATTGAAGTGGCGTGCTGACAATAAGTTATTATGCTTGCATTATGCCTATGGTTACTTGAGATAGAGGACCCCAGCTGAACTGGCAAACGGCTACTCATTAGTTCAACGGGTCTCACCGGCTGGGACTGAGCGTACGCGCACTGAAGTTGCATAAACCATCGATGGTCCAGCCACGGTGCAGCTTCTCCCTATGCGCTGTAATCCTAACAGGGGAACTCTCCAGCATGGCATTCACCCGGAACCATGGCGGACTTTGTCAATTCGGGTGTCTATGCTTTTTCAGCTGTCTCAAATATCCCATATCAGCTAGCCACTGGAGCATGCCACAGTTCAATAAGCGTACTCATAGGATTGGAGATTTTGATCCGCGTCGGCAGTTTAGCCCTTCCGGGACGACCGATATCATAACATATCTGCGGGAATGTTCCTGTTTGACTGGGTCTACTCTATTCTTCTGATCTAGGGCACTAGTGTCTTTGTGTACTAGGATACAGCACTGATAGCCTTACTTGGCCATTGTTACAAGAGCTGCCAAGGCATGTAAACCAGCTGGCAGCTCTGTTTTGTGGATATATCGCCTCTATCACGGCCGTTAATCAGTTGCCCATAAGGCGAAGCACACTGCCCTGTATAACTGTGATGTAAGAACAGGACGAAGGCGCTGAAGACGCCACATAATACGTCCATGCTCTCGTTGACTGCGACGGTATCGCCACGGTCACACAACACCAGTGGGACCATTAAGTGTCAGCGGAATATCCATCTGGTGCGAAGCCGAAGATGAGGACCTGACCCGATCGACAACCGATGGCAACCGTGTCGCCCTGTACGGCAGAGCACTCGGGGCGGAATTCGGGGGGTAGCCAAATGAAATCCTGGCCGTCGCGCGTAATCCAGGGACGGTCCGGGAGACCGTAACCGTAAACATTTGTCTCCGAGTAGTAGGCAGCGGAAACAGGCGCAAGGTCCTCCTCATCCGATTCCTCCTCGCTTGTTTCCTTGTCAGTTGACCTCTCGTCAGCTAATTCATCGGCGGCTGACTGCTCGTGCACTGATTCATAGTCGGCTGGTTCTCCCTCTTCGAATAACTCTTCTTCTGACGGACCATTGTTGCTAGCCAGACTGCCCGCCTCACCTGATCCCCTCTCTGCAACTGACTCTGGTTCAAACTCTCCGTGTGCCTGTTCTTGCCACTCGTCGTCGTTGTCCTCGTCATTTTCTTCGTCCTGAAGCTCTCTGCTCTCTTGATCAAGATAGGTTTGTTCCTCGGTCATATCTCCAGCCTCCGACGTCATCGCAGGGACAAGAGATGATACATCAACCTTGATACGCCCAATTTCAGTGACAAGGTACGTAGACGTAGGATCGAAAAGTAGCTGGTTTATAGAAGTGCCGATGTTGAACATCTGTATGCAATCCCCCGTGGCCGTGTTCCAAATCTTGATAGTGGAATCTTCTGATGCTGATGCAAGTTGATTGCCACTTCCTGAAAAGGCCAGCGACGTGAGTCGACGACTATGGCCCCGAATCCTCCACATGCAATATCTCGAGACCGTCCTCCACATCTTGATAGTGCCCCCCCTTAAGCCTGCTGCCAGTTGCTCACCAGTAGGTGAGAAGGCTACTAAAGTAACCTGGAAATGATCAAGTGTCTGCATGCATTTCCCTGTGTCTGTGTCCCAGATCTTGATGTTGCCACCCATTGAGCATGATGCCAGTTGCTCACCAGTCGCTGAGAAGGCTACTGATTCAACCCAAGAAAAGTTATCGCCTTGGTGCTTGAACGTCTGCATGCATCTTCCTGTGACTGCGTCCCAGATCTCGATATCACCGTTGAATACGCCTGAAGCTACTCGATCACCAGCCATTGAGAACGCTACTGATGCAACCGAGCGACTGCCCACTGGCCTCTCGAGCGTGCATATGCATTTGCCTGTGACTGTGTCCCAAATCCATATAGTGCCTTCCCATGAGAGAGATACTAGTCGATGACCACTTGCTGAGAAGGCGACCGACTTGACCCGTTGACGACGGCCCTGGGCTGGTGTCGTGTTATTGACTATGGCCATGTCCCAAATCTCAATATCAGCAAACCCGGCCGATGCGAGCTGATCACCGGTTGCTGAGAAGGACACTGATGAGATCTCACCAGTACTATGGCCCACAAGCGTCCGCATGCATTTGCCTATGGCCGTGTCCCAAATTTTAACAGTTCCATCAAATGAGCCTGATGCCAGTCGATCTCTGTCTCTTAAGAACCTTACAGAGAAAACTGTCTCCTCATGGCCATGAAGTGTGTGCAAGCAAGCACCTGTGGCTGTATCCCAGATCTTAATAGTGCCATGGTATTCCCCGGAAGCAAGTCGCTTATCATCCGCCGAGAATGCTACTGACTCGACAAACGCACCATAGTCACCAAGTTTGTGCATATGTTTGTCCCTGGCGGTGTCCCAGATTATGGTACTGCCCCCATCCAAGCCTGCTGCTAGTCGAGCATCGGCGTTTGAGAAGGCGACTGAATGGACTGCATAATTCACTTCAACAGTTTGCACGCATTTGCCGGCGACAACATCCCAGATTTTGATGGTCTCATCCGATGACCCGGATGCAAGTTGCTTACTAGTTGCTGAGAAGGATACTGAGGAGACCGGACCGTTATGCCCCTGGAATATTTGCACGCAATCCCCGGTGGATGTATCCCAGATCTTGATAGTGTGATCTCTTGAGCCTGATGCTAGTAGATTTCCGTCTCTTGAGAAGGCTACTGAATTAACCATGTCATCATGACCCTGAAGTGTCTGCATGGGACCACCTGTGGCTGTGTCCCATATTTTTATAATGCCATTCGTCAAGCCAGATGCAAGTCGATCACCGGCTTCCGAGAAGGCCACCGATTCGGGTGTAGTCGTATGGAGGTCAAGCGTATATAGGCGAGGACTCCAATCCAGTTGCGGGATAGGTATATGAGATATCCGGGAGTGTAAAAATTTCCCGAACGTCTGCCGAATCAGACTCCTTTGTGGGGCAAAAACAAGACCGGAGAAATACGCCTGGAGCGGCGCTACGTCAATCACTTGACGGAAGAAACGGATAAATCGATGCATGTCGCGAAGGAACGCAGATAGTTCAGTGTTGTTGGCGGACTATGACTTCTATAAGCATACGTTCGCATAAAATCGAATAGTGACTTACGTCAACAGCAGTCTGTAATTCCTTCAGGAGCCTGATGCTCTCCGAAATCCACCGACAAGACTCAGTGCCTCCAGCCAGTGGAGGAAATGCTCTTTGAAAAATCTAAGGATTGCTCCTCCCTCGGTCAGGTCGTTCTCAAAGCCCTGGCGTTTTGCTTTGCATAGATGGCCGACCCAAAAAACACAGGAGTACCGTATTGGAGCCAACGGGTCCGGGTCAGGCGGCGTTACAGCACTGGTCTCAAAACCTGGGTACGGCAAAGCATAGATGTTGTATCTCAGTATCGAACCCATCGCATTGATTGAACGCGCGCTAATGTCCGCATTGCCTTGGCCGACGCCGCTACTCAGTTTTGTGGTGTAGTTTGCCTCGAGATAGTCCTTGGCGGACTGGTGGATCAGGGAGACGGTTTGGCCAGATATCGTCAGGAATGAGCCGCATTTCTCGACAATTGTCCGAGGGTTAATCTTTGGTTGCAATCCAGCAAGGACGGCGAGCTCCGGCAGCGAGAGAGTACGATATGCGAGAACCACAGCGACTAATATGTTCTTGCAGCGCTTTTGGTTTTCCGGACTGTCCTTCTCGATTTGAGCCATAATTAGTTCGTACACATTCGACAAGCCTGAGGGAATCCTTTGGATGGTCTCAACGGCGTCCCACCCATCCACTCCGTCCAGTTCTTTAAACGCTAATGCCACCCAGAGGAACGTGGACATAGCTCGCTGACGGATCTCGTCCGAAAGTTGCGCCAGGGTATCCGTATCATAACCGTCTTTTCCCTTCATGCTGTCAAGCTTATGGTCAATATATGCGTTGACTGGTCCTTCCAGAAGCCTAGGGTCCAACGTCACCGAAACTGTTGAAGCATGAATATCCTTAAGCTGCTTGCCGCCTGCGTAAACAATAATCTCCGGACGGCTAGAGACTAGCCATTTCACCTTACTGGAGAGAGCAAGCGAAGAATCAATCAGCTGAAGGAGCTGATCCAGGCCCGGGGTTTTCCGGTCACACTCGTCAAGGGCGTCGATAGCGAAATATATTGGGGAGAGGCAAGGGTCTTGTAGCATGCTGCGAAGTGCGTCGGATAGCACATAAAATGCGCGCTCGCCTCTCAAAAGAGGGGTACCAGCATTTCTGCGCTGGTCTCGGAGGTGCGAGATGAGAGACGGTTGCTGCACCAGTAGCTGCCAAATCAGCGATCGCAGGATGGTCGTTGCGCTGTTCCGGGTCTGATCTGTACCTTGACAGAAGAAGTACGAGACACTCGGTGAAAGGGCGGAGGGCTGACCGGAAAGCTTGCGAATGATGCCCATGAAGAGCATCGTCTTGCCGGTGCCGGCAGGTCCGTCTATCCACAACACACGGCAGGATTCTCTGTTGCGCCCGTCATCGAGCCAATTGGTAAACGCGGCGTACTCATCGGTGCTAAAAACCCAGTCATACGCATCGTCGAGCAATTTATCCTTCTTCTCCTCAATGTCCTTCAGATCGTACTGTGGGTCCACTGCAAAGAGATCTTGGAGGCATTCTTTGTCCTCATCGTTCCTTCGCGTCGTCTTTTGCAAGGCGATAAAGTCTTGCAAGTTCTGATGAATGTCACCAAGATATTTCTCCATTTCACTACCAGAGTCGACGAGCTGGCGCAGAGAGCTCTTGTGATACTCTCGGTAATATTGCTCCGAGTACTCCCGCACGACGATTTCAGCATCCTTAACACGCACCAAATCACCATCCCAGTCGTCCAAGTTCGCTAGTCCGCGCAGGAATCCGATGCCTCGATGCCGGTAATAGGTACAGACGCTCTTCATCTGGTACAGGAGGAGTTCCTTGTAAAGCCGCACAACTGCCTTCTCCAGCAGTTCTAAGACATTTTCGAAAGACTCCGTTCCGATCATAATATTGTTCTTGTTCAAGAGGTGTTCGGTTAGGGCGCAATACCAGTCCATTCTTGAGGTAACATGAGCGATGCCTGCCAGGTTAGACTTGGTAGCCTGCGCCGGATTCAGGAGTATCTGGGCAAACATTAGTTGATCCAAAAGAGAGCGAGCGATGACTGCTTACTTGTAACCCAATACAAACACCAGCCCACGGGAGCGCAGCCTGCGGTATGTTCTGGATTGCGAGGTCGATCATCCCTTTGGCAGAAAGAACAAACTGGGCGACATCACCCACTGCCATTTTGATCTTTGACGACGTTTCAATCTTTTCCTGACCATCGCTGAGTAATTTCTTCAGATATTCCTGACGTGTGGTTGGACTTTGCAATCGGGCAGCAAGCTCATCGTCTTCGGGGGCAGAGACACCAGAACCTTTCTTGGCCTTGAGAACTGCGGTGAGAGTCTTCAAGTAAGACTTGACAAGGTCAGCAGTAGCCCTATCCTCCTCAAGGCTATCGTAAGCGGCATTCCAGATTCTCTGGGATATGGAAAGCTCTGCGCTCTGTTTCGTCAAGTGCTCTTCGGGTCCGGGTCCGGCCAGAGCAGGATCGACGACCAGCGAGGCAGAGTGAGGAACATGCGCACGGTCACCAGTATCAGATGAGACATCCAACATCGCTTTGAAAGGTGATGTTGTTGTCGGCTGACGGTTTCCGGAGGTCGCGATTGTCACTTCGGCCTTTTTCCCAGATGGATCCGAGGAAGGAGGCGACTCCACCACGTCGCTGGACGGGACTTTTTCGCTGTCTGATGTATTCCACCGTTTAGCAGACAGACAGTCGTAGAGATCTAGATGGCCGAGTACCGGCTTTCAACTCGCAACTTACCTGTTGGCGGGGGAGTGGGTGAGGCGACATCGCTAGAGCTATCGTTCGGACTCCTAGTTTTCCTAGCCCTCCAGTTTTTCCAGCGATCCTTTACGCTGGGCATGGCTTCGATTTGACAGGAATTATGTCGGCTACAAAAGGAAATGCCTATGTAGTCAAATGGAATAGAGGTCTCCACAAGCCAATGCTGCAATCGCAAGGGCAGTGAGAACAGTAATGAAGGCGGGTCAAGTTGAAGGCTGCAAGGAGCAAAAGATAATAACCGCCCAAGGGAGAATCATTCGCTAGCCGTCCCCGACAATGGGGGAGAAGGTCTGAATTGAAGGTGATGAAGGAGGGGATAAAAAGGTAAGCACCGTCAGCTCGTTGTGAGGGGCCAGCGCCGACAATGGATACAAGGCTGGTCAAGAATACATTTCTATTGGTCCACAAAAAGACCAATTGTTTCAATCTTACAGTGAAAGATATCATTTGTACAGAACCAACAAGTGCCCTAGGATTTTATAACATTTCCCATCTCCTTGAGTTCCTGAATGCGGGCCGAGCCGACGAAACAAACTCAGTTGTAGGGACATTTTTGCAGACTACAGTGTACTACATTCGTACGAAAGAACCCATCACTCTTTTTGCTGTTACCGGCTGGTATTTCCAATAGTTGGAATCTAAATATTGATCTAAGGATAGAAAGACGCCACGAGGGTACCCCCAGGTACTACATGGTGAACTATATACGTCAAGCAGGTATAGTAGGATCCAATGTCGTACTGTATAAGTATATGATATCACTACTATATAAGGGTTCAATATCCCAATTATTTTGTGGTCCCCGTCTATGGCTGCGAATGGTGTGGGATATGTAATCTTGTAAATTTCAATGTGTACCTTTTGTATAAAGTCCATCCTAACCTACACCATGACATGAATTACTCCTAATATGATCAGTACCTCCAGCTGCCAATATAGTAAGAGAAGATGCTGCTAAAGGAGAATATCAGAGCATTGAAGCATAAAGTATGCATAATCCTTCTTACTGTTTGAATAATCATCATTGAGGGGAGATATCACTAATATACATATCATATGCCGAGCTACATCACAGAGAAATCAGTCCAGAACGAGAAAGGCATACTATTTCCGACTCTCCTCATCTTTCAAACGGTCGTGCTCATACTTCTGCACCTTTCTCCACTCCCGTTTCACCTTCCGAACAGCCAGCCCAATCATCCCCGAAACCAACCCGAGGACCAACACCGAATTCTGCAGTCCGTTTGGATGAATCCAACCCACATTCCCCTCCATAGCACTGACACTCATGAGCGCAAAGTTATACGTCCCATGAAACAAAACCGCGGGACCAACCACTCCCCACAGCCCTAAGGAGTCCCCATGATAATCCCTCCGCGTAGCCCGCAGCGCCGTCAGACAAGCCACAGAAAGATGCCCCAGTTGACCCAGCACAACTCTTTCAACGAACGTCAGCAGTACTTTTGGCCAGCTCTCCTGGCCTCCCTCGCAGGCTGAATAGATGAACCCAATGTTCTCAACGGCACTGAAGCCTAATGCACTGGCAAGGACGTAGTCAATGTATGCCCTATCGCGGCGTTGTTTCTTTTTGACTTCTCTCCGTCGCGCATAGACGACCGGCATATATTTCAGGAGTTCTTCGACTAATCCAGCGGCAAGATACGTCAAAGCACCGTTGAAAACCCAGTTCTGCCACGAGGAAGCTAGTTCGGCACGGCGGAGTAGTTGCTCCTCTGTTAGCCCGGCAATAGTCGTACGACCAAATTCAGTCCAGAATTCGGTGCGTACATCCTCAGAGGAGAAGAGGGCAGCGCTGACGGCTTGGCAAATGCCCATTTGGACAGCAGCTGCGGTGGCTAAACCGAGGGTGCCGCTTAAGGTGAAAGTCCAGATGAGTGGTTCTAGCTCCGCGTGTCGAGCGGGAGAGGCATTGCTGCGTTTCCTCCATTTCTTGTAGAACACGGCTGTTGGAACTAGACTTAGAGGAGAGAGAAGGGCGGTCTTTGGAGATGTGGTGGCTATGAGCAGAAGGGCGGACGGAGGACCCAAGTAACAGAGAAGACGAGTGGAAAGGGAGAGCGAACTATTCAGCCCTGCGGAAGACATTCCAAAAGATTAATGATCTTGCAGGTCAAACTAAGGTGCTCGATGAGGAAGATGATCCTTCCTGTCAATCTGAGTCGCCAGAACGCAGGTCAGGCCACCAACCCCCCGGGATCTGTAGTCACTCTGAGTCGCGAGAGGGGTCAATCTGACATCACATGATATAATCCTGGCATCTGGGCCAATAAGACACTGCGAACACTTAAAGTGAGGTTTTTCAGGGGTGAGACCCAAATGATTCCGAACTTATGGTACACCTTGCGAAGGAGTACTAAGGAGTGGGCTTGCTTGTAAGAGAAAACTACATCAATGATTAACTCCAGCAGATGAAGTGCAGTGGTGGAGGGTTTGAATAGGGCAGTAATGAAATTGTTATGTATACCGCCTTCATGCCTCTGGATTCAGAAGACGGACAAACATGAACATGGCTTGCCCCAATGCTCCAGTAACAATGGTAGAAGGACGATAGTGAGAACATCTATTTCCTAACTCATTTCCAGCAACTCTGAGATGGAAGCTCTGCAACATTCGCAGAAAGCGTCCCCTCCGAAATTGTTCCGGAGGGAGACAGAAGACGAAATGCCTCTTCGCCAGTCACAACACCAGAGTTTTGTTCGATAACCACAAAGTTCAATGCCTTATTATTGCTGGGGTTCGTTGCTCTAAAGCATCTCCCGCAGTTTGGATCATTCCACCTTGTAACAGCAGGCGAGGCACCGACATTTGTATTCGGTTGTAACTTGTTCCCCAGTTGTTGGAGGTTATTTACCCCGTATCTTGTCATGAGGCCATTTGCACCGTCTGAGCAGGAAAATAAGGTGAGTGCAGTATTTTGAGCGTAGTCATAGTCGCGATTATACTTCAAAGTTTCCGCTATGACACCCGGGAGGACGGCAGAAGAAAGAATGGCAGCCGTAATGGTCGAAAACTTCATCGTGATGGAGGATTTGGTTTTTCAAGGATAAGACTCTCTAGGACAAGGAATATTTGAGCAGATGTGAACTGCACAGCAAAGCAAATTTGGTCAAGACAGTAGGAACATCCAGGAGTCAGAGAGGCTATTATATTTTCCAACATGCCCATTCAAGCCGGATAGCTGGGCTCTCAATGGCCCGCAGCCATTCTACATTACTATTAGTACTGTGTGATGAACTGGTTGTATTCTCAATGCTGCCCGAGCGTCCCATCATACGCTTGTACACCTTGTGGAAGCTCAGAAAAAGGTGGATGAGCATGTATCTACCATAGTTGTGGTGGGCGCCAAGCAATGTAATGCCCGTATTCAAGAGTAAGGCCTAGCAGCTATTTAGCAAGAAATGGAGTAAACAGTTATGTAGAAGCATCTTAGGCAGCTCATGGATGAATTAGATTACGCCATTAAGAGATATTCAAAGCTAAAGGCCAAGCTGGAGCTGAAGAAGGAAGATTAGATATTATGTGTTATGGTGAGATATAACTGACTCCTATTAAAGCTAGCTAATCAGAATATTAAGATGTGGCTAGGTGAATGGGAAGATGTGATAAGTGAATATAATCATCTTAGATTAAAAAGTCTTACTAGGGAAGATGCAACTAGGTCCTTGTCACACCCTGGGGTCCGTCTCTGCTGTTCTCTACTAGTCAACTACTTTGGGAATGGGGTGATATAGTCCAGGGACTATATCTAATACTTGCCTGAGGCCTACTGACTGTGTAGCCTAACAATGCAACAATACAATGATCTGAATAGGATTAAGGACAACCAAAGGTAATATAAGAATAATAATAGTAGAGATAGAAGCAAGGCCTATTAAGTACATATATTTAATAATAAAGAGTAACTAATAAATTAGACTAGTAAACTTATACTTAAGTAAATAACTTATATTAAACACAAGGAACTAAACTAAGAGTGTTAGATATAGTAATAATAAATATCCTTATATATCTATAGTTCCTCTTGATGGTATACTGAATGGTATGTTCTAAGTATAAAGGTAGTAGGTTATATACTCTTATTCTAAGGTCTTAGTATACTATTTATATACTATTTCATCACATGCTTGTAGTCATAGAATAACTATTTAGTTATGCCCTACTATGTGGTTTTCCTATAAGAATCTATCTAGATTAAGTATTTCTCTAGATTGCTCTGTGATCCTTCCTGGATTGATTAGTGATCAGCAATCCTCTTTGATTCTGCCCGTCACATCCGCCTTGCGCTAATGCGGCTGTGTTGGTGTCGTAACAGAAGGCTACTTAATTAAGGCTAAGGCATGGATTTATATATGAGACATATAGTAGATGACATATGATGATACTATAGCTGCTACTCTTACTGCATGAATATTCCACACATTAATAGCTATTGCAGCAGTATTTAATCTTGATATACAGCAAATTAATGCTGTTAACACCTAGACTGGTTAAACCCAACCCGGAAACCCCAACCCAACCTGGCCTAAACCCACCTTGGGCTGGGTCTGGGTTTAGAATTTCTAACCTATAGGCTAGTTAGGTTCTGAGAATGAGAACCCATTTAGGTTTTAGGTTAAAAAATAGGCTGGGTTGGGTTAGGTTAGGTTCTTATTATAGGCTCTCTAGAACCCATGTTATTATAATATAGTTTTAATTATATAGGTATATATAGTAAGTGCTCTGCAAGTTAGCATAGATAAAATCTAACTAAGGTTAGATTCAGTATTATAAGAGTATTAATAAGTAAATTAATATTGTATTAATAAGGAAAAAATATTATATTAATAATTTAATATCCTAATTTAATATCTTCTATTAAGCATCGCCTGATATGTACTATATTTATACTAGTGATGAATTAGTTGCTATGGAACCTGGGGCTGACATAATGTTATTTAAAGTAGAGTTGGTGATGGAGGAAGATTATCTTCTTATATATTATCTAGTAGATCTGCCTGACCTTCCTTAATATTATTAATATCTTCCTCTTTACTAATATAGTCAGGCATATCTACTAGATTAGTATTATCTTCTTCATCTCTAATAGTACCTCTATCTTCATCATCCTCCTGAATGCCTGTAAATTCTTATTAAAGTTTAAAATTTTTAGCATACATCTAGATCATTATTACTTAGATTATGCCTAGGAGAAGATGACTTTAATAGTAGTAATAGATATCTTAAGATATATTAAAAAGATGCTCAACCCCCACACTACTAATAGGTATAGCTAAGAAGTCTTATACCATTCTTGCAAGAATAGGAAAATAATTCTTATACTATTTCTAATACTTAAGTATATTCATACCAGAGGGCATAAGACCTATAATTAGTTAGTAAATCTAACTTAAGTTAGAATTATATAATATACCTTCTTATAAATAATCCTTAATCTCACTTAAGGTATTATTAGTTTAGGTTAGAATATATATTTTACCCTTCCATATAATAGTAATAACTCAATCCAGTTTAGAAAGATAGTTAGAGGTATAATTTATCTTTACTTTCTCTAGAAAGACTATAGTATAGTAAGCATAAATATCCTTAAGGGCACTAGTATACCTATTATGCTAGTTAATATTATTATCACTCCATATATCTTCCTAAAAGACTTTTAGTTTAAACTAAGGAGCTAGAATAGTTATAATAGCATAAATATATCCTTATGCATAGTATATCTTACTATAATACTGACACAGCTTATTAATAGCCTTAGATAAGGCATGCTGTAGTTCCCTCTTCTAAGTTATATACTTTAATTCTAGTCATTATTAAGTATCCTCTAAATGCTGAAATAAGGAGTTATAGATATTAAAGGCCTTATAGACTATAAGTCTATTAAACTCTAATAAGGCAAGAGTAAAAGCAAAGAAAGGGTGAGTTAGCTAAAGTAGGTATTTAATCTATTACTACTCTATATAAGAAGGAAGAAGATATATAATGTCTTCCTTCTCCTACTTTTCTAAAAACTTAGCTAGAGCAGAGTAAAGCTTAATAGCTTACTATAATATTAGATATATTAAGTTCCATTGAGTTTTGCAGTCCTATTAAAGTCTAAGTAATCTAGGATTAGAAGGTAGGTAGTAAAAGGTTTCATATTAGGTAAGGCTTGCATTAATAAACTAAGTGAATTTTTGAATCTAGTAAGAGATACTATTAGTAAAGAATCTAACTTAAGTTAGATTTAAATACCTTCTTAAGTATACCTATAAATCCCTCTAAATAGATATATTAGTCACTTACATCCTAGACCATCTTAATCTCATTATTTATAGCTTTAATCTTAAGGAAAGTAAAGAGTTCCTTTACAGTAAGTTACAGGACATAGGTAAGATAGGGAATATAAACCTATAAGTTAATAATATTAGTAATAGCTAAATCCTAGAGTATCTCCATAATCTAAGGAGATTAAAGATCCTTTTAAAGCTTATAAGTAATAGCATCTATTATTATTAAATTATTTATAGTATTATCTATTATAACTGCTATAACATAATGCTGAAGCTAGACTAATTTAAGTACTAATACTACCTTCTATACAAGATTATCACCTGTATAATAAATATTCATTAGCTTAAACCCTAGAAGTACCTCATAATACTTCTAATCTAAGCTAAAAAAGTACCTAGTAATTACAAGGAAGGAGTTTTATAATGAACTAGTCCATACATTAACTATAAGAGAGATCTTAAACTAGGGAGGGATTAAGGATAGGGTCTCAGCTTAAGTTTTAGATAACTACTTAAGTAAATAGCTCTTAATTAAATACTAATTTAGTAAATTAAGAGTACATGCCCCAGCAGCTATTATAAGTAATCTATAAAATTAAGGGTGTTTAACTATTTAAAATAGGAGGTGAGCTGTAAGAATAAACTAAAGGATTTAATTCTTAAAGTTCTTAGGCATATAAGATATTACAGGCTAGTTAGTTAGTAATAGGAATCTAACTTAAGTTAGATATAATACTTACTTAGTTTTTCAGGAGACTACTAAGCTTCTATTAGGAAGAAGGTATTTTCTTAATCACTAGGTAGTAAGCTTTAATATACTACATCATTATTATAATACTATTACCATAATAAGGGTAGAGGAGAAGACAACCATAATATTTATATTAGACCTTAGGTTTCCTATTAGGAAAGGATGCACCTTTATTAAAGTCTGTCCATGCTAGAGATATCTAAGCTCTCCCCTAGCTTATCTTTTATCTCTAAGATTGCATACCCTTAGCCCCTATTATTTCCTATTATTATAGCTAGAATGCAGGTTCACAGTCCTTGCTAAATAATATAATCTTATTCTTTCTATTTTAATTGCAGATTTAGAGGTCAGGGTAAGGGGCTATCTATATAATACTTATTTATAGAGTCTATATAGTACTTATTCATAGGGTATCATCTAACTATAATAAAGAAAAGGCAGATATAGATGGACCTAGAGTGCATTAAGGTATATAACTACTAATGGTAGATGATAGGCTAGTAGTAGATAGAGGAGAATTAACTAATATTAAATCTATAGAGAATAAAGACTAAGACATCTTATTAAAATAGATTTAAGATACCTCTATTCACTGCTCCTAAGTCAAACAGTTACTAAGCTTAAATAACCTTTTTTATTATAAAAGTAAATATAATACTCTTTAGGTCTGCTTTATTATTATAGAAAGAAAGTAATTTAGTCACTATGGAAATTATAATCTAACTTAAGTTAGATTATATTATATTCTAAATTCTAGCTCTCTATTATTATGCTAACTAGTAATATTTTTCTAGGCAAACCTTATTACACTACTAAGTTAAACTCCTTGCACTAGTAGATATAAGGAATCTAACCAGAGTTAGATTCTATTTATATTCTAAATTCTAGCTCTCCATAAATATGCTAGCTAATAATAGAATTCCAGGCTCTCATAGTTATACTAACTAGTAATATCTTTCCAGGCAAACCTCCTTACACCTAGACTGGTCGTGGGTT